GCTGGGTAAGGAGAGACTGAATGGTCTGGGCACTGGACAGGTTGATCCCTAAGTGGATCCCACTTCCCCAGGAATAGGAAGCATGAAAAAATGAGCTCAGTGACCAACACAAGATGAGAGAGACTCATCCTTCATCCCCCAGATGCACTGACACATGACACATCTGGTCCCTCTGGTCATATCCCACAAAATTCCCTCCTCTTCTCCCGTCTATGACTCCATAATAACACATCAGTCCATATTTTGGATGTATATAGCTTCTGTGGTATGAACTAAAGAATTGTAATTTTCTTGAGAAAAGCAAAAACTAGTTGGCTAGTTTATATTCATGGCTATATATTCAATTTCTAGGCATTTAAAGGTTCACTTTGTCTAAAAAAATTCTACTCAAAGAACAAATTATATAGCTGTTGAGGACAGAACATCTTATAGTCAATTAATTCATTGAAAATTACCAAAAAAGCAATTATTCACTATTACACCACTGTAGAAGCCCAAAAAAAATTCCTTTATCACTGAGGTAGAGCTAGATAATATCAGCTTTTAAGAGATTTGCTCCCAAGTTGATTCCTGCATACTTCATGAAACATCCTTTGAAGCAGGAGTGGCTATGGACCTGAGTAATTTAGAAAGTATTTCATTTTAGTTATACCTGAGGCCCATCCAGGAGATAACATGCTAGCCTTCTAAACTTTTCACAGAATGCTGACTCTGCCACAGGCACATTTAATATTAAAGACACAAGAAATTGTGCCTTTGGACTTTGGGTTAATCCAAAGTACAGAAAATAGGACTTCATACAATTTATCTCTGAGTTAGGAGCTGGGCTGTGATGAAAAGGAAGATACAGTTTGTTTAATTATTTGAGAACGATGACCTAGAAAAGAAGTCAATGCTGCCTGTCTTCCTCCCGCGTACCAACCAACGCTCCAGTGCCATTAATAAGGGCTTTTCAGTGAGTAACACGTCTGCATGAGAGTCCCTCAATAATCTGCAGAAGTGCTTTTACTCAGTCATCATTTTAAAGTCATGACCCAGATTCCTGACAAGGGCAAGCCATCTGAAGAGTGTTCCCAGGTATTTTATGAAATCATTGCTTACAAACATGGTCCATTGTGGTACCAAAGTTCTTTGATGATCTTGTTCAGAAAAAAATTCATTGTGCTCAGAAAAATGAACTTATTTGAACAGAAACATTATTACTTATGTGTTCTTATTATTTGCTTTAGCTCATGAAAAATTCAAAACTAAAAAGCACTCAAGTGCAATAATGGACTTTGCCAATACCTGGTAAGGTATACTGGCTTCCTCTAAGATTTAACTGTCCTTTTTAGGATTTTTTTTTTATTGAAGTAGCCATAAATCCAAAAAAATAATTAAATATACCATCAAGTCATTAAATAAGTAGCTGTGGGAAAGCACATTTTATGTTTCATTTTAGATGAAATAAGGAATTAAATTATCCAGCTAAATGAGGAAAATTTTAACAGAATCATATCAATGAAGCATACACATGGTAGAAGAAAAAAGAGCTGATAGATACTTGAAGTTCAGCCCCAATTTGCCTTTTACATGTTTCTTGAGTTTTCCTATATTCCTCACGGAAAATTTCCTTATAATACCACACTTCTTAATATATCTACTTCTTTTCTCAATTTCTAGGTTGAATATTTTACAGATAACGAATTTAAGCAGAAACTACAGTCAGCCAGTTATTTGAGATAAAATTCATTGGCCACACACTTTTTATTATTTCCAAACTTACTAAACATAATTTAGTGTAAAAGTTACTGAAACTGCCAAACGACCTTTTAGATTCACTATAATTTGCATGAAAAATTCCACTATTAGACTGCATATAAAATTTGTGCCAAGGAACCAGACACCTTAATGTAAGAAGTCTGGTAGATACTACATTTATAAAGAAAGTAATAATCTAATTGTCCAGTTAGTGTTTCCATGGTATCACTTAATCAGCCTCAATAAGGTGTATTCTCATAGGTGATTGACTATATACAGCTCTGTCTTTCAACTATAAGTTTTTGTATAGTTTAGTCACAGAGCATATACTTGGTAAAGAGTAAAATGTTACAAAACCAGGCACAGGTAAGAAGTTGTAGTACAAATCACATGAATATCAGTAAAATAACTGGCTAGAGAGTAAAAATCCCCAAATGGGGTATATGTGTCACACTTAAGAATATGGTGTAATTGCTGACAACTTTAAAACCCTGTGTCATGCCGGGGCCATCACAGATGCTGATCTATAGTTCCTAATTTGGGGTTAACCACCATGTTTCACAGTTATGTGAACTGGCCCACCATTCTTTTTTCTTGTTTTTGGTAGTGGTGCCAGGGTTTGAACTCAGGGTCTCATGCATCACTAGGAAGGCACTCTGTCACTTGAGCCACTCCACCAGCCTTTGCCTACCATTCTTAATCCAAAAGTAGTCCTCCTTTTCTCCCTGGTCAGGCTCATATGGTGCCTGAGTCTCATCCTTAGCCTGGTCTGAATTCTACGTGTTTAAACACTAAGCCTCTACTGGTAGCTCATTCTTTCTGAATAAGAAGTCTCTCCAAAGTCATTAACGTTAGCCCTATTCATCAAGTTGGACTTGCTTTCAGATCTCTTGAAAACTGCCTTCTTCTTTCAGAATAAAATTGTTTTCTTCATCAGCAACTATGTCTCATCCTGGCCTGTCCTATCCACCCTCAGGATAGAGACACTGGCACAGTCTCGGGCATGAACTTGTGTGCTGAATAGGAAATTAAGTCTGTTGGTTCATGTTAGGTGGCTCTTTCATGTTTTGATTCCCCAAACAATTCACAGGAATTCTGAGACAATCAGTGACAAAAAGTCAAAATCTATCCACTTGTTTTTGGGCCCATTGTTATCTACTATGGAAACCCATAATACATTGTAAGTATTATGGCCATTAACCCTTTTACCCATCAATTAGAGCTGCGTCTGATAGTATCTTTATACAATTACATTCCAAGGATCAAGATATGTAACAGAAACAATATATTATTCCAAATACAATAGTGAGCTAGAAACATTACAATTTGTTTCTTCAAAATAGATTGCTCATGACTGTCTAAATTCATTTTTGTTGACTGCCTCAGATATTTATGGTCAATTCTCCCATTAAACAGCCTCATGAAAATAAAATTTAAGCTCAACAGGCTCTTTGCCAAAGTTAAACTGCCTTGTAATTCTAGATCAAAATGTTTTCTTTTAGCAAATTTTCCAGATCAAATATTTAAGATAATAAGAGATAGAAATGGTCACCTTGTTCTTCCCTTTAATGAAATGGCAAAATAAACATTGAAATCATGTGGTCATCTCCAGATACTAACTAAAGAACTAATATCACAATGAAAAGCAGACTTTTCTCCAATCTCACCAGCCATACCAGTTACCGAGTCTGTTTTCAAGCAGGGAGACTGGTGTAAAAAAAACATCAAGACGGATGAGGCCAGAGGTTGTGCTGAAAAGTCCTAGCTAAAAGTTTATCCAGTAAAGGGCTGGATTCTATTATTATCAAGTACAGTATGCAGCTCAAAGTTGACCTGAAGGATACATTTCAAATCATGAGTCATTTAAACTGCAAGAAGAACAAACCAAAGAAGAGGCTAATTGTATTGGAGCTACAAACTTGTAGGAAGGATTTTCAAGAACTTTTATTATGAAAGAGTCCAAGATGTTGGGTCTAACAAAAGTCAATGTCACAAGAAACTGAAACTGAGACCCAGACACATGCACACATATATATGGTTTTACCTTGCTGCGCTGGGATCCTGTGACCTTAAGGAAGGATGAGGACAAGAAGCAAAATAGCAATAAACAATTGCTCTGAAGACAACTGGTAGACCGTAAATGGTGTGCGTGTCAGGAAAACAATATTATCTGCTGTGCCCTGATCATTCTAATTTGTCTCCTACCAATAAAGATGGATCTGAGACTAGAACACACACACATTAGAAAAGATTATAGTGTCGTATGGGAAGTGAATCCCATGGCATTTCTTTCAGCCAGCAATAGTCATGGGTAATTATCAAATTATTTCATTTTTATATATCTTTTTGCATATTGACTTCAGTGCTGCAGACATGCTCAGACATATTGTTCCTGGAAGCCGTATTTAGTGTTCTGAGTTCATTCCTTGGCTGTGCAGTTTTTTGTGGGTCCACCATAATTAAAGACTCATTGCTGGCTATTGATATGTTTCCAGACTTCTAGCTCAAAGTCCAGAAATGAAAATTAATAGGAAGAAGACTCTAATCTTTATTTCCTTCCACTGAATTTGTTTTTGAAAACTCAAAAAGAAAAAAAAAAGGAGTAGCCAATAAATAAGAAGAGTGGCAAGGGGGATATAACATTAACTTTTCTTCTGGCTAATCAACACTAAGCAGCATTTCGAATCATATGAGATACTTAAAAGTTGAGAATTTTTGAGAAAATCATCATAAAATAGAATCTAGTCCTAGGAATACACACTCCTACCTCATGCAAGCAAAAGACACCATGTGCAAGCACCTACATATGTGCATGGAATGAGTGCCAAATTGGGCAGAAGTCAAGAGGCCAGATCTTTAAGACTTCAATTCAGGAGAAAAATACCAAACCAAAGGTATAATATTAAAAACTTGATGTCATGTTGCTCTTCAATCATTTTCCTCACATGTCTGTTGGAAATTGTAGATCAAAATATTACTGAGATGAGAACAATTTGAAGTGGTCTCATCTCTGAGGTGTTGGGGACACTCATTCTGAACATATGGGCTTCGTTCTATGACTCTGCTATCCTATGCTTCTTGGTCTTAACTTCAGCAAATGTTAGGACTCATGTTTGTTTGTCCATCCAGCTCTGACATGCAGGTCCTTGTGACTCAATAAGCTGCAATAAGCCATGGAGCAAGAAACATAAAGTCAGTTATAAGCTATGAAACAATGCTTCCAAGCAGAGCAAGGCCAACTCTAGAAAGATCTAGCTTACTTCAAAGCTCTTCACCTCCTCTTCACTATCGTCATCTTCCTCATCATGACAACTCTAAAATGGGTTTAAAAAAAAAAGCAGATAAGAATATGGTGAGGCAGAAAGTAGAAAAAAATCATTGAACATAAACACAAATGATCTGTATTAATTTATCATCACAAATGGCTTGTATTAAGTTACCATAAATATTGTTTAAACAAATACACTAGAAATTATATTTAGACAACATGGTCGACTAATTTATGACCTAAAATAAAATGATATTCTATATACTATACTTTTGCAAAATTAAAATATTTAGCTGCTTATTTTGTACATGGCAGAGATAATTATGAGGTCTGTTTCATGCTATAGACAACACTTATTCATGTCTTTGCCTCATTCAAACCAAACATCAATCTTTCTTAAAGAGGAAGGACCTGTTCTCTTTTTATGCTGCCATACTTACACTAATGCAGGTACACACAACAGACATTACTCACAATTAGCAGAAAGCCACACCCACTAATTAAAGTGATCTGTAATCCTTTAAAGTTCATTTCTGTTGTCTCTCACCCAAAGGAAGAAAGTGAAATTCTGCTTATTCTTTATACATAAAAATGATAAAATTGGACTCTTCCATTATTTTCCCTAGACACAATAAAAGGAGTCATGCTAAGCCATGAATGTATTCTTATCTAATTCCTACAGCTGTAACTCTTGCTTGCTAAAGAGGCAGAGAGGAAAAGCTGGTAGAAACAATGGCCTGAGGGGACAGAGTTCAACCCCAATGCTGCCAGTAATTAACTGTTCATACTTGGCAAGTTACTTTTCTCTGTATCTTACTTTCTTCATATTTAAGGTGGGATTAGCGAAAAGAGTATCTGGGTTGTCCGGAGGAGTATATGTGTTAATATGTGTAAAACATTTGCCACTTGGGAAAAAGTGTCTGAAAAATAGGCAGCTTTTGATAAAATCTCAGCTGCTACTCTTATCCTGGTTTGGAATTTGGAGAATAATGGTGTCCACAGGATGCAGTATCTATGGCAGGAGGAAACTTACTGCCTGTTGCCATTAGATTGCTCCAACCATTCTATGTCATTTTTTACTTTTGGTAAGTGCTCAGTGCATCTGTGATGTGCATGGAAACAAATGGTGACATATGAGTTGCAAATCAAAAAAACACTTTTAAGTCAATGAGGTACAGTTTTGGAGATGAACTCGAGACAGGAGGCAGGGTAGCAAAGGTGATCCTTCTACCCACTCACTAATAAATGCTAAAAGTTTGCGTATTCCTTCACTCATTCAACAAATATGTTTGGAGTGTCATCCCTTCTATCTAGAAAAATAACCATGTGAGCATGGTCTACAAAGGAGGAAATAAAGGTAAGTACACAGGCATGTCACATTTTCACTCTTGGGGCAAGGTGCTACGTATGCTAGGACCACAAGAAAACTCAAACAGATCTCTAGCAATTTTGTAATGCCCTAGACAGAAATAGAAGGATGTGTGGCTATGGGAGGGTGGTCTTCAATAGCAATTTCATCCACGTAATATGCACGGTAATGCTAAACAAATGGAGTATTATTAGACCCAAATACAGGATTTGGCTCTCTGGATCACAATGGTAAGTTCTAGTTAGGGAAGAGTGGTATTATATTCCAGGAAGGAAAAAGTGAATATGCTCCATACATAAAGGGGCAAAAGATGTAACAGAGAGAATTTAGAAGAAAAAAATAGGAAATAAATGGAGGATACTTTAGACCATTCAGTTATCCAAAACAAATTTTAAAATCAGCAACGAGGACACATAAATTAGCAAACAGGGCATTTGAACTCGCTGTTATCTGCTAGAAATTTCATTCAGCAAAAGAAGAATATTTTACAAATTCTTCAGCTGCCTTTCTGACCACATAGCTCCTCAAAAGACTGGGGGAAACAAGAAATTTCCATACAGATTTAAATCTAACAGAGCTAATGGATGAGAGAGACCAACCTAACAAGACAGTGATCTGGTATTATATCATTTCAACCAGCAAAACATGGAACATAAGTTGTGTTGTAATGTGTGTCTTAAATATCTCAAAAAGTGAGAAAAAGGAAGAAAAGTTTTTCTTAGTCAGACACTCTAGTATGGAAACATTACCGAGTGTTCAATTTGTGATGATATCATCCAGACACTTCTGTGTGGTTACTTAAACTGCCAAAAAAAAAAAACCCACTCCACTAGATAAAGCAGCTTGAGCCTGTGCAGGAAGGATGACAACCAGCACAATTTAGTTTTGTTGACTACGTACTTCCTTCTATAGCTCCTCTATCAGCTCACACTCAGGTCCTCTCCAATTTTCTCAGGTTCCTTGTCCTCTATACTTCTCTTAGCGTGTCTGTGCTTACAGACTTGGCCCTCGGCCTTCTTCTCTGCTCATGCTGCCTTTCCCTTAAGGGTGAGATTATCCACTCTTACGGCTTCAGCACCACCTACTGCTGATGAATCCCAAGTCTACACTGAGAAGCCTGACCTGGGATACTGCAAGGCAGACCTGAATGTCCAGTTGCAGGTCTGACATCTCTCGCAGGCAATGTTATCATTGCAGTCCAGGATTTGACTGCCATCTTCCCTCATCATCCATGCCGTGATGATTCTGAGGTTCCAGAATCACCTTAGTACATGGTATCCAAATCACGATACTCAGTCAGAGCTTGAGTCTGTTTACACACATCCCCTTATTGCTCTTCTTATTGGGAGGAGCAAATGAAAAAAAAAATACTTTGCATGGCCAAGTCTCTTCAGTAGTTAAGAATTTCCTTAAGTTGGCCTCATGCCTGGGTATATAACCTTGTCCCAGTACTCTTGATGGCTCCTCCACCATTTCACTTATCAGACTTCATAGGATCATTTGTTTAAGTTTTGTCTTCTCTAGCAGATGGTAAGCTCCAGTAAGACATAATATGCATAGTTATTCTTGGTCATCATGTTATCTTGATATCCACTGAATATTTGTTGAATGAACGAGTGTTTGGAAAATTAGTGAGTTCCCCATCAATAAAATGCCTAAGTAGGAAACAATTATTATTTGTCCAGGAAGTTAGAGCAAAGATTCTTGCAACATGTGAAAACTAGGAATCCATAAACCTCATGTTTCTAAGAATTAACAACATTTTGTTTTAATCCCAAAATATACAGGTTTGTATCTTTCATCAAATGAAAGTGATTTCTAACTATTAGACATTAAAATGAGAAAGGATACTTATTTACCTTTGCCATAATATCTGCATAAGCCATATATAAAAAATCTTCCTCCAGTTTGCTAAGGAAAACAAGAAAAACAAAACATTTTTTAAGTAGAAGGCTAGTCATATGGGGATATTCCATCACTCTAGAAAATAACCTTTTTTTGTTTCCTAGCAACTATTCCTTTTATGATTAAGTAACACAAAATGTAGGCAATAATACTACTTCAAGAATATCTTACAGTCAAAACTCAAAGACCCCAGGACACCCAAATAGCTGCTCTACCTTACCTTTAGAAGATGCCCTCAAAACTCAGAAAATAAATGCTGTATTGATTTATGCACAAGTAAGTTTAATTAAATAACTTTAATTTCCTTCAAAATACAAAATGTGAAACAAGCAACATAGGAGCTTTTGACAGCAGAAGTGATATTTGACATTGGTGGAAAGACACCCCAAATTATACTGCTACAGTTGAGATGGTCACAATGATGACTGAAAAATTAAGACAAGGGGGTCTGCCAGTGTCGCTCACGTGGTAGAGCTCCTGCTTAGCAAGCATGAAGCCCTGAGTTCAAACACCAGTACTGCCACACAAAAAATAATAAGAAGAAGACAGGATAAGATATGCTTACTACCCTCTTTCTAAAGAAGTACAGAATCCATAAGTACATAGGAAAAACAGGTTTCCATCAAAACATTACTAAAATGTGCAAAGCTATTTTAGCAGTTTCAAACTTCAGCTCTGAGAAATACTCACTTGAGACAAATACCTCATTACATGACAACGCCAGACAATTGCTCTATGCTTAGGGATGAGATGATTTTTGTTAGTTTGGAAATAACAGAGAGAGAGAGAGACAGTGAAAGGATGGACCACATCAGCTAAGAGACAGCATTGCACATCATCACGGAATACAAAGAGGTCACAGAACTCTTCAGGACTTTGGGTAGATAATTAAATGGTTCTCAGATTTTGAGGAAGTGGAAGACCGAGCAAAGTCAGCTCACTTCCACAAAGTGGGGAAGCAGATAAAGGGTCTATAACCTTCCCTGTGTCCCATCTACACAGCCAGTCTTTGCAGTGCCCCTGTAGTGAGCAGAGGTGGAGATATTTTAATTACTGGGACTGAGAATGCATTTTTTTATTTAAGTCCATAGAGGTTTGCCCTCTGTGGCTTTAGTGAGATCATATGACAAAGAATGCAGAAGAAAAGGAAAATGGGAGTTATCCTTAAAATAGACCTCAAGATCCTTCCAAGTTGAGGTGACATGTTAAACTGCCCTACAAAGCTTCCTAATACCTAATGGCACACCGTCTACCTAGAAATTGGTACACCATCTGCCTGGAAATTTGGCACCACCATCATTGGTATCCCCATACATTCTTGGCACCAGAATTTGCTTTGGGTTCCTTTATTTTATTTATAAAGGCTGTGTGTGCTAGAGAAAAGGAATTCCATCAGAAAAATCAGAATCAACTAAATCAGTCTATTACAAATTTGTTCAGAAAACTCAGAACTCAGAGGTAGGTTTTAAAGCCTGACTCTGAATGGATGTTGGTTGGTAGATGTTCTCTGACAAGAACAAGATGAAACTGAAATGTGACAGGAAAGACACAGACATGGATTTCTTTGTTTGTTCCTCCAGTGAACCCTACCAACCATACCATCTCTCCGTCAAAGCCGTGCGACTGAACAGCAGGACCAGCTGGTGCAGGGGGTCGACTCTCTTAGTGGCTTCATCTTCTTCTGGAGGATCAGCCCCAGGTTTCTGCAAGGACGTCCAATTTGGAAAATGTCTCATTTACAAGATATGTTCACTCAAATCCAGGAGCAAATGAAGAACAGGAGCAAAGGATGACAGAAAAGCCCCCCTCTTCCTAATGTGGCAAGTCTGCGCACTTTGTGCTGTGTATGTGTGTATATTTATGTGTTTTGGGTATGTATAGTGCATAGTAAGCATATGAGTGTAATGTAATGTGTTATATAGGCAGGCTGTCACATTACCTATGTGAAACTAAAAACAGCTTGTAAGAGAGGTAATTATTATTTTGAATAAAAATTAGTATGGAAAAGGATGACTACAGAATTGAAAAATTCTCAATGCTATTCTTATAAGCTAATTTGTAACAAACAAAAAGCATATTTGCTAAAGGTATTTTCACTTTAGGAAGGGCTCAATTTATAAAAATTTCCAATAAAATGCTACGTTACCGGAAGTACCACAGGGTACTTACCAGATGGAACATTTTCCTGTACTGTACCAAGGATGATAGGTGAAGAGTGTGAAAAGAGTTAACCCCTGAAGAGCTACCTACCCTTTTATCTCATTTTTAATTACTTTTAAAACACAAAATATTTTTTTACTGCTGGATAGAACTTCAAAAATGAGAAAACTTACTAAGTATTTTTCTTGCCTGTAGAATTAATTCATCCTGGCTTTGCTTGAATAATTTAATGAATTTTGTGAGACCAGGGATGTACCCATTTAGACTGATTTTCTTTCTTCATCAATTGGGCTCGTTCCTGGATTCAAGGCTTGATGTTATGGGTATTGAACCAATTTCTACAAGATACCTAAATAGTCTGTAGTTGTTTTGATTGTGAAGACAACTTAAGTTCATTTAAAAAAAACATGGGGCTAATCAAGATTAAGCTTTTAAAAATCAGACTAATTCATTTATTATATTCCCTGAAAATTTATGAATTAATAAAGCAACTTTCAGATTAGAGGTCTTTTGGGTTGTTTTGGCGTATTATGTATTTGTTTGTTTGTTTATTTATTGAGACAGGGTCTTGCTACATAGCCTGGGCTGGCCTCAAACTTGGAATTCTCCTACCTTGGCTTCCTGAGTGCTGGGATTTTAGACATATGCCACCATGCTTGGTCAGATGAGAAACTTAATTTGGAAATTATGAAGTCTCTGACAATACTGAAAATTTGTGGGACTATATGTTCATAAATCATTTTGGAAAAATGGCTTTTGTCAGATTTTTAAGCAGCAGCTCAATTTATGAAGTGTTCACTCCCCTGTGTGAATGCCCTTGGGAACACAGCCCCTCACACCCAGCACTGTGGGATGGAACTCCACATGCCACCCTCCATGTTTGACATGGCTTCCTCTCCCTCTACACCCAGTCTAGCATCCTCTAGCCTGTCTATTTTAGAAACCAGCAACTTTCTGCTACTATTAAACTTATTTTGGGTGAATAACTTCTTTAGGGGCTAGACTTTGATACTCTATACTGATTCTGAGGTTAAAGGGGCTTTGAGAAAGAGTTTATAAGAACAACTGAACTACAGTTAGTTAATAATAAACCTGGATATTTTCATCTTAAATTCTGAATAATTAAGAATAAGAAGAGAGAATTTTTCTGTAAAGCACTGAATGAATAACAATTGAGATTCCGTTTCCTAAGACCACAGAAGTACAATGACGGTTTTTTCTTCAAAGTTATGTGACAACTCCTAACATTGTTTCACCAAACCCGGACCCTCTTTCATATTATAACCCCATGAAAAACATACTGCTAAATCTTCAATCAGTTTATCTTCAAAGTAATGTTCTTCTGTTTCAATCCAAGACTTTTCATATCCCTGAAGAAAGAGATTGACAGCCCGATGTCTAAAAGATAAGCACAATTTCAAAACAAGGTTTCAAAAAACATTGAAAAGGAATTCACTTGTGCTGTCTTACTGGATCCTCTATGCACTAAACTGAAATAAAATACACCTCTTATTCTTGATTCTTCTCTTCAGAGGCAACACTTTGTAGTGAACAGAGCCAGGTTCCATGGACCACACTCTGACTTGGATTAAATCCTAGCTTGGCCTTTTCTAAGCTTTGACCAATGTCAAGTTATTCAACTTTCATGGCTTGCATTTTTATCATTTGTAAAACTCAAACAACCCCACCTCCATTTCAGTTTTTTAAGACTTGAAATACAATAGGCAAAGTGCATTAGGTAGGTATTAATTAAATGGTGGCTATTATTACATAAAGTAGCTCTTCATAAACACAGGTAATAAATGCCAATAGAGAATTAATCTGTGTCCAAGTGAACATTATGTACAGGCCCTGAGAATTCTAAAACAAAATGTACTGAGGGACATCCTGGGAGTGTATGAGGGAAGATTAAATATTGGAACACTGAAAATAAATGGTGAACTAGGGGCTGGAGATTTAGCTCAGTGAAAGAGCACTTGCCTGGTAAGTGCAAGCCCTGAGTTTGGTCCCCAGCACTGTAAAAAAATAATAAATGGCGAACTGTGAAATAAAAGATCAGGGAAGACCAAAGAATCAGTGAAACTCTCATGGCATTAATGAGAGAGGTAGGTAAGATGTCAATGTAAGAAGGAATAACTGAATTTCATAACAATAAGGGAACGTCATAAGAAAATGTTAAGGTGATAAAATGATGCCCCCACAGGATAGGAATCCGAGCTTGCCAGTAACCAAAGTGGGCTAAGGACTCATCAGACATAATGGCCAGACAGGATTTAGGATTAAGAAGGACACACAAGAGCAACACACCAAAGGACACATTCGCAGCACTGGACATCAGAAACACTTGCATGGCTTTTAGAGAAAAGACAAGCTGGGCCCCCACAGAAACCCTGACTCAGTAAGTTGAGACCCGGATGTTTCTTAAATGCATCGAAATGTATTTCTTCAAAACATCAGGTTGGAGAACCAACTAGAAGAGAGGCTACAATCTTGAACACAGCATATGAGAGACAGTGGGATGGCAACCTGTGTGGCATCCCATCAACTGTGGATATGAAACAAGGAGCAAGTGACATGAAGTGGTGGCCATGACAGAAGGATAGTGATGTAAAATCATTCAATGGAAAATTAATGTGATACGGAGAATGGCCACATAGGAGTAACCAAGAAAGGAATGTGAACGTGAATTGTGAGTAATATTGTAGTCACTGCAAGGAGACACCAAAATTGCTTCAGAGAACTTAGAAGTACAGGGTTTGAGAAAGATGCTAATACATTTTAGATTTTTGTAGCATGATGTCATCTTAACCCTGTTTATAAGACAGTAGATATGGTGCAACTTGCGTAAAGTTCAGGGTGGCAAGAGTACAGTGTCTTAGGAGAGCCACCTGAGGGCTGACATGGCACCTTTGGCCACCAAGCCAGACTTGAAGAGACCACGTTACTTCTCTATTAACACATGTGTCTGCTGGGCCTCTAAGATGAGGTGAGAGTCTGTCAGATTCACTTACATTAAGTTAGAGTACAATACACCTGTACCCCGATGTTCATTGCAGCACTACTCACAACAGCCAAGCTATGGAAACAACACAGGTGCCCTACGACTTATGATGGATCACGAAAATGTGGTATATACACACAACAGAGCTTTACTCAGCCATAAGGAATGATGACAGTGGTTTGAGGGTAAATGGATGTAATTGGAAGACATCATGTTGAATGAAGTAAGCTAGGCTCAGACAGACAAAGGCCACATGTTTTCTCACATACGTGGAAGATAGCTCCAAAAGATAAACATATACACAAAAACAAACATGAACATATACAAACTCAGAAGTAGAACGTGTTTGTAACAGTGGAACTACTCTATGGAACTCAGGGAAAGAGGGAAAGGAAGAGAGACTGATACAGGAACAACGATATTGCAAAACCCAACATCTGTGAAGACAGAGGATATAAGGATATGTACTGAAAGCTGTTGAAAATGGAAGGGGTTGAACAGATCAGAGTAAAGTATACCCACAGTGGGGATACACTGAGAAACTCCTTTGAACATCAACTTGAATATTAATTACAAAAACCATGAGTGTAAAATAGGTACAGTGGGGGGGGTACTAATGGGAGAGGGAGGGTGAATGAGGAGATTAAGGTGAGGGATATGGTTGATGGAATTTATATACCTACATGAAATAGAACAAAGAAAGCTCTCACAACTGCTTTAATTGGGATGGGGAGGGTGATGAGGGGGAGAGACGATGGGAGCAGTGTAACTAATGTGCAATATAAGTCTGATTGGAATTGTCACTAGGAATCCCTTTCTGTATAATGAATACATCATAATAAAAAATTTAAAAATTCACTTACAGTATTCCTATAAGTCAGTGTAGCATCAGTTCTTCCCCACAAATGCTAATAATTCTCTATATAATAACATAACAATGGATAACAACACTGTGGTAAGCATACTTCTGAGCACTTTGCATACATTAAGCCATTACATCATCTAAAGAAGTCTGTGAGGCAGGCCCATCATGGGCCATATGAGAAAACTATCACAAAGTCAGGTGAGTAACCTGACCAATGTAGTACAGTGCTGAAGCTGAGATGCCTGGTTTGAAATTAAGACTGCAATGGGTGCATTCTTAACCATTCTGTAAGTCTTCACATATGTGAGAAGCTATTCCTTAGTATATAAGTTACTTAACAGTCACATTATAGGTCTTAGTTCTCTAAAAAATATCCCACAAGAATGACCAATAAATCACTTCCATCCTTCTTTTGGACTACTGTACTACGTTGAGCTAGATTTTTATCACCTATAATTGAGAGAAAAACTAACTTTAGTGTATTATAAATTTTCTAAAAGTTCTGACCTTGGCAGATTGTACAAGGGGGCCATCCGGAAGCAGGCGACCACGGCCCTTTTTCTCTGCTTAGAGAGCAGCTTATGCCACACGGCTTTCTTAGACCTCTGGGGATGCTCCACCTGAGGGAGAAGGGACAAATAAACACAAATTTCCACCACAAATGCCCACGAGAATATTGTATTAACCAGTTGCATCTTGTAAGTATATCTGCAAAAATACCTTAAAATTATTTGGAGAAAGTCTATACCCTAAGGTAAAGTCTACACCCAAAGCTAAGTTTGGGAAAGTTTCAAATACTACTTAATTGTCCTTAGTAAAATTATCACATTTTCCAAATAGTGTGTCCTTCAGAAGCTTTGTCATGTCCCAAATCAAAGAGACATAAAAGCATTCTATATAAAATCATTCTGCATCCATCTCAAGATTTTCTTGGTCCTTCATGGCTCACAGACATCTGCCTGGACAAAAGTCTACCCCATTCATATAGGGATATACATCCACTGGAGCTAATTTGATCATAAATGCTACAGCACAAATAGAGGTAATGAAAACTCTGTGTAATGTCAGATGATGACAAGGCTTTGTGGACACAGTATCAGGAGTGAGTAGAGGGATTTAATTTTATAAAAGTGCTAAAATATGTAACTATTTTGTTAGCTAGGGACAAATGAGAATCCAAAAGTTATAGCCAATGATGCATGATGCAAACAAGGTATTTATTTAACTAATGGTGTTTGGAAATTCAGGAAGAAAGAGAGATTGATTATAAGTATTAGAAAGAAAAAGTCTGAACACAGGATTCTAAGTTAATTAGTAATCTCTAGTCAATTGAGCAATGTACTTCCCAGACTGTAATATCTCCGGCCAGTATATTTAGATTTCTGGAAGAAATAGAAATGTTACATTAGCCAAACAAAGTAATCCTGAATTTATTATCCTTTGCGGTAATGGGTCAAAATATGAATATAAGAAAACATTAAGAATGCTTGGACTATAGTGACTTAGAAATTTTAACAAGGCAACTTGTATAATTGAAAAACACTTATTTCTGCGAGCCTGTCTTCCAGAAGACCAATGAAAGTTTTAAACACAAAGTCCTCTTCCGTTTTCTTCTTTTGTTTTTGTTTTTTGAGACAGGGTGGTGCTACGTAGTGCAGTCTAGTCTTAGACTAACAATCCCCCTGACTCCAGCCTCCTGAGTGCTGGGATTATAAAGCTGTGTACCACTGTGCCAAGCTTCATTTTCTTCTTGATGAGCGTGTTCAATGGAAGTAACCACTGTGGAAAGCATTAGGGGTAAAAACAGAATCAAAGGCAGTGCTGCTCAGGGAGACCCAACACGTCTCAATTTAAACTTGAACTTTGAGATGTGAGAATGTACATGGGTCACGTTAATGGGAATATCACCTTCTGAACAGCATGGTGATAATTCACACAGATTCGGCACTCGGGCATTGAAAATGCAGTAGTGAACAGGACAGAAAAGTCTCCTGCTAGCAGGAGGCTCACTCTTTGGCAGAGCATTTAATACACAAGGAAAGACTGACGTTCCTCCGGGAAATGGGTATCTGTGAGACCAGCAATCCAGAGGTGAACACCACGATACACCTTGCAACTCAGACATCTTGATGGGCTGGTGTGTTAGCTTGCATACACTAAGAGTTTCGGGAAATTTCATGGAGACTGCCTACTCCCAGGAGAATTACCAGAGGTCCAGGACAAAGTATACATCGTCACTAATATGTGAGAGAATTTAAATCAACAGGTATGACCTGCTCAGAAACTGTCTTGTTTACTTATTTACTTATCTTTGGTGCTGGGAATGGAAAGCATAATTACAAGCAGGTGCTCCATCACCCAGCTACACACCCAGCCCAGCACACTGGACTCTGCACTGACTTCAGCAAGTTCAAATATTATCTATACAGCATCCTGACACTTGAGTAGAAATGAACACTATGTTGACAGCACAGTCTTTGCCCAGGGAGCACCCACTTCTTCACTAAATGAAGTTGGACATCTTTTACCATTGGTCTTCAGCACATTTCATATTCTAACACACCTATATCATGCACCTGTTTTTCTGTCTATGTCCCCACAGAGCCTGAGCTGCCGGGGCCCAGGCAATGGTCACTTACAGGTGGTGAGTATAATGACGTCCTGTGATTGAACACTCCATCAATGTCCACAGCAGGAATGGATGTGTAGTAAAGGGAATCTCGTTTTAGAAATGCTTTCACCACCATGACTGCCTAGGCTTACGAATAGCTATTACTTATTACAAATATAACACAAGCAGATTTTAACAAGTTACACTTAATTATCTAAATTCCATGTGAGCAAATCCAGATGTGTATATGCAAACCAGGAAGAATTAAAAACAGTGCAGGAATGGTCCTCCAGTAGCTATTGTATTAAAATTTAATAATCCTACTAAATTTGTATGTAGTTTTGAAAACATACATCTGTGATTTTATATGTATCACTTAAAATTCCATTACCTTACGACTTGTCATTTGCTGACTGATGATAATCTATATTTAATGTTTTAGGAAAATAGTCAGGGAAAAATACTAAGTTCCAAAGCATTACATAAAGTAAATATGTGTTAACAGCTATATGGTCTCAGAGCTAAGTGCAGTGATAAATCCTATGGCAATGGAGTAATTATAAGAATTTATAGGGCAAGTAACAAAGAAAGAAATGAAAAGGATATTACATTAAATGATATCCTCATGTTATTTAACCACCGTGGTAGGGATGGACATTCAGACAAGTATGAATCAAATAAAATGTTTAATATTGCTATGATAATACATTCAAATATGGCTAAAGTTGATGCAAACTTAAAATTTATAAAATTCAAGAGATGATGTCAGGTACCTTATTATTTCATGTTCAGTGTAAATAACCATGCCAAGGCTGGCACTGTCACAGAAGACCATCGGCAGGTCACTCTGTTGGGGCCACTCTGATGCTATGTTGCTGATTGGCCTCCAGGGAAAGAAGAAAGCATGTTTCTGTGTTGTCCACACTTGATCCAAGCCACAGGATCGCTTTTATAGCAATGTAACCCTCTAACTAAGGATGTTTCAAGTATTATTGTTTTGGAAACTCTTGAGTAAGTGAAGTGAGTGAGAAAATAAAACACAATGGGTTTCATGGTGTAAACAGGAGACAAATGAAAGATTATAACATTTTTCATATGGGATTTAATGTCAATATACTTCTCTAAATGTAATTTATTTCTGATCTTGGAGTGACATAATTCAAAAATATCTCTAATAGAAGGTCAGGTTAAGCAAGCAACAAAAATAGAAAATACTGTGAGTATTAAACCCATGAAAGATAATATGTGAAAATGTTGTGATCAGTGATAAAAATTACATAAGCATAAAATGTTTAAAATCAATTGCAACACCTGAATATTTTGTTAGAAAGATTTAGGTTTAAGTATCTAATCCTAATTATCTGTACAATTTTAGGAATATTTTGAAATATACAATAAACAAAGGGCTGGATCTCCTGAACCACACTCTATACACAGCTCCAGAATCATAAGGTTAGAAATTGTGTTTATTAGATGCAAGGCACTCCTGAATCATATATTCTTTATAATGAATATGCTGAACATATATGCTTTGGGGCTCATAGTCTAAAAGTCAACATCCACCTTCTTTTTGAAATATTTCATGTGGTTAAGGTAAAGTCACACAAAATCTGACCTGTTCAAGATGAAAGAGCACATTTGCTATATCCAGGACTCTTTCTACCGTCCTCTCTGGATCCGAGGTATTTTCTGTCCTGTTTGGCAAGTCTTTGTACAGAGCCATTTGCCATCTAATAGCAGGGTCCTCCAACTGCAGGAAAAGGAAAGAGCATATAAAATCCAAGGTGCCCATCTTAAGAGGTGAAGAGTTCACGTACAATTATTTGTTTTGCACAGCACAGTGTCACCACACCTGTAGGCCACAGCTGAGTAGCATGAGTAAGGTCAGGGATCTAATGGATAGCACGACAACTGCAGATGATCATACGGCACTGTGTTCTGGAAACCTCTAAGAGTAGAGTTCCTGTGCTCTTACAACATACACAAAGAAGGTAGCTATGTGAAAAAACGGATGTGCTAATTCGCTTGACTACAGGAATCATTTCACTGTGTACATCAAAATGTCACATTGTACACCCTAAGATATACAAGTGAAAAAAATTATGCAGAGAAGACAGATAAGACTTTGTAGTCATGACATTTATCATTTTTAACTAGGGCTGTTAAAAAGGAAATGTAAGGTACCATGAGATGTAACCTACCATGTGGGAGGTCAGGAAGCCTTCCCTACACAAGGTAAGAGGCAGCCATGCTTTAAGGATGAGTTGGAGTTGGACGAAGGAAGAGTTAAGGCAACCCTTCATCTTTCTCTTCCCTTTTTATATACTAACTGTTGAAAGGTCACATGTCTGCTTCTATAAGAAATGCTACAGGCTCATATTTGTCTATAAATTTCAGGAATTTACAATTGGAACAATGATTTTAAGTAATAAAAATCAATGAAGGTTTATAAAAATTATATTCATCAAGAAGTCTACACTTTTTACTTGGTAACTCTGTCAAATATCCTTAGTGAAAGTTATAAATGAAGTCTTCATGTTGCTTTTTTGTTTGTTTGGCAGTACTGGGGTTTGAACTCAGGACCTCATGCTTGTGAGGCAGGCGCTCTACCACTTGAGGCATGCCCCCAACCCTGGTTTTATGAACATTTTTGAAACACTCAAGGTTTTTTTTTTTTAACTATCTGAAAAAGAGATTTTCTTTTAATGGGAATTAACCTACTCTGGAGAGCTAGTACTAACTTTTGGCTGAGTGCATATCAACATTCATGGGATTGCCTCTCAAAATGTGCATACATCATGAATCTGTAAAGGCATGCTTCATCTTTATCATGTTATACTCCAAAGTGCTAAAAGGAAAAGAACAAAACATTTTGGATCTTTGGCTAATTCCTTCACCCAGCATTGAACAGCAGCCATTGTGTCAGTGTCCAGTCACACTTTTCTTTTCAATGGAGTTTCCTCTGAGGGGACCTCATTTATTCTCCCTGACATACCTTAACTATACGTATTTAATCTCTGACCACTGGATGCAAAATTTCAATTTCCTATGGTATCTCTTCCCAGGTCTCTAAAGTCCTCAAACTCAGCTACAGAAAAAAAAATCCAACTCTTTATTTTAACTTGTAACATAATTTTTCAAAAGTTTGTAATTCATGATGCTTTAAGAATGTACTACTTCTTACCTTTAGAATTGTTTAATACAAAAGGATTTGCAAGTAGGCTAATGACTAATTAAATATTATCATTATCTTAATTGCTAAAGTAAGATTATTTATGATATTAACCTAAAGAGAGATTAACTAATTTATAGATACAAAGCATGCTTTAGAATAAAGTGTGGCTTACCTTGCCTTGTAAATGAATATTACTGCGAATTATGTCTCTCACTTCCTCCTCGGTGTCTTTCTGTCAAGAAATACATGTTACCTAAAAGGAGTCTTATAGTAAATAAAGTGTCACAAGTCAATAAAAGCAACTCGAATGTCCTTTGAGCTAGCATACGCCTGACAAGCAGCTTTACCAAAACCCACACCATAAATCTGGGGCATTCTCCTTGAGGTATTTTCTTAATATTGCCATAGCCTGACACAGAGCAACAATCTACTTTTAGTACACAGTAACCACATCAAGACTCCATGGAGTTAGGTTTCTGGTTCATAACAGGAAAGTAGGGCAGAAGTGTGTTCTCTTGGTCTCAAGCAGAAGTGTATTTACATCTTTCTCCCAAATCTCCAAAGGGACTTTAGCCTTTGACAACATTGTCTGGCACCTACAATAGCAGGGAACATCTGCCCGAGAATCACACATCAGGAAACTGCCAAACAGGGCTGTGTCTGTGCAGCCCTCTCCCCAAGCCTCCCTACCATGCACTCACATCTCTGAGTATCAAACTCGGGATGCTCTGTGGGAACCACGCTCGGGGTAGTATGTCCTCCAGTTTGCATAAATATAAAATAGTGATTCCCGGGAATGTTTTTGAAAGATTACATCCTCATCTGTGTACCCATGGAGAGGAAATAAGAAGTCTTGAGAGCCTAAATCTTGATGCTTACAAAGGAAAAGACTCCCAGAGGTAAAAGCCAACACCTTCTCTACCCTGTCATTGGCACAATGTACCATGCTTCTAACCTTGAAAACTTCCCTTCACAAATCTGAATAGGACTCTCCTCATATTTTATATAGGAATGCATATGAAATCCACTTTTTTCAGTACTATTTGTGCTCTTCTGTTTGGTTCCTGAATATACTCTGAAGGTGATTATCAATACTTAGAAATAAAACTAGACTAAACAACAGGCAGTCGTTGACTTCGGTCCTATGTTCTATGCAGAAAAACTGCTTAATAAAATCTTCAATGCAAATGAAATATCAGCATTGAGCAGAGAGGCAGAGGAATGCAACACCTGAGAGCCTGGAGGTCAAGGATCACCCATTGACCATGGGTAAGGAAGAAACTTACCAGACTAAATCGATTTTTGGCCAGAGCTATGAGCTCCTGGTCCCCAGGGGCACAGATGTTCAGCCCGATGGGCAGCAACCTCTTCAGAGCTGCTACGATCAGAGATGTCTGCATGGAGTACCGGTCTCCTTTGCGCTTCATCTTCTTCCTTTCCTGGTCAGAAACAGCTACCTGTGAGACAAAGACAAGTGCTAAGATGGGCGCCTGCTTTTCTCATGTTCGGAATTACCAACCTTCTCTAACTCAATCGTTGCTCTCTCGTCCTTATTTTCTCCTGGTTGCTAGTTTTGGAAATCATACTGTTCCAAGAACATTAATCTCTTTTCTCCTCAGCAACTTGTGCTAATTTAGATCCTAGGTCATTATAATTCATGGGTATGTATTACCATGGAACTTTAAGAAGGAAGTCATGTTGTATTGTTAGGGAGGCAGAAATGAGGAATTCTGGAGATTTTCAGATATTGTATACCTTCTAATTCTCAATGCAATGAGAAAAAGCTTGCTTTGAAAATATATGAACAGTATGTTTTGTGTATTACATATATATGTATATACTCCCTATTTGGTATATATAAAAGTATTATAAAATATATTTCCTTTTACATGGTCTTCAAATTTGTCTCCCTATAGCCTCAGTATCTCTCCTGCAGAAACAGAACTGATATACAAATCAGTGTTTCATACATATTCAGGAGTGTCTGTACAGCCAGATTATAACAGAATATTGCCAGAATATTCCAGGACTTTGTGGATTCTTTCAAGGATTACGCTGGCACCTGAGGGTCACCTGAAATGATGGTGGAAGTTTTGCTGGGTAGTGAGTATTCTTTCCAGTAAGAGGGCATGTTCTAATGTCAGAATGAAAATAATTGTCCCATGCCCAGTTCCTTGGGCACTTGAATCTTTTTGAAGCAATAATTCAAACTTGGAGCATAGTTTTATGATAATGACATACTGGAAAAATAAAGAAGAGAATTTAACATATAAGTGATTTTACTCAAAATAAGACAAAATATACCACATCAGAAGCTTTCAGCATGCTGAAAGCAGGGAGACAACTGATTCATATGGGAGTAATAGTTCATATATTACAAAACTTATTAAACACATTATTACTTATGTCAATGCTGTGATTTTCTGAACCATACAAATTACAACCAGATTTATGGTCTAAAGTGATATACTTATTGCATGGATCCCATTTTTTTATTTGCCAACTTGTAAGAGAAAATTTTCAATAAGTTTATTAGAAAAAAGCATAATGAATAATTATTGGCACTATTAAATTTATTAACCTATAAAATTAATGGATCAGAGGTTTTAAATGAGCTCTTTGTTGAAAAGTAAATGCAATTAAATGATAAAAATAATTACCCAAACGAGGAACAATCATCATAAAAATTAACAAACTATGTGAACATACTTCTGTTCAATGCTGATGGTTTAGCTTCAAACATCATTCCTCAACAAAATAAAGTCTGATTTGTATGAGTGCTGGAGTTGTCTTTGATTTGACCTTGTAAAGTTTTTTTGGTCTTGTGGTTACGAGTGCAGAAAGAGCTTGTTAACCTGGTTTGATAGTATACATATTGAAGTGATCAGTAATAAAAATAACTTAAAAAAACTCTACATTGCTCAATTTGAAGACACAAAAGATGAAAGGATTCTTACTTATGCTCAAGCAATGATCTTGCTGTCTATCCTATGGAAAATTCGTAACTGCAAAGAGAATAGCAAATCTTTGAACATGTATGGGCAATATCAAAGCCAGATGAAGCAATTAAACCTACAAGCAATCAGATATCCTCTTATGCATATGCACTGGTTGGCTCTTTATTTGCTTATTTGGTGCCTGTTCTTCTTCTCCCCCACCCAGCCCATGGCGTTCCACTGGGACAGTGGATGGACCTGCCCTTTCCTTTCCATATACTCATACAGACATACATGACTGCAATGATTTCAAATAAAATAGCCTTAAATTTAATAGAAAAGGGACAAAGGAAAGAAAAACACCAAGAAAACTATTATTAAGAGCCACTGTTAGATGTTAATAGTAGGGGAAACTGGGGGAATGGGAGCTTTTGGGAACTTGATATTCTGTTCAATTTTTCTGTGAACCTAAAGCCACTCTAAAATAAAGTCTAATAATAAGTGAATAAAATTTAATAAAATTATGCAGAAAAAAAAAGAGCCACTGTTAGCTGTCTGCTGAATGGTTCTGTGGTTACATGAAATGAAGTAGCAGCCTGCTCCAAACCCTCTCCTCGTGGCTCACCTAGAAACCACTCATCTTCCAATGCCAAATTCAAATCATTTCCTAAGAATTCTTCCTTCACAATCCCCAGGATGTCCTCCTCTAATAAATTCTGTAAATACTTATTACTCATATGATCTTTGGCTATTCGGTTGTATTTTGACTTCATCATTTTGCCATTGCAATAATATCAGTTAAAATTTGTTTGACCCTGCAATCCACGAGGCACCACACACACACACTCACTTACACACACCACACACACACATATTATATTGATCCTTACAGCTCACCATCTAGGGATGCAACAGGACAAACATTTCACTGACATGGACAGGGAGGGTGAAGGTCAGTCAAGGCATCCTAGTTACAAGAGAATCTTTGTCTGCCTGTCAAAACTGAGCTCTTTCCTACACTCCACCATGGAGGACACTCAACCTGTTGTATTTATCATAAAACTTTACTGAGAATTCACAAAGAGCTTTCTTAGATTTCATCACTGGATAGTCTACCATTTTTTATATGTTAGATGTGCTAATTACACAAATGAGCCTGGCTTTAAATGGCCAAGGCTAGTTACTACATTTCAACAGCAAACGAACCCTTAAGGAAAAAAGAAGATGCAACTCTAGAATGCAACAGGCAAACCCCACCATTTTTTCTCACATCAACAAACTAACACAGCTAACCTGTACTGAACACTATGTTTACGTTTCAAAACAAGTTATGAAATTAAAAAACCTTAGCAACGCTAGCCATATAGGGCAACATGAAATATTTTGTACCACTGCAACAGTGAGTTAGTAAAAGCAAAATCCGACACATAAAAGGCCTAGGTAAATGACTACTTTTCAAATTCTTTCAAGTCAACATTTCACTACTTAATTTACCCACATTAAGTAGCTATTATGCTCCACACACTGCATTTAGCAGCAGAGTTACCAAGTGAATAAAGTATGTTCCCCATGCCCCATCATTGAAGAATGCATAGTGCAGAAGTTCAGACGGAGGCAGTAAAATGGGCTGAAGTTAGGAGGGGGACATGGAGCGGGGAAAGGACTTCCAGAAGGAGAAGGGCCTCAGAGAAGGAGAGCATTGCGTGTCACACACAGGCACATCACATGTAAACTGACAAACTGAGCACAAGTACAACATAGCCACTCCTGGTCCACCACCACGAAGACTGTGCCCACAAAGGGCACAGGGGTTTCCTCACCACACATTGGGGTACACTCTCCTGAGAGCATGTGACCTATTTTCCATGCACTGGCCTCTCTCTCTGTTTGTGTTAACACAAAACGAAGTTCTCCATCCCAGAGTACACATTTCGAATTGGTCTACTGGCCTCAATCTATTTTATAGCCTCTTCTCATTTTGGAATTAGGACTCAATACAATAGTGACTGTCCCCTGTTTGGATGACTGACTTAAAGACTGATAGGGGACCCTTTGTTGTCTAGTTTGTGTTCATAATTCAGTTAGTTAGTCTGCATCTCCATTCTAAAGAGTTCCTAGTCCTTTCAGGTCTGGAGTGGGGTACAGAGGTGGGTGGGTCTATCTGTACTTTGATACTTTAGGCAGACAGTGTTGTCATTCAAATCCCCAAAGTTTCCTGTGTCTTTCGCTCTCAGCAAGATGGGAAGCATTGCTGTGCATTCGGCTTCAGGTGTAACACCGGAAGCTACCCTCCTGTTACTCACTTTTGGCATTAGTCCTGGCCAGCACAGTTTGGGGAGCACATATTACTCATCCCCTGACTATAGTTCCAAGTCTGGGTCCTTTGTGTCACCCTCAGTTAGAAGATTCCATCATTAATGCTGATAAAATGGTAGCTATGACACCTCTGTGACAGTATCATGACTCTCAAATCTGACCAAGGCCAAAACAAATGGACACTATAACTCCTCAAGTAAAGCAATATAAGATATTTGGGCACCTGACTGTGCTATCTGAACTAGAGACATCGTTTCTATAAAAGTACTTATAATACTTATGTAGGACGAAACTGCAAACACAACCAGGTAAAAATACTTAAGCAAAGAAGGCAAGAATATTCAGTAATTTCTAAATTTTTCACTTTTACTGCTATTATTTGCTCTCTGTCTTGACTCAGTGTGCTTGAGTCAAATGTTTAAAAAAGAAAACGAAAGGGTTTCAACAACTTTTGGGGAGAGACGTTAAAATCGATCTTCTCCTATGAATTACTTTCAATTTCCTCCTCCCACACATGGGAATGTCACTATGGCAAATGTTTGTAGAGACAACGGTATAATTTTCAGGAATGCAGTATTTTGAGACTCACTGGGCTCTGATGATGGAAAAGAAAGAGGAGGATATCTGTACAGGGAGAGACAACTTGCTCTGAGGTCTTTAATTTATCCTTTGTGTGATGACACACTACAGTCATTGTCATCCTCCCCAGGGATTCTGACTTTTCCTTTCTCTATGCTTTACCCACAGGCACCTTGGCTGACAAAAGCTGCCAAGGTATAAATTTTCCCTCACAGTTTTCAGTTCAAAACACCTGTGAATTTTGAGCTCCAGGTATTTCAAGAGCAAGTCACAGGCAGCAACAGCCTATGTCATTGGACAGGTATCCTAGGACATGGAAAACTTCAGCATCTACTGTCAATCTTGTGACACGTGCGACAGTGTCTTTCAAACTGTAAATGAGACCTGGCCTATCAAGAAATGCCATCCATCCTACTGTCCAGGTAGGAGGTGCTAAGAACCCATTGCTCTCACGCCCAGTGTGATGAGATCATCCCAGAGCAAGTTTTTGCTCACTACTGATTGAGTTAGGTGAGGCTGGGTTCCTCAGCCAGAATTTCTCTCTACTTTGCATCTTTGACAATTTGGCATCATATTCTGTGTTACCATGCAGAAAATGTATTTATTTTTCTTAGCATTAATCTGTAAGATGACGGCATGATTTACTGTTTGGAAATGAAGCTTTTCCCTCCCTGATAGAAGGGATAAAGACAAAAGCTAGAGGCATATTTCTCACCTTGTGAATAAGAACCTGGAATGCACTCAGGTTTTTTGAATAATGCTGCTATAATTTTGAGATCTGGCATGCTTAAGTATATAAATATTCACTCTTGATGAATGCATAATATCTACTGACTGACAGTTTTAGGAGTGTGAGATGTCACGCACAAGTGTGTGTACATGTGTTTGCATGAAGCATTTTGATGTTTCATTTTGATGTTTTACCACCTTGGGGCTTTGTTGATGCTGAAGAGATTGCTTTTCTCAGAATTAGGAAATTCCTGGAGAAGTGAATACCTCCCCTGTGAGCTCACCTTTACATACAAACCAACATTCCCCACTGTCTTCACTAAGCCTTCATACTCTGGGTTTCTGTTCACTTGCCCTAATCACCCCAGGACCAGGTACCAGACAACTAGGGATTTCCATAGGCCCCATGGACCAAGAGAGCATTCAAGTGAACCAAGCCCAGACCTGCTTACTCTGCTTACCTGGAAACCATGATAAAAGCTTCCTGATCCTTTCCTTGTGGCTTCTATGTGTAATTTGGCCCTGCCAGTCACTCTGAATATCTCACCACACCTGATTCAAACCAGTCCTAGGATTTCTCACAACAGTGTGGTGTTTTGAATTAGGACATAACATCATGGAACTGATCAGATTCCAGGTGTACATCTTCAAAGAATATTAAAAAATGCCAACACACAACAGGACAGTCATACCTTGGACATTTTGGACTTGGTGTCGGTAATGAGGAAGGACATATTGTTGATTTCATTTTGGACTACGAAGTTCTGCTCTTCTCTTTTGAAATTCTAAGAAGTTGAAAGGAGACACCAGTTAAAACCACTTGGAGAAGAAGTTGATTTAATTAGAAGTCATACAAGAGCAAACATTTCTTCAAAGATAGGCATGAATTTGCTGTACAAGACTTTCCAAGAAAGAGCAAATATGCATTGAGCATCTAGTGAGTGCTTAGCTGAGAGCAGCACTTCTAAAACTTACATTTAAGCATGGATGTTTTAAAGACAAGACACTAAGGTCATTAGTGCCACTGTGTGACACTGAGGCCACACATTACCAAGTAATAAACAGAGTACTCAAACCCCAGACATATAGTGCCAGGTGAGATAAACATAGGCTTTTCAAGGACACATAAAACTGTGATGCTGTTTTCTATCCTGACAGATACTTTATCTACTTTCATCACATCATTTTATTCACTTTTCATTTGAAACCATGAAAAGGATGTCCAAGTCAATTTATCTTTAAATATTTGGGTAAGAATAGAACACATATTAACAGATTTGTGTTTTAAATATGGGCATTCAGATTTTGTTCTTATTCAGATACATCCAGATCTTCTTCTTATACATTCAGATTTTTTTCATGTTCTTTAGACATTTATATAAAAGCCTACTATTGATAACAAACTCTTCCAAAATCTTGTCTTACACAAATTTAAAGAAGCTTCATTGGTATTTTAGTGACTTATGTAGGTGAATATCATTATTTCCTGAAGAAAAATAATTCTGTTTTCTAAGTGATTTATTCCTGAGTATCTCCTATTTGTCATTTAGGCATTACAGGTAAAATAACCAGAGGAAATAAAAGGTCAAAGGCTGCCAATCCATCTCTGTTCTGGTAGATGAAAATGGATTGATTTCTTCCAGAGTTAAATTTTCCTTCAGAATACCCTGAGTCATCTTAGGACAAAACGTCATTTATAGGTGTGGTGGTGCATTTCTGTTATCCTAGCACTTGGGAGGCAGAGGCAGGAGAAATGTGAGTTCAAGGCCAGCCTGATCTATGTAGCAAGACACCGTCTAATTGTTAGATCACTTGCCCAGCATGCCCAAGGTCCTGGGTTAAATCCTCAGCACCAATAAAAAAAAAATTGGCTTTCACTTAGAGGAATATAAAGAACCTAAAATAGCCAGGTGCCAGTGGCTCACGCCTGTGATCCTAGCTACTTGGGAGGCTGAGATCAGTTAGAAGGTTCATGGTCTGAGGCCAGCCTAGGCAAATGGTTCACCAGACCCCATCTCCAAAACAACCAGAGTAAAATGGACTAGAGGCGTGTCTCAAGCGGTAGATTGCCTGTTTTGATAGTGCAAAGCCCTGAGTTTAAAACTCAGTCCCATTAAACAAACAAGCAAGAACCTAAAATAATTATCCATAGATAATATCAATGTGAAGTTACAAATTTACATGTTAAAAAACATTTACATTATACAGTCTCTCTGTGTGAAATGTTCTATATAAAGTTTGATATTAAGTTTAACAGACTCCTAAGATGTAGGCAACAAATATTTATTATTTTATGATTAAATACGATTTTTAAGTATATTACATGTTCAGGGTGATTTGATTTGTACAACAATCTGTTGACACAAGGACAATCCGATCCCTCAGACGATGAAACTGAGACTGAGGTTTTCATTTTTACTTTCACAGTCCTCCCCATTACAGGGTGGCACACAATTAGAACTGACACTAAAATCCTAAACTTTTAAAATAATTTGGGACAATAGTAAGTGCTCATATCCTGCTAGTTACTAGACACAATTGACAGAATATTCTGAAATTCTTCCTACGATGAAAGTCTTTTTTTCCAGATTTAAAAATAAACAGTTTCACTTGCAACAGACAAAATAGTGAAAATTAACTGGGCATGGATTTTAGGAATTTCATCCAGAGGATTCCAGCAGAAACTTTATTGTACTGTATTCTATTTTTTTTTGTGGTACAGGGATTTGAACTCAGAACCTTGTGCTTGCTAGGCAAATGTTCTGCCACTTGAGCCACACCTCTAGTCCTAGAAGTTTTAGTTTAAAAGTGAACTGAGTCTAAAATGTGAGTTAAACTGAATTCCTACAGAAATTGTGATGAAACCATTAAAGCCATGGTCCCTATACACGTAAACCAAGTGTGTCCTATGACTGGAAAACCCCACTCCATCTCAGCACTTCTCCAATTAAGAGCCGAGTTGGGTACTGCTAGGGCTCAGGTAGCACCAAACCAACAGAGAGGGAAAGTGAGAGGGTAAAAATGCACAGCACTCTGTAGTGTTGATGTCACACTGAGAGTGACAGGTTAATATTTCTCTTAATGTCTATGCATGATTTTACAAAGCTCAAAAGAAGGCTATGTTTCTTCTAAGTCCCCAGTGGCACCTCCCCTCTCTCCCCAGCCTTTGAACAAATGAATCCTAGTAAATCAGTTTGAGAAGCACTGCCCTACACAGTTACCAAGGGATCGGTCAACATTTACAAAGCTCTTACCACGCATTAAACAGCAGCTGCCATCTGCCAACCTCCTTACACTTACGTGGGATTTGGACCAGAAGATGAAGACCTCAGCCACCATGCGGAAGAGATCCTCGGCTTCCGGGTCAGGCTCTTTCAGCCACTTGGCCCTGAATCACACAACAAGTAAAGCAGTCTTTCAACCATTCCTAAACGTTAATTTAAAAACGAAATCACCTTTCCTCCCCAGAGTTAAATTTGCTGACCAGAGAACTCATAACGTCTTCAGTGTACAGCGTGACATTTCAAACCATGGAAAGGCCTAACTTTACAACTGCTGACTTTATATGCAAAAGGCAGAGCACTGCACAGTGCAATTGCCAATTTTAAGTTTAAGATGCTTGGTGAGAATTAAATTACCTATCAGCATTTTGTTATGTCGTATCCACAAACCATCCCAGGGCAAGCAGTTCGTGAAGGAAGCAATTCAATAGGATCTGTGAGCCAGGAAAGGCTGTGACCAACTTGGGGCAATTAACTACTTTTGCACACTGTACCTGTTATAGTCCACAAATCGAATCAGGAGCGGGTAGAAAGCATAAAGATCTCTGGCCAGCGTGGTAAACTCATCCAGAATGAGCAGCTCGGCCTCCGACATGTCCCCTCTGGCCTCGGCTTTCAGGTGGTCTTCCTCAGAAACCACCATGGCTGCCTTTTTCTTCAGTTTCTCCATTAATGGTAAGAAATGAGTTTTCAAGAGTTGAGGTTTCACTTTATTGATAATAGGCTGGGAAAACACTGTTTGAAGACAGACGTTAGTAATCTTTTCTCATTCAAATGAGAACAGGGTGTAATGACAACTGAAGCTTCAGTTTGTTCTCCTTGTCCCTGGGGCCTGACTTCCTGGAGGACAGAGCCCATGTCTCCACTGTTTCCTCCCAAAACCTCATCACATAGTTGATGTTCAGAAATGATTACTGAATTGAATACAATGTGCTACATTATTTTTTTAAAGATCTTTGATAGGTGATTTATAATAGAAAAAGACAAGACTTTGATTCATTTTGGAAATCAATTATTTTCACACAAAGTGCAAATATGGACATGGTTCCTGCAGCCCTTTCTTTAGAAGACAGACACTCTCCACTGCATTAACCATGGGAGGTCACACACAGGTTCTCCTCTCCCCATCCTCAGCCCCATGGAGGGCTTAGGTTACACTCAACACCACTCTCCCAGTTAGTAATGCTTCCAGTGGTAATAGTTCTAAACTTGTGTAGACCACTGTCTATATAAATTGATAAAAGAGAAAAGTTCAAATCAACCATAACCCCTGGTTCTGATTTGCAAGGTACCTGCAAGAAACCTTCTTTGGAGGTTTCTTTGATGGACTCATAATGAACACATCATTCTAAATTTGTTTGTTGAAATTCTTCTTTTTACTCTCCAGGGTGTCCTGAGCATTTCCCAAGATATAAAATATGTCTGCAATCTTAGCGGTTCTAGATGATGTCACATTCTACTATAAGAGTGTATGTCACTGCAAACATTTCCATACAAGTGACGCAATGACAGACTTCATTTTTTGATTATTCCTCATCCTCACATAGGAAACACACATGTGGGATGTTTCAAAATTCAGTGTTATTTCTGCCTCTAGCTACATGATCATTATATGTATCTACTGATTAACCTTACACAGATCATTAAATCAGGAAAATGTTTACTTCACAGTAGCAGCTATGTCTGATTATACCTGGTTTTTTTTTCAAACAACAGCATGAAAGAAACAATCATATTTTCCGAGCCCAAAAGAAAATTTTAATAAAGACCATAGGTAGGCTTCTGTATTTCACACCTTCTTGGAAATAAAACAAATCCATGGCTCCGTGCTTCCCAGGTCTTACCTGCTAACCTCTTCATCCAGGCTCCCTCATCAATTCCCAGGTTGTTATAGATGATTTTCAAGATGTTCCCCAGAAGTGTGTTCATGTGCTCCGAGTCCAGGGCTGTGCAGCACATTCCTGCCCTCTCGGGGTTGTTCTCGGGGCCGTGTTCCCACCACCGGGACATGTAGCTACACAGCATGGGTAGCACGACCTCCATGACGTGTGGCATCTGAGTGTAGCGGATGCCGGACTCTGCCAACTCCACAATCTCATCCATGAGTTTCTCCAGAGATGGAATATTGGGACAAACATCTTCCACATTAGTTGGCAAGCTGAGAGCTGCAGGAGCACAGACATGGCATGACACGGCAAGCTTCACTGTGACACAGACACAGGCAACCATCCATGGCTAGCTTCAAAACTCAGCAAGACCTGGTCTGCTTCCCACTGGCTTCTTCCTTTTCTCCTGGTGGCTATCTCAAAGCTTCTGCCTCCTGAGTTCCTACATTACCATTGCTCCCTGAAGGTCAGAGAACAGCCATTCTTCCTCCGTCACAGCAAACAAGAATGGCAAATGTCTCTTCTCCAAGCTTCCTATTCTCATGGTCACCAGCCATTGCTGTCTGGTCCTACATTCACCTCCATGCCCCTTTTAGGGGAAGGAGTTTTGAAGTTGGTTTTGAACCAGTTACTCTTGGTTCCACCTGTGGTCCTGAGGCCATTCCAACCTCAGGAGCTTTGAGTGAGCTTCTGTGTTCAAGCATCTTCCTTTGTCAGTGCATGTGATCTTTTTGGCTTTCTGCTAAAGTGCCCCAGTGTCCCTTCCCTCACTCCTGTCTCCTTGGTGAACTTTTGCATGTTGGCTTTCTTTAGGGATCTGTCTTTACTCTCTTCTTTTCCAACTCATATGCTTCTCTAGGCAATTTCAGCCAGTCCTATGGGCTTCTGCTATTAGGTTCTTAAAGCCATATTTCTCAGTTTTTTTTCTGTCTCAACCTGGATGTCTCAGGAGTGACTAAAACACAACAGGACTTAATTTAAGCTTTTCCTGTCCTCTTCAACCCACCTCTTGAGCATGCAACTGGGAGAGGACATAATGCACTCGGTCACCCAGGCCAGAAACCCAGCAGGACATCCAGGCTGCAAGGCTCACGTCTCACACCTGAAATGACTCCACCTCAGGGAAATCTCACAGCTGCTTCCCTGTCTTCTCCTTCCATGGGGCTTGGCCCAATCACCTCACTGCTGAACTACCAATCATCCTCTAACTCCTGACGCATAGCCATTCATCTCCCATGTCACTGTCACAATGGATTTCAGCAACAAAAATCTATTCCTGCCACTCCCTTTTCAAAGCCAGTAAAAGAAACCCTCCTGCCATTCGTACTGTTAGCACTCCTGCCCTTCCTTCCAGCTTCCCTGTCTCATCTCACTTTTTACTCTCTTCCCTCCTGAAAACAATCTCCAACCATGCTGAAATGCTTGACGTTTCTGCTAATGTAACAGAGTATCAGTCTTCAAATTTCCAGAACCTTCTTGATCTTGCTTTGTACAGTCTTTCCCAGAATTCTTAGCTAAAAGTGCTTTTTTTTGTGTATCCTTAACATTTTTATTCTGAATTCGATCACAAATATTTAATAATTTCTCAACTTCTATGGCAAGTAAAACCTCTCTGAGGGAAAGAATCAAACTTACCCATCTTTGTATATCATATCTCCTTCATCTACCACAGTACATCACAGAACTATTTGTTGTATAACTGACTAAAATGTGAACAAAATCATTAAATTTAATTCCTTTATTTTATTATGCAAATGATGCATTATAGAAAAATAAGTGGTAAATTATCTGCTTTTTGTGTATTTTCTTATCTGTAAAGAAATAAGAAATCCACTTCATTTTTGATTCATAGCAAAAATACTGATGATTCAAAAAGCCTTAATAAGGCAAGTCTATGTGTTTACACAGAAGATTAATAATTTGAACTGTTAAGTTCTCACTATGCATAAGTATACTGTGGAAACTATGTAGAAAATTTTTACTAATGCATATTCAGTATATTTGCTTTTCCTTCATTTATTGTATGTTAGAGCTATAAATAGGCAAATTAAATAATTATTGTTCAAGTCATTAAAGGATTCTTTACTTGATAAGATTCACTATAAAAATCAGTGTAGCTAGCCAACCACTCCCATTAAAGCACCAGTCACCCAGAGAAGCAGGCCCGTTGGCAGAGAGGTGTGCGTTTGAGGACAGCCAGCAGTCCTTGAGGACTCTTTAGGGCTATGAGAGAACAACCCAAATGCCACAGACTTTACCACACTCGGGGGAAATTAAACAGAGGCGGATCTCATCAGAAGACCCTGTGACATGTTCAGGCTTTCAGAACTGGGCTTTGATTGATTTCAGGTGCTGATTAGAAGCATAACTAGTTCCCACTTAGTGTTTATCCAACTCAGCTCACCTCTTGGCTAATAAGTCTCATAGGTTCTTGAAGGCCAATCATTGAAGTCGTGATCAGTAGTTGTAAAAGCTTTTTCAACCAGGGTAGTGAAAAAAAGTAGGCTTATTCACCCAGCAGATAGCCAGATTTTCCCATCTGGAATGCAGTAGGAAGCATGCTATATGCATAAACACACGCTGCGCACATGCAGACACACGGATCTTAGGAACACATGTGCAAGGGCCAGGTGCAAACTACAGCTATTGACTGTCCCAGATTTCTGTCTTCAAGTTTTTTTAAATGGCCTAAATTAAATTGAACAATTAAAAAGTCCACATGGGATAAGACCACATCACAAGTTAGACATATTTACTGAATAAAGAAGAACAAAGGGCACAAATCCACAAGTGGGCTGAAGAAGAATGGCACAACCTTCGCTGACTAACTCTAAAAATAACCAAATCAGAAGTCAGATGGACCTGTTTTTCCCAGGTTGGCTGATCATTTTCTCTTCATCTCAAGAGTGGTAATTTGTCTCTGGCTCATTAGCTTAGAAGTAGCTAAACAAATGTTCTTTCAGACACCTGAGAGGAAGAGTACACCGTTCTGCAAAGGCCAGAAAGCATTCAGCAACAGAGCTCATGGAGAGGTAACGCCCCAAATTACCTGCTCTCTCTCGGGAGGACTTGGTATTGTAGATGGAGTAGACGTTGTGTTTGTCAAGATGGGTTTCCAGAAACGCTACAGGAAAGGCGCCAGCGAAGGCAGCCAGACACTCGCCCAATGCAGAACGCTGCCTACAAATGGGAAACGAGGACTGGTTTGTCTCCCAAATGAGCAACCCAGGAAGGTGCATTAAAACTGGCAAGTTTGATATCAAAGAGGCACAATAACATCACTACTAACAAGTTAACCTCCTACCCCACCTTCTATATTACAAAACACGATTCAATAGCGAAATTCCCTCTACTTAAGAGAAGCTGTTATCTTTTTAGCAAAAAAAGTTAACAGCACAGAGTAAAATAATGAGTTAAACAAAACAATGAAAGGGAAAGAAAGCTCCATCACTTCTCCCACAAATCTGAACATTTTCCTGCTTCCCTCCCTGCCCCCTCCTTCCTTTCTTTCTTGTCTTTCTTGAATGGAATGACTACTGCAGAAGAATTCTTGCTAGGTGAATAAGTGGTTTCGGAAAAATTAAAAAGTGATGTACTGAAAGCGGTTGAATAAAAAGGGGGTGGGTAGACCAGAGCAATGGAGGGGATTAGATAATTAAAGCACTCAGGTGAAGTACATGGTAAGCCCCTTGGAGCAGTGAATATATGCTTTAAAAAATGAAGACAGGAATGGAAACAGGTACTGTGAAGGGGAGGGTACAACTAGGAGAGGGAGGGAAAATAGGTTCAAGGAAGGTGAATACGGTCAAAGAACTGTGTGTGTGCGTGTGTGTGTGTGTGTGTGTGCCTGTGTGTGTGTGTGTGCGTGCGTGCGTGTGTCTGTGTGTGTGCGTGCGTGTGTGTCTGTGTGTGTGTGTGTGTGTGTGTGTGTGTGTGTCTGTGTGTGTGCGTGTGTGTGTGTGTGCGTGTGTGTGTCTGTGTGTGTGTGTGTGCGTGTGTGTGTGTGTGCGTGTGTGTGTGTGCGTGTGTGTGTGTGAGTGGAGACAGAACACTGAAGCCTACTGAAAGCATTGTAAGTGTGGTAGGGCAGAGGGAGGGGAGGGAGAATGATGGTGGAAATCACCGGACCAGGGTACGTTGCAAGCATATATGGAAATGCCACAATGAAACCCTCTGTACAACTAATATATGCTAACAAAAATGTTTTCAAAAGTGAACCACTAATATTAAGGTACTAATCACATTTTCTGCAAATTTGCTACACACAAAAAATTCCAGGGTAGCCATGGAATGTTCAGATATGGTAAAAGGTAAAATCTGCTGACAACACTTTAAGTTGACTTATCATTTACAAAGGAAGGAGGGTGTTTAAGAAACCAAACTATGATCAATTGATTCAGGATAGGCAATAAATTCTCTCCCTCTGATAACAGTTTACTTAATCCAAGATTTCACTAGCACATTAAGCTGTTCATTATTAAACACAAAATAATACAAAAGTTATGAGCTTTAAAAAGTCACTTTCTCAAAGACAGTTCACCTTGTTCTCTGTATTGTGACCTTATTTACAGGACAAATTATAACCTCCACTGTTACATTTCTCAGTTTATTTGCTCAGTTTTGGTTTCTCCCAAAAGAAGAACTATCTACGAGTGTAAGGAACCATCTTCCTCGCCAGTTTCCAAATGTTTCACGGTGCTTGGCATTTAATTAATATTTAATGAATGAAAATGGGATTTAAAGGCTAAATCTAAATAGTGGAAAGCAAGAAAAATCTAGGAGAATAAGCATTGAATTTTTACCTGTGAAAAGTATATACTTTTTAGGGTGGGGAAGGGGGGCAGGGTGGAGAAATGACCCAAACAATGTATGCACATGTGAATAAAAACAAAAAAAATTTTTTAAGTATATACTTTTTAAAATCATAAAATAGAGAAGAAAGGACAAACATGAAATAACTGGTTGATGTGAATACTTAAAAATTCAAAATTCCCATGTCATAAAACGCTGTCTGCATATAGTGTTTTATAATGGAAGCACTATAAAGTATGCTAAAACTCATGAAAATAGGAGGAAATAATAGGCAAGTGGCTAATAGCTTTAATAAATAGTTAATAGCATTAATAAACAGATAGTATTAATAAACACAAAACGGTAAAGATAATACATTAATAGAAAAATAGACAACATTTGAGAAAGGACAATTCATAAAATTAAGAAATACAAATGGTGGCTAGGTAGCTCACGCCTATCTAGCTTCTTGGGATGATGGCACTTTAAGCCCAGCCTAGGCAAAAAGTTTGAGACCCCATCTCATCCAATAAAAGCTGAGAGTGGTGGCACATCCCTGTCATCCCAACTATGCAGGAAGTGTAAATAGGAAGCCCAGGCATAGAGCAAGACCCTATCTGAAAAGTACAACAAAAATGGTACAGAGGTATGGCTCAAGTGGTAGAGCACCCGCCTAGCAAATGCAAGCCCTGAGTTCAAACTGTAGTGCCACCAAAAAAAAAAAAAAAAAAAGGCAATGTAAACATGAAAAAAAAAAACCCCAACTGGTAATTAGGGCAATGCATTTGAAAATAAAGGTCAGATCCTATTTATAACTATCACATTTGCAAATACCAAAAATTTTTAAAGTAGGATTAAGAAAAATATGAGGAAATGAGTATTTATTATAAAACCTGAAAGTGTAAACCAAATCAATCTTGTAAAAAGATAGTGGAGTATCATAATTGCTTCTTATTTGCATGCTTTTAACCTAGAATCTCCAAATTCTGAGGTTATAGGGACGGAAAAGCAGCATAAATGAAGGAATCCATGAACACAGTTGTAGCATTACTTACATTAGTGAAGAAAAGAGAAAACAGACAACATGTTATAGGTAAGTTCTCAGTTCACTAAGTCATAATACTTCTTTAATATATTTTGTAACCATAAAAAGCATGTGAAAATAGTTCAGTTAAAAACACGCTGATCTAATTTCCTATTTCAATAGAATTGGTGCCTTATTTTAATTTTAATAGCTGTATGAGTTTTAATACTTGGTAATCCAATAACTACCTTTGGCTACTCTTCTGTATCTCTTCAGAACTGTACTGGCTGGCTGGACTGGGGATGTAGCTCAATGGAAGAGTGCTTGCCTTGTATGTGCAAGGCCCTGGGTTTAATCCCCAGCACCACGCAAAAAGCAAAAAAGAAATTTCCAGCTAGACTCATTGCCAGTCTTATTCTCTGAAATGGATTTTCAAATTACCTTGTTCAAGTTCAAGTTCAACAAAATGCAATTTGTCTTTGAAATGTGTTGTAATTAATTATAGATTAATTTGGTGAAAGTTGTTATCTATGTAATTTTAAATCTTCTCTTGTTGAGTCTTCATATTTAGTCCATTTTAGAAATTTCTGCCAGTGATGTCTTCTTTTAAATTCAACGTGACACTTGCTCTTGCTTGACCTGTCCAGCATTTGATAATGTTAGATCTCCTGAAACTTGAGAACATACAAGCTTGATTTTACTAATTGCCTATATTTGGACTTACTTTGTATATCTGGTGTACAATGGGAAACTGTCCTAGTACAGTCTTTCATAAAACTCATAAGCACCCTAACTTTAAACTCTCTGTTAAGTATGGTCTTCGTCGTTATTACTTTACCCTTTATAACAATTCTTATTTAGCAGAAAACTTGTCTAGTGACTCTGAAGGAATGTAATGGGTTAAGCTGCTTCAGTTTACAAGTAAGGAAGAAATTATCAAAATGAAGTGAATGAAATTAAATAGCCATTAATACAAGTGAAACTTTGGAATTCTTACCTCTCTACATAAATACTCTTGCTGGTTCCCAAAGCATACAGGCTAGTCAGGATTCTATAACAAGACACCTGCACATCTTCCACTAAGGAAAAAGAGAGTCTCACTTGAATAAAACACTTGCTTGATACATTGTCCTAAGAAACTTTAGGCTAAAAAACAGCATTCTTACCAAAGGCACTCTAATATTTTAACATTTGGAAAAAGCAAAGAACAGACTTATAAAGTGTAAAACTTTTTTTAAGCAAAATTCATTCCTTTGTAAAGGGAACTGAAAACATTCTAAAGAAGGTGATGCAATTATCTAGAACATTCTCAGAAAACAATTCCTTTATAATTTTTTGTAGGTATAAAAATAAAGGATTTTTCTAATAATGAAATTATACACAAGAGGGAGAGGAGAAACAGGTAGATTTTGACTCTTGTTCCAAAGATATACAAGGACTGCATCTTTTATCTCATGTAAAGTATATATGGACAGTGTCTTTTTAACTATAAAGATACATATATATGAAAGAGATGTGTGTGTGTGTCTCTCTTTCTGTGTGTGTGTGTGTGTGTATGTGTGTATCTCAAATGATAACAAGAATACTGGAGAATACAGTCTGTTATTCTTCAAATGACCTGATATTCAAAGAATAAGTCAGTCACTCTGGTCAGTTTTTTTTTTTTTTGTGTGTGTGTGTGTGTGTGTGTGTGTGTGTGTGTGTGTTGGAAAACCAAGTAAAATCTTACAGATGACCAATTATCCAACCAGACACATTGAAAAGAAAAATAAATCTAAGAACTTTGAATTTTTAATTCCAACTCTGTTACCAGTTCCTCATGGATACACCATGGCATAAGCAAAGAAATCAATTTTCCCTCAGACCTGCTTGCATGTGCACACTGGGCCTCAAGCAATGAGCCCACTGGTTAAAAAAAGGTTTTGCCACTGGTATTTGTGGCAGCCACTGAATAACACAGTGGTCTTAATGCAGTGCAGCCTGTCACACACAGAACCTATAAAGTGAGCATCTATGAAGGAGGGCTTGCTCCACAAAGGCCCTATCCTGTCCCATGTTTGTGTCAGCAGCAGACTGGGAAGGCAGAACAGAATATGTGTTATTTTTTCTACTTAATCTTGGGCATTCTGTGGATATTTTTTTAAAAACTACAGGATTCTATCCAAAAACAGTTGAGGAATACCCCCCCAAAAACTGGTTAAAATCCATACATAGTAGGTACTTGAGCCCTTCTAATAGTAAATTATTTAGACTAATAGTAAATTATATATAGCTTCAGTACTCTTCATATTACTTGGTAGTACAGCTTGCCAACACATTCTGCAAAGTCAGAAATGATTTGAAAATATTTAACATGGCATGTCATCTGACCCAAGAGCACTAGAACACTTAGGTTCTAGGCAATGCAGAAAAAGTAGAATTTGGATCCTGTTCTTCAACAATGTAGAAATCATTGCCCATAACTTTATTGGTCCCCTCTCAAAGTGCACATAACTTCTAAGAGACTTCTAAGAATAGTTTATAGAATTCATGTCAATCTACAAGGTCTTATGAAAGAGTATTTTAATGTACAACCAATGTTTGAGTAACCCAGACATGGTGGCTTGTATGATTTTTCTACTGGACTATTTACAAAGCAAACTCTTCAGTACCAGGTTTACATACATATCAGGTCTTCTCCAAACTGGTGCTGGCCAATGTGTTCAAATAAGGAGGACAGCACTGGAAGCAGGGCCACGGTGGTATAGTTGATGATCTGGGTCACCCCTTTGGGCTGGTTTCGGGTATGAGTGAACTGGCCCTGTTTAAGGTTTTCCATAGTCTTTTCCAGGTCCTCTGCAGCATTGTCCAGAAACGCTCTGAGCGCACTTTTCACACTGTCCAGGCCCGTCTTCATCACAGTCCTATAAGTCAAGAAGGGGTCTTGGGCCTTCCAACAGCAGCAAACGAAACACAGATAAAACATGGCCCTACATTGGGTGTATCTTTTCATTACAGCATTAGCCTAGCCAACTACATTCTAAAATTCAATGCCAAAATAATTTTTTTCAATGTACTTGAAGTTATAGGAATACTGTTCTGTAAATTGCTTTTCCCAAGAGAGGTCATCTTTGACTTCATTAAGGACTGCACAGCAATATTATACTTTATACTTTCCATCCATGCCCTCAAGTAGTTATTTTATGACATAGTTATTTTGAGATAGTTATTTTATGACAAAAAAAAAACACAGTTTCTGAGCCAGTTAGTTAATCCCAAATCCAAATATATATATATGTGTATGTATGTATGTATGTATATATATATTTCCTAAGGCAACAAGCATGAAAGAAGCATTTAATACCACCTAAACCATGCCACCAAGTGCTATAAATATTTTGTGCTTTTAAACATAGCAATCACATCTTTTCTAAAGAAGCTAGTGAAGGCTGAATTTTGTACAGAAGTGACACACTAATGCCACTATTTCTGGTAAGAAATGGAGGGGTGTTTTTGTGTCTCCTCTCTCCATTTGTTACAGAAAACATGTCAAGTAAAACCTTGAACTCGGTGGATCTCCACCTCCCTTGCTGAGATGACCCACTTTCAGTCTATTGAAAAAAATCTTCCTTTTCTCATAAGCTCTACTATCGCCTTTACTACAAAAAAAGGAAAAAAACACCTTAAACTCAAGAATGGATAATCAAAGAATATCATGGAATATCCTCTGTAGGAGATAGTTAGGAACTTTATTTAGATTTTTCCTGGATTCTATAGGAATGAAATGTAAGGCTCAACAGGCTGAATCAATCATAGTAAACAAACAGGTTATGTGTTGGTCAACAGGCTGGTTCTCTGGAAAAGTTAATAGTAGGAAAGAGAAGAAAACTCACTCACTTGGAAATTCACCCATCTACAGATTTACTATGTACACTGTTTTTACTTTTTTTGGCGGGGCGGGGTTGTATGGGAGGTTGAACTCAGGGCCTTGTGTTTGCTAAGCAGGCAGTCTACCACTTGAGCCATGGCCCCACTCCGTTTTATTCTGGTTATTTTTTGAACCAGCCTGGACAGCAATTCTCCTATTACTGAATCCCACATGGCTGGGATGACAGGCACATTTTACCAAGCCTAGATTTTTTTGTAATTGGTTAAAATAGGGGTCTCCCTAACTTTTTGACCAGGCTGGCCTCCAACAACGATCCTCTCAATCTCTGCCTCCCAAGTAGCTAGGATGACATGTGTAAGCCACTGTACCCCAGCTACTATGCAGTCTTAAGAATCATTTCTCTTCACAAAATGAAGATAAAACTTTCCAACTGTCCATAAAGCCAAAAATTATTATAAATGTTGAGCACAAGTACCACTCCTGGAAATTAAAAAGACCTCTAAAGTTATCACTTGACCATTTTTTAGTATTGTGATACAACCAGCTCGATCCTCAGGTTATTCCTAGCTGCTACAGAAATTACTTGAAATTTAAATAATTTATTTATGATCATAAAAATAAACCACCAAACATTAGTCATTATTTACAAATTACTAATTTACCTGCACCAAAGTCTTTATTACAATCCAAAAATAAAACCAAGTCACTGGGTCCTTTCTAACACTCTTCTAGATCATTATTGCATTGATTGATTGAGATAAAAAGTTCATTTACCTTGCATCCAAAGTCTGACCCAAAATATGGAGGCAGTTGACAATTGAAGTCGCGTCATTTCCTAAAGGGAAAACAAAACGCTGTATAAATTGTCCTCAGAATGCCTCAGTGTTCTTCTTTTCTATTAATATTTGTGTTGTAAAAATTGGTCAGTGGCACAACTCAATCATAACTCAATTAAAAAGACTGTTTAATAATCGAGTTGAAAATCATGCAGTTCTTCTGCTTAATGGTGATTATGCAAATGTAAGTAGGAAAGCAATAAAGCATGTCTTGTCAAAGAGCTGACATGCTCCAGAAGCATCAAAGCACTGCAGGAAGCTAAGTCTGGCTCAGATCTCCAGATGCACTCCCCTTCCCCAACCCAGTTCATTCTAGCTCACATTGTATGTCACTTTCCAAAGTCAGCTCAAGTCCTTTATGAAACGAGATGGGCTGAAAGTCTGAGCATTTTAATTCTTTTTAAATTACCCCATGTGTCTCTGCTTTCTTATTTCCTTCTACTGCCTGACAGTCTGCAAGTCTGAAATCTCCTGAAGTCAGATAAATTGATCTCTTGAAGAGGGTCGGTCTTTGCCAAAAAGCACCAAACCAGCATATAAACGTAACATCAGAGGTTGAAGAAGTTAAAGAACACCCTTATGAGATATTTGAAATGGCAGTATCTCTTCCCAAAAGTAACGTGAGATTCACTCACTTAGCTCAGTATATTCTATAGGGAAGTAAAGAAATAGCCGTGATATAAGCAACACATATACTTTGCTTTGTGACAGGTGCACAAAAAGGCAAATAAATGAAATGATGAATCCAAAGTCATTTTGGTCACTCCAATACGGTTTGATATTATCAGTTCCTTGTTCTATAATTCCATCACACACAAACACACATGCACACACACACAGAGTCATGTCCTGAATTCTTAGGGTAACAATTCCTATTTTGATTTTTATAACATTTGAATATGTTATGTTCTTGGGCTGGTGGAGTGCCTCAAATGGTAAGAGCACCTGTCCAGCAAGAATGAGGCCATTAGTTCAAACCCAGTGCCATAAAAAAGGAAAAAAAAGAGTGAATATGTTATATTCCTTATAGAAAAACAATCCTAAAATAGCCAAGTGTAGCGGCAAAGACCTATATTCCAATACTTGGGAAGCTGAGACAAGAAGATCACGAGTTCCAGGCCAGGAGGGGCAAAACAGCGAGACCCTGTCTCAAAAAACCAAAACAAGCAAAAGGTTTGCTAACATAAATGACTTAAATATACAGGCAAATTTAAAATTGTCTTAGAACATGGGCAAGCCAGTTTAGAGGCATAATACAAATAAGAAAAAGGGTATTTATTACCAAGACACTAAGCTTTTTAAGAAAATGTCTCATTTATCTTGTTCAAGTCTGAGAATTTCTGGTGCTGATAAAGACAAAATGAGCAGAAGAGAAGAACTGATTTTCCTGGCTGTTGTCACTGCCAATCCAAGGACTTCTATTGTATCCTTGGCTGTATTATTCACTTAATTACAAATAACTATTAAATATCAGGCCCTGTCAAGCTTCCAGTAATCAATAACACAGAGTCCTCATCATACTTGCATTTAGTAGGACGGAATGAGCCATTAAGCCCAAAATCAGCATACAATATAGTATCAGACATACGTATGCATATACACATATATATATCAACATTATCAACATATATGCATATATATCAGGGAACAGGAACTGGAGCACCTGGAGAGAGTGTGTGAGTGGTTGTAAGTCCCTCTTCAAGGGCGCCATTTGAGCAGGAATCTGAACAGCAGGAAGGAATGAACCAGGCACAAACCTGGAGGAGCACAGGAGCAGCACATGCAAGGGCTCCAAGGCAGGAAAAAAACCCTGGTTTTTCCAGGCAAGTCATCAAGGTGGCTCAGGTGGCGAGATCAAGGGCACAGAGAGGATGGATTTGAGGCAGAGAGGTAGAAATGGCCAGGTTCCGGAGACTTGCAACAAAAGCCAGCACTACGCATTTTTCAAAAGTGCAATGGGAAGACAGTTTTTAAAGGACAAGAGGTAGACGGGGTGGGCTCTAATAGGATTTGCACTTTAGGATTAATTCACAATATATACAACTCTGAGAGAGGAATTGTGGAAGTCAGAAAGCTACCTCGGGGCTAAATTAGTGGATTGATTATGGTGAATTTGGACCAGAATATTAGTGGTGAGACATGAAAGATATATTTTCAGGGTTTGTTTATAGACTGAGCATGAGATAAGAGGGAGAGGAGTCAGGGATAACACCAAGGTTTTTGCCACCTGAGCAATCAGGGGAATGGAGAGAGCGAGTGGAGGAATGGGGGCATGCCCCCCTGCTTTGGACATGTGAAGTGTGAGGGACCTGTGAGTGACACAGGGAAAAATACGGAAGCAGCAGTTGATATAAAAATCTACATTACAGGGGGGAGACTGATCTGAAGCTATATATCTGGGCATCATAAACATACTTTAAAAAAAATATAGGTGTCTAAATGAAATTAGCCAACATGGGTACAAAAGATAAAAGGTCTCAGTTATCAGAAGTATAAATGATAAGAAGGATGGAGCAAAGAAAATGAGGAAGAAGGGAAACGGTGCTGTATGCCTGAGTCTGGCACCTATTTCTCGGTGTGCCAGGCCAGGGAGGCACATCCCACACTCTCTTCCTAAAACAATTCATTTTTTGTCCCTCTGCGTCTGATGTGCTAACCCTCGTTAGAGAGGATCACTGTTAGGACATTAGAACATTTACCTATACCTTTTTCCATAAAGAAAGGTGTGGGCGTTTTAAACCTCCATTCATATAAGTTGGAGAGGTTGAGATTTTTGCTTGTACTCGACATCATCTGGCATAGAGCAAACACTTAATAAAATATTTGTGGAGTGACTATGGGACGGAGGAGTAGGAAACCAGTGGCAGATGAGTACTATGGGTCAAATGAAGATGTGTGCTGGGAATGGGAGATTTGTGTGATTCTTAAAACTAACATAGTAAGCTACATTGTCATTTACATCTCCTTATAAACCACCCATCTTAGATGCAGAACAACCTTCAGTTAAATCGCTGGAATGTAAAAAATGGCAAGAAAGGGACCCTACATGATGTGGAAAAGTTATTGAGTGTTCAGCATTTTACTTTACAGACCAAGTAAGAGAATCAACCCCATTAGTGGGTGTAGGAACCTTCAAGTATGAATGGAAGAAATAATTCATGCAGTGAGTAAGGCTTTTCAATTAGAGTTTGAACCTGACCTTCTTAAGGCTACTCAGATCACCATAACCATAAATGTCAATCATGTCACTAGTAAGAAGGGAAAAGCTGACCAGGCACGGTGGCTCATGTCTGTAATTCCAGATACTCAAAGGCACAGAGTAGGAGGATTGCAGTTTAAGCCCAGCCTGAACAAAAAGTTAGTGAGGCCTCACCTTGACCAATAAAAAGCTGGATGTGGTGACATGCACATTCAGCTCTGTGGCAGGTGTAAACAGAAGGATCATGGTTCAGGCTGTCCTAGGCAAGACACAAGACCCTATCCAAAAACAAATAAAGCAGAAAGGGCTGTGGGCATGGTGTAAGTGGTAGGGTGCCTGCCTAGCAAGCATGAGGCCCTGAGTTCAAACCCCAGTACAGAAAGACTAGCAAAGTTTGGTAAGATGATAGACCACTTGAGTGATTATTGGACTTCTCATGTACTTCAGTCTATGTAACTGCTTAATTGCTCTGAGTGATACAAAAAACCAAAAGTGGTCGCTGGTTTTTAAGACGGCGTTTTGCATGCATGTAGGTGTGCGTGTGTATCTGTAAGCCCAAAAGGTACATAATTAAAATCACAGTTCATTCCCAATTCTAATAACAGACAACATTGGGTTTAAATCTTACACCTGCTCACCTAATACAACTCAATTAGCAATAAAACCAACAAAGTATATGGTATAAATAAATATAGAAACTGCTTTGTATTTTAATTCCCAACTGATTTTTGGTTTTTAATGTAAGGTTTCTGTAACTCAGGAATTCTCACTGTTGTCTCAGGACTGACCTCTCACAAGGCATTTCTGTCTTATAATCTGAAATACTATGGATTCTCCAAACGGTGACCTTTTGCTCTGGAAACAGCAATAGCAGTCCTTCTAATTTATTTCCTGCTTTTCTAACATGGCTCTTGAAATAGTGTCTCATTATATCCTCTTCTTTGAAGAAATGATTAATCTTGGCAGAATCCTTGTTTACAATGTGAAATAAAATTATATTAGAAGATAAAAGTTCTTCCAAAATGATGAGGAGATAGAAATTGAGGAGTGTCGATGATTTTATTACTTACTAATGATATTGAAAAGAATAAAATTACTGGTTGTCTAATTTAGTGAGAAGTTTGGGTTAAACTGAGAACACATTCTGGGTAATTACATCTTCTCTTCGCTTGGCCCAAAGTCAGAAAATTCTCCAGAATACTATGTTCGATGGAAAGAAACAAAAAGGTGTATTTTGTTCTGATACTGTCTTTAGAAATTCCTTTCATTATATGTGTCTAGAATAGATTATTTTCTTTTATAACAAGTCACACCTAGTAAACTCTTACCTTTGCCATGAATTATTGACATAGAATGACAGAATTTTAAGATAAAGAACTTAATGATCTTCAAGTTACAAATAACAATAACCAGCCGATGGTAGCAGATCATGCCTGGTTGACAACTGAATTCTCAAAGTAAAGGCATGTTCGGTTCTCAGACACATACTATCCCCAGAGAGCCTCTGTACTCTAGGAGATTTTCCTCTTCTTTCATGTATCCTACCAAACAAACCAAGCATAATGTGAACCTTGCTGGGGACGAACTAAACATATATTAATTTTCTAGTATCTCCTGATAAAGGTCAGCACTTGTCATTTAAATAAATGAGTGACTTAGGGGAGACACATCAGAAGTATCAACGTAAACATAACCCACAACTTTATTGATCCGGGAGATCTGCCAGTTCAAAGAATTCACTGTATTGTTTAGTATTTACTTTTGAAAACTCTTCTAAACATTATGACGCATGTACTAGTTTAAATTAGGTATGCTCACCTGGAAAAAAAAAGTGAAAACCTACTACTTCCTTTTAAACACATACTACATGTGTTGTGCAATATTGCTGCAGCTAACATTGGAGTTGTACCAATGATATCAAATGTTGACTTCCAGGGTCCCTGTGAGCTCAAACCAGAAAACATACCAGAGACTATTCTCACCCTATACGGAATGCTGGCTTTGTGCCAAGTATTCCTGGCATCTCCATGTCAAAGATTCAGAAAGTCTCCATTGACTTGAGGAGCTATCAGGATAATGTATATCTTATTAGGATGTTGAGAATCACCAGAAGACTGGAGAAGAGAAAAGGTTTACAAATGACAAATAGTTTGTATCAGTTTCCTCAAATAGTTCCTGGAACACAGGGTCGTCGTTGGTTGAGTTAAATCATCTTGTTATTTGAAGAGTCATTAATTGCATGTTATTTCTGTTTTAATGTAAGTACCCAAAGTGTTTTCACGGACCTTAAAGGAATTTTAAAAAATGATTCTCATAGATTGTAGGATAATTACATACAACATTTTTCTTAATACTCTTTCAGAGGAAACAAACCCTAAAGCTTGAGCTATATGTGAATGCAAGAAAATCTCTAAATGTCTAGAATTTGTTGTCATACTTTCCCTATTAGACTCCAGACTTCTGAAGGCAGGATCTGGTTGGCTTATTTAGTCACTTATCAGATAATTCAAAAACAGTAATTTATGTGCCACACGTCCCACTAAGCCCTGAGGCGGCAGAACTGTGAGCCATCCAGAGCAGAGTTCTGTGGGAGAGAGATGTTAACCCACTAAGCACCATCACACCACTGGTGCAATGGTACACAGGGTGGGAGAAGGATTTCCAGACAGCAGTGCTTGCAGTGAAGTCTGAAGGATGGGAGTTTACTCCGTTCTAGGTGTGGGGACTCAAGGAGGTGAGTGTTACATGAGAGATCCCATTCCAGCTTGGAATTTGCTCCTAGGAGGTAAAAAGACCCTAGGCAGAAAGGGACACACACATTCAAGAGGCAGGAGAAGGTCAGTGAAGCTGAAGTAAGTGGGAAAGAATGCACTGGGAGATGAGGGGGGTGGTCCATAAGGAAGGTGGCAGAGAGCCCCCACATGGGCAGTTAAGAAGTCGATCTCAAGACACGCTGTGTGCACATGCAGAAGTATTACAATGAAACCCCTTGGTACAAAAAATATGTGCTTAAAAACCCAAAGAAAAAAAAGAAATGTGCTATGCTAAAGTGAAACTACCAAATGTGTAAGAGTATGACACGGCAGATGGGTATTTGGGGAGGGTGTGACTGTGTGGCACTCAGTGTAGAGAGACAAGGGAGGCCTCAGACAGAATGGCCACCATGGCCTTGGAGTAGTACAGGTTACAGGTGTTTGCAGATTGATCTGAGCACAGCAATGGAGGAAGAAATCTTCATTTCTCTATCCACATCCCGAGAGAATGTCTCATACATACCAACCACACAATGGATGTCTATTTAGTACACTAGCTTTGTCTTCATGTGTACAACTATAGTCCTTAGGGGCCCTGATAGGCACACACCTCTGCCACCATCCCTGAAGTCTTAGCTATGATATTCTGCTCCCTCTACAAATGTCACAAGAGGGCTGTGTATCCTCTAATGACGATGACATCAGTAATCAGCTAGCAAAAGTAAAGAGAAATGGTGGGGATAAAAGCATTTTTCAATCAACATCAAGTCCTTGAAAATGGCAGGTGAATCCTTAGGGCTTGTCAACCTGCCTAGTTCCTATTCGTATCCTATCCAAATTCCCTAGATAAATGTATGCACCAACTGTCGATCTCCAGCAAGCAATTCGGAATTCAAATGAGGAGGCCTATATTTAAACAAGATGGGATTTTCTTTCTTTTTTTGCCCCTATAATAATGTGCATGATTCCCCAGAAATCTGTGGGTAATACAGCTTGCCCTCCACTTCAAAGAAACTTATCTTTCTCCAGTATGTAATGAAATGGCTTTAAAAGCCCCCAGAACAGATGAGGTGGAAGAGCACTACTGATCTTTTTCATTCTTAGGTAGCATGCTTCAATGTACAGAGACTATTTTAAAGTACATCAAAGATACATACAAGTAAGGAGGCCCAAATTTTGGTAATCCTCACCTCAGATGTTAGAAAAAAGGAAGGAAGGAAAGGAAGGGAGGGAGGGAGGGAAGAAGGAAGGGAGGGAGGGAGGGAGGGAGGGAGGAAGGAAGGAAGGAAGGAAGGAAGGAAGGAAGGAAGGAAGGAAGGAAGGAAGGAAGGAAGGAAGGAAGGAAGGAAGGAAGGAAGGAAGGAAGGAAGGAAGGAAAGAAGGAAGGAAGGTCCTGCACAATGCCTCCAGGAGAGCAATATCAGTCTCTGTTTCATTCTCCTCTCTTTTCTCCAATTCCTGACATACGTAAGGTTAGCATGCATCTTTCTACATCTTCATCTCTGCTCATGATCACCAAGCTCCAATATTTCCTTGTTAACCTCAACTCTCAATTCTGCCTCAGTTTATTCTTAGGAGAGATTGTAGACAATTTTAAGCTAAAACTTTTATAGTCAGTTTACTTCCTGTCAGATGTATGAAAAATGACAGAATATAAAGGTAGGATGAAAGGAGTTATCGATTAATACAACTGTATACAAGCAACCAGTGCATAGAAGTTCTCAGGTCTCTCTCATTAGGAAAATGCATAATGGTATAGCTGATATTTCAAAACCAGATTGTGTTGCTTCTGATTCATTCTGGAAATGGGTAGATTATAAAGGTTTCACTGTGCGTCTATTTTAAATAGCAAAGTCTGGCTTGTATGTAATTCAATTTCTGTAAATAAGATCTAATAAATAAGATTTGAATAAATCTAATAAGTGAAGTCTAATAAATCAAGCTTGGAATACCTTATTTGTGACAGCTGCAGAGTTACAAATTCTAAAACAGTTCTATGTTCACTATCTCATGCTAGGTTTGATACACACACTGGATCTCTAAGGTTAACAATGATATTTAACCTATTGTATATATGAACAAGGTTTTGACAATTTAAGTCCCCTGTCCAAATCATTCAGATGGTTACTTTTCAAAAACAGGACTTAACATCTAGGCTTTTCAGATTCAAAGAACACTACTTCTTACAGGGCATAATATTAGTCTGAAGCCAGAGGGAAAGTATATCAGATAAAGTTTAAATGCATACTACTTAAAGAGTCTATTAGTCAGGCATGGCTGAGTTAGAGTATGTCTGATTAACAAAGGCCTCTTGGAATTCTCCTGTCCTAAAGACAAATACCAAAGCAAATCTGAAGTGATAATAGACACTTGGATAACAAAAAGAATGTACAAAATTATAAAATTAAAAAAAAACAAATAAAGGTGTCTAATAAATTCCCGTTAAGAATAAAATAGTGTTTAAAGGAGAACCGACTTAAAATACAATGCATCACACAGCAAGGGATAAATGGTAAAGTCCAGGTCTCTCCCCTAATAGGAACAATTGATCATACTTCACATTCTTCAATTACCAGCCCTTTGGATGACATATTTGTAAGGAGAAATGGAAGTCCAAAAGCAGGCCAAATTAATCCACGGTAATGGAAGCTAGATGTGCTTCATTTTATAATTTGGAAAACGGCCCAAGAGAGGCCTCTGGGATGTTGGAATGTCCTGGCCTCAGCAATGATTAAATGGATGCCTACGGCATGAACAATATCACCACATTATTCTCAACATTTGTATACTTTGCTGCATTTGGAGTACCTCAGAAAATTTAAAAAGAGAAATTATAGTGAGGTATGACACAGAAAAATCAGAGTATACAATAGGTAGGAAGTTAGAAATAGCACAACAAAAACCTTATTAATAAATATACAAAGTACAGCTGAGGAATGAGGCACTCCCATCAGAGCCCTATGTAATTAGACACGACTCTGGTGACAAACAGAATGCTTAAATGCACTGTTACTCCAGGAAAGTTCAGAAGTATGAAAATCCTGTCTGAATAATTGTTATAGAAATTGTTCTCTATTGAGCAGAAGTTAACAAAAGTCAGTCAGCAAGAAATTATTCTGGAGACAATTGCCCAATTGCTTTTAAATATAAAATAAAATATAAGATATAAAAATCAGGAAATTTATATGAAATATAAATATTAATTACTAGATTTAAGGGCAGGAAATATTATAAATGCTAGAAGCCAAACAGTATAGCATTAACTCATTGTTCCAAGAAACTACCATTTCTCAAAAATTGCAACATGAAGATCTTAAAAGTTGTGTATATGTGTTTGATCTTCAGCTTCTTCTTTTGTAGAAATGAATACCTTTATATTTTTAAACTGTAGTTTTTCCTAGACTGTAGTTGAACTTACAACATTCCTACCAATACATTTTTATTACTAAAAACTTCTAACACTATATCAAAACCTACAGAGCAAAGGGCTCAAATTTATACCGGCAGTTTATAAAATCTAAGAAAGTGGGAAACATGAATTGTGCCAGCTGCAGCAGCAAAGCGACTTGTCCCCACTGTCCCAACTATGAAGCTCCAGAGTTTAGAATGCAGTACACATGCAAATCTTTAGTCAAAAAAATTAAAAAAAATAAGTGCAGCTTAAAATTTTTGATTTGCAACAGTTCATTATTCAATCCAACAGAGATAACCAAACAAAAATCCAAGAGCCCAGTTTTGTTTTAACCTTGAAAGAAAACTTGCCATTTTCATTCATCTCTCAATAACATACCCTTTCAATTTTTAATTAAGGTTTGGACTGGTGTAGAAAAGACACATCCCTCCACTTCCCCATAGATGACGCTACTTGAGTCAATCCTGAGGACCTTGTCTTGCCTGTGAACATGCATGCAGCCGTGCAAACATGCACCCATGCAACATCGCAGCACACAACACGGTGCAAAACAGCAAAGAAAACCAAGTGGTGGCCATGCTAGTAGTTTTTTCAAGGGTCTCCTTACCAAATAGTGAAATCCTATGCCTGACAAGAACTCCAAGTTTGCAGAATAGGCTGAAGACAAAAGGAAAACAAAAGAGAAAAGGGAAGGGGGGAGGGAAGAAAGAAAAGACAGGGAGAAATTTAAAAAAAAAACACAAAAATAAAAAAAGAAGAAAGAAAAAACAGCTGATATATGAGCCAGAACAAAACAACACGATGTCACGCAGAAAGAATCGATTCTCTGAGCAGGATGCGGAGTAAAGGGATTAAAGAAAGAATCTTTGAGTGCATATCTTAAACAAACATGGTTAAAAAAGCACATATTATAAGTAAAGAAACCAAAAAAAAAATTGAAAGCAAAGCTAATTAATATAAAAGCAATCTATATGAACCTCACAATAATATAACTACTGAAATACCACATGGGTAATTTTATCTACCCAAATGTACCACTGGATTTCTAGATGTTTTTTAAATTATCAGCATTATTTAATGACAGCAAATGGTGCTTTGGGCATAAAATGTTACTGTAAGTCATAGTACGTTTTATTATTTGAAATGCTCTTCTTTTCCAAACTTAACCACACTCTTTACATGTACACCAACCATCAGTGGATTTAGACTTAGACTCAGTGAAGTACAACAGAATTTGAACCACCAGAAATCACTCAGAGGAAGTCACAGATGTGATAACATGAAGGACTTTTAGTGCTAATGAATGAATTGAGGATATTTCTTGCTTTCTACAGCAGGTTCCTGGCAAGTCCTTCATGGTAATAAGCAACCTGAGATTACAACTGGAGTCTGGTTCCAATGGATACCTATGTATCCATTGCCTGCTTTTATCCCTCAGCATCATGGCTCTAGAACCCCCTACCTCAGTAAGACCCCAAGACCTACACAAGCCTGACTGTCCCCTGTCTTCTCACTAAGCCTCCCAGTCCCATGGGTTCCCTGAGTCTGTCTCAGGAGAACCATCGCTACACTACCTCCTACCCAATCCTCAGGACCCAGCTCAGGATGTATTGACTCCAAGAAGCCTTTTCTGATGCTAGAAGAGGTCCCCTTCCAGCAGCTCCCAGGGTTATTTGTGGATCTCTCCCACGGCACTTAACCTTCCAGGTTATAACTGACATCATTGTCACCTCTACCCACATTCTTCTGCGCTCTTGAAGAGGACAGGCTTGCCCTAGCCACCACTTTGTCTAAACGTGAAGAACTGTTTTGAAGCTCTATTTGTACTTCCTCTTGATTTTCTCAAGAATAAGGAAAGCTAGATCCTCACTGGGCAGACTCTCAGAAGTTCTCCCTCTAGTCACCAGGTCGGGGAGTGGGGGCACTCAAACACAGAGGGCATCTGGAGGAGGATGTGGACCGATCACATGGGAGAATAAAGGCTGTGGTTCTGTACCAGGATGGAAAAAAGGGGAGAAAGAGGGTTATGTTTATTGAGGAAGTTTTGACCATCACAGCTCACTTCAGTCTCAATGTGAAATTTATTGATGGAAATTAAGTATTTAGGGAATTTTATAACTTTTCTAAGAAAATGTTCATCTGCAAATGTCTAAATTATCAGAGAGTTTCAGCAAATCTATTAGAGAAAAAAATTTTTAAAGTAGCCCTCCATGTAAGAAGCTGTAAGACGTAAAATTAGACCCCGATCTACATTATTTGTGCTACAATTTTGTACAGTTTTATTGACACATATTAAATTGTAGCAGGTTTCATCGTGACATTTCCACACATGCCTACAATGTACTTCAGCCATACTCGCCCCCTCTGTTACTCTTGGAAACATTCTTTAATGCGTCCTACTCGCTAAGGACAAGCAGGGTCAGACTTTTGCCTAACAATTCTTGTAAAAAAGACAACAAAACAAGACAACTCCCCAGGAGCGCTCCTGTACTGAGGTTCATGGATGCCCACTGCACATGCTAACTCAGCCAAGAAGGATCTGAATCTCTCTGATGAAATACATTTAGGACTGCACACACTTTGGATCCTTGTTTTCCAATCTATTTTAAGAGATGTCTCTTATTTATTACTATCCAGTATTCAGGGTAACACGCTCTCATGAATTCTTGGTGATAGGAAATTTATAATGCCAGGAGTTATGTTTTTACCCAATTAATCCAGACCAGGGATAGTGCTTTCTCTGGTGGAAAACCCAACTGTATCTCATTCTACCAGATTGTATTTAATGACTAAGGCTATGTCAGAGAAAACAATTTATTTACCATCTCTGCTGCTCCCTAACCACAAGTGCCACCAGGGAGAAATACAGATAAAGAAGGTTACATCTTCCACAAAGATATATTATTTTCTTTCTCCCCCTGTACCACTCATTTTGGGGGCACAGTTTCTGTACAGATTAGGAGGTTCAATTGTTATAAAGTTTATTTAAACTTTCACTTTCTCTAAAAAAATATTACCCATAAAACTGTGGTCCCCTTTTGCTGCTTCCTGTCACTATCCAGATTCTTCAAAATTGGATAAGGTGTTCATTGCCTTGTACTGAAACACTCTCAAAGTTCACGAAGTCCCCTCTCTAATCAGCAAATCTAATAACTTCTTGTTCTGCTTCATAGAGAGCTCTGTGGCTTTTGGCATTGCATCATGCTTGCATCTTTGAAGCCCTTTCCCCCTTGGGTATTGTTTCATAGAAATATTGTTCCCTTCCTCTGCAACTAACCATGCCCCTCTTGTTCTTCGATACCCTTTTCTAAAAGTCCTCCAGCTGTAATCATTTCCCAAGTGTTGGGATTCAGACTTTTTTGCTTCTCTTGTCCTTCTGTTTCATCTGTTTCCATAGCTTTGAACATGACATGTGATCTTGCAGGCAGTGCATGTGAGCAAATAATTCCTAAAGCCATCACTTGTTGCCCAAATCTTTCCAGGAGACCCTCAGGCACATTTCCAATTGCATGCTAAATACGTCCAGCTGAGTGAATTGCTTTCATTTCAATAAGCACCTCACCAAGCTTAACCTCTTCTTCTGGAAACTAGTTCTTTTTGTGAAGTCTGTTGTTCTGTGAGTGATACCACCCATGTTCCAGCTATCCAGAGCTGAGGCTTTAGTGCCATGTGGGACTTCCTCCTTCCGCTTCCCATTTCCTCACTGCTATGTCACTCTGACTTCCCTCTCATGTTTCCCACATTGGCTCCAAACGTCTCCACTGATAGCACAACTTCGTCAATGGTCACATGTGTCTATACATGTCTCCTCCATGGCACTTCATCACATTAGGAACTGTGTCCTTGTCTGTAGTATGTTGACCTGCGACCTAGGCTCCTCAAGGCAAGCCTTCAGAAGTGTCTGCTGAAAACCCAGGAGGGCAGCACCCCTGAACTAACTGAGCCACACTTCTGCAACAGCCTGCACTGCTGCCCTGGCCCCCTAACGCCTGCCACAGTCCAGGTCTTGCTTTTGCTGCAAGAATGTCCTTCCTAGGGGTCAGTTTGGATCATCTTCCAACTTCCAACTTCCAACTCTTCAATGGCATCTTACTGCCAATTAATTCAGTGGGGGAATAAAAGAATAACACACTTTAAATTGTTTTAAAAAGTAGGCTTGTTCTGGAAATTAGTAGACATCACAACCTATATAATTTACACTTTTCCCAAATTACCAGGCCCTATCTTTTATTGACGAGGGCATGTAAATCTGCAGAACCTTCTCGTCCTTACCTCTGCCCTGCATACTCTTTAAATTATCTGTGAAGGCCATGGCGTCAACACCCTGTAGCCCCTCCAAGCCTTCCAGAGAGATCTGACTATGCTGTGAATCTCTCTGCACCTTGGGGCTTTCCTCTGCCATGGCCCCGTGCTTGCTCGTGTGCTGAGCTACTGCAGTTCATCCAGGAAGACACAGACCACACCCTACTCTTTGCAGACATGGCGCTCCTGGCATCAGTCACAGCAAATGCTCCCTGCATAATTTCTAGCACCGGGGACCACATAGCTAAGCATCTCATGGAAACATGAGTCATTAGCTGTGGAGCAGTTAGTGTACACCCATGAAACTTGTGTTACCTGAGCCTGTTAAACACGAACTAAAGTCATCCGGGAGTGATCACCATGTGTATAAATGTATTGCTGTTAATTTGTGGTCGGGCCAGGCTTTGTCCTATGCATTCTGACTGATGAGGTTTTTCTTTTTACCCATTTTACTTTCTTAAGGCTGTAATAATTAACTCAGCTGATAAGAGATCAGACATTGATAAATTTCAGTGATTCCACTTAAACATGTCAAAGAAATTACTCATTTGGTTTTGTTATTGTAAGGGTGCTATTGATGATTTAAAAACATTATTATAAAAGATTTTAATTTTCATTTAAAAAAAAACTTTGAAAACAAAAAAGTCTCCAAATACGGTCTGAAGAAAACAACTGTTAAAACTAACTTTATTTCTTACCAGTACTTCTCCACATTTACAAATGTTTTACTATTTTTGAAAGATGGGTTGATACTATTTGAACTTGTTTTATTTTTGTCATGATGATTTTCCAAAGTTATTATTTCATATGTATAATTATATAATACATGTTTATCACAATGGCTACACATAATTTTGCATATACATGTATCATAATTAAGATATCATTACCATATGCATTTTTTCCAGCTATATATTTTTCTCCTGAGGTTAAATTCATATGCTTGACTGTCGTGTACTGTCATGAAATAAATTACTACGATCAAGCATATCATTTTTTATGTGTTGGAATCTTAAAGGGCTTGAGTTCCATTTTTGGAAATGCTAATGGGAGATGTAAAATTTACAGTCCTTTTTCTATTAGGTGAAGAAAACGGAAGATAAAATTATGAAAGGCTGGGTGTGGTGGTACACACCTATAATTCCAGCTCTTTGGGAAATAATTTAGGAGGATTTCAGTTTGAGGCCAGGCCAGGGCAAAAGCATGGGACCCTATTTGAAAGATAAACTAAAGCAAAAAGGGGTAAGGGCATGGCTCAAGAGGAAGAACACTTGCCTAGCAGGTGGGAAACCCTGAGTTCAAACCCCAGTACTACACAAAAGAAACTACACTGCAATGACACTGGTGCAGTGTATTAGAGAGGTCGATCTAGATGTGGTCTAGGGTCTCAGCACAATATTACATGAGGGTGGCACAGAAGGGCAATATTATTTTGATTTCTTCTCTGAGAGATGCCAAGTTGAAATGGAAACAAGCTAATTTTCTTTTCTTTTTTTTGGTGTACAGTTCTCTGAATTGTTTCTAGTCTTACTGAGACATAATTAACAAATAAAACTGTGTGAATTAAAGGTGTCCAATTTGATGCTTTGGTATGTGTATATTGTGTGGTTGATAAACCTTCTGAGAGTAAAAGCCAACACTGAATGGAGATAATAAAAGATGAGAGAGGAGGGGAAAGCAGAGCTTGCATCAATTTATTTGTATTTTTTTCCCCGTTTTCTTTGTCTATTTTCTCCTGATTTATGTAATTAAGTGACACCAGAGTTAACAACCACCTGAGAAGTTTCTGTCACTGAAGGCCAAGCAGGCCCAGAAAGAGTAGGGGACCTCAGGTGGCCTGGGTCTCACCATGTTTCATGGGAACTCAGTGCCTCTGGGTTTCCTAGCTACTTGTGTGAACTCCCAGTCCACAAGGTCACTGATCCAAGGAAGTGGACAAGAGAGCTTGTGAACTGCTGAGGGGCTAGCCATCTCCCTGTGGGGCAGGCAGGAGGAAGGCCATGCCCAAGTGGGAAGGAGTGGGGACACTACATTGCCTGTCCATCTGGTGACAGTTAGGGAGCAAACTATGCCACTGGAATTGGTCCTCTTTGTTGTTTTCACTCTGAGCAGTTTTATCAACCTCAGAAGAAAATTATTACACAAGGAGGTTGGAAGACATCGTTAAAGCTATTGCAACCCTACACCATGTGACTGGCACGGTGGAGTTGGTAGAATGGGTGAAAAGATGAGCTGAAAATTCCATCCCAGTGGCATACTCCAACGTCACGCAAATCCTTCCTCTTTTCCACCCGCTGGTGACCATCTCATTCCATCTCCTCTCACTCTGTCCAACAGACTGGCACAGCACTGCTACTGGGCACAGCATCAAAGTCAAGGGCAAGGAAAGCCTGCCTTCTCTCTGGTTTTCTGCTGTATGTAAGTTCCTTGCTTTTACAGAAATTTTGTTCAGATACATTCTACTTTGAGTAATGTAATAATAGTGATGGACTTACTCAGCAATCAGTTGTCATGTGCACTAAGCGCTAACAGAACTGGGAGCAGAGCGGACCCCAAAACCCCAGCAGAATCACAAAACCTATAAAGAATACTTGGGTGTTAAACACAAATGGGAAGGACGTCCAGACGCCAGGTTGCGCAGTGTAGAGAAATGTTTACCAAGGGTGTATCTGTACTCCTTTCCCTTCCAGGATGGTCATTATTTTAATACTATTGTTCAAATTCAGTTTATATAAGTAAGATTTTGCCTTCTGAAAAAATAAAGGCCGTGAAAAATAATAGATTTACAGAAATATTAAATAAACTAAGGTTAAAAGCATCATTCTTCATAAATACTAATATGGTAATAGATTCCTTCCATGTATGGATTATGGGTTTTTTTATTGTTCTTTTTGTTGCTCATTTGGGGTTTTTTGGGGGGGTTCAGGGGAGGGAGGTTGACCCTGGAGAGCAAACCCTTATAGATTCTGTTTTGTACAATATTTTCTTTTTTCTGTTTGGCAGTACCTTTAGCAGCAATAAACTCAACACACAGGGCACATACCATAATCTCCAGAAATGGTCCCTGTGACCATCTAGTATTAGATTCCAAGAGAATGGGGACCAGAGGATTGGGGAGGAGACCCTTCTCATGGCCCCCCTTCAAGGTCCCCATGTCCCCTGCCCCAAATGCACATAGAGGGAGCTCAAATAATGGGCTTTAAGATTCTGGCTCTTTACCTAGTTACCATCTCTTTCTCTTTGTTGGATGCGTGTCCTCCGGAGCGCAGAGGCCTGCTGGCTGCAGACAAGAAGTACAAGCGGTGGTTTTTGAAATACTGATCAATGAGAGGAAGAACGACCTAAAAGAAAGGAAAAGAAAACAGATCTGTGGGGGGTGAGTAAGCACCTCAGCTCAGAGCAGTCAGAATTGTATCCCATGTCATAGGCCCTGCAGCCAGGCCCTGTCAAAGGATGTCCCTGAGTCTCTGCTGTATCCATTTTGGGTGTGTGCATGCGGATTGCGGGGGTGTAGGTGTGATGATGGGGAACAAGCAGACTCTCAACAGTCTGGAGTTAGTCTCAGCATTTTCTCAAAATGAGGCATACTCAGTATTTCCATACAATATTATTCAATCCCCAACAGACTCCAAAATAACCTTGCACTACGGCACACTGAGTCCCTACTATGTGTGAGGGTTGTAAGAGATGCAGCATCAGCTCATCTGTCCTACATCCCCTTTCTGCACAGACTTAATCCTGCTGGCCCGGCTATCCTCCCTCTGTCCACTCACACTGCCATTCCCCTGAGAGAAATGCTCTTCTCGCTTCCTGTCACCTCCAGGGACCTCAGCTCAGTGGCACTTGAGGGAAGAAACTTTGCTAAGCTCCACACTGGGGAAAAGTCACCTTCTCAGCTCTTCCAATAGCTTTGGCAATCTTGCATTTTGCATGTATAGTTTTGGATTGGAGCCTATGAAGTACAAGAGAGCAGGAAGCATCTCTGCTTTGCTCCCATCATCGCCTCTCCTGGCCCCGAGGCCTGCATGTGGTCTGTTTTGCCTCCAGTGGACTTTCCAGAACATAGGACCCTGCCTGTTGGGCTCATACCAAGTACTAGATGAGTGTGTGTTGAATGAATATATAAAAATGATAAGAGGCAGTACCAGTATTCGAGTCAAGTATGTTTAATTATGCTCTTTTTCCTATAGCTATAAAAGTGAGTAATACACAAGCTTTTATCTATTGTCCTTAAAAGCTATAATATACAAATATTGCCTGAATTTAGTTGTTGGCATATAGTTGGTGTTCAATAAATAAGGGGAATGAATGAATTACAGACTTACTAGAAATTAAGCCCCTTCATGTATCTGTAAACAAAACTATCAGCAGCACTGAGTAGGTAGCAATATGAAAGTACATATATATAGAGAGAGCTAGATATAACATATATTATAGACATGTTTTTATATATTTATAGTTTATATACACATGGAATTGGAGTTGAACTCAGGGCCTCATGCTTGCCAGGCTGGCACTCTAGTCACATTCCCAGCCCTTTTGGCTTTGGCTATTTTGGTTATTTTGGAGAGAGGGTCTCACATTTTATGCCTGGGACAGTTTGGACCACAATCATCCTATTTGTACTTGTCATGTAGCTGGAGTGAGAGGCATACGCCACCACAGCCACCTTTCTGTTGGTTGAAATGGGGTCTCATTAACTTTTTCCCAGGCTGCCCTAGAGTCACAATCTTCCTGATCCCTATCTTCCCAACAGCCAGGATTAAAATGTATATTTTAAAGGCATGTTTGAGGCAACAAATATACAGCATTCTGATAACTGGCTATCAAGGGGAATTACAATTGACACAGGCTGGAAGTGATCAATCAATTTATTTATCATTAACACAAATCAAAAACCAAATCTTTAAATGGATGGAACAGACTCTGAATGCTATGTAGATAGAATAAAGAAGACAAGAGAAATTTTTGCAGTGAAGAGTATAATCCAAAAAATGTAATAGAAGTCAAATATTAACCAAAAAGCATGCCATTTTAAAATCCGTAAAATGCAGTATTTATAGCAAATGACGTGTAATTATCACCAAATGCAAGAACACTGAAAGAAAGTTGGCAGCAATAATCAGGTCTTCATATTAACTGCAAGGTAGTGTAAACAGGAGTGCTAACTCAAGGCCATTGTGTCTCTGTGACTATCCCCAGGCCATAGTCTATTGCCTAACATGGATACAATAAATTCTGAAGAACTGAAGGTACCCAATATGGAGGCTTTGCAACCCTTAATCTCTTTCCCTTCTTGGCTGAAAGGAAGTGTTGAAAGCTCCAGAAATGTAGCAATCCTCAACAAATCCTTATAAAATGGAATTGATAATACTGACAATGGGATATACTTTGTGTATGAACAGTGGATCCTCTGAGACTGTTTCCTTGTCTGTAAAACGGTAGGACTGGGGTCCCACGATAGAGTCACACTAAAGATTCTTGTCACGTGTACATTGACAAGTTAACTGATGCTTCCCTTCCTTATAAAAGGTTCATATAAAATGCTACATCATAACATATTCAAATGTTAAGAAGTGGAAGTGTTTCATCTTTGACACACGAGGAAGCCAAAGAATCAGAACTTTTTGACTTGGATTGCCTCTAGCAGCTAAGTCATTTGAGGAATACAGTAGAAGGAGCTGAAGGAGCTGAAGTGTGACTAAACACGCTGGCAGAAAATCGCTCCCCCATGACTCATGCTGTTATTTCTGTCAGCGAATGTTTACTTGGTAGTGAAACGAACATTTATAGATAAGCACATTCTGGAAAGAGGCAAGGATCTAATGAGAGTATTTTGTAAACACACATATTGAAGCAAAAAACAAGATGGATTGTATACTGTACTTTGGCAAAGAACTTGATTTCTTGTTCATAGGGAAAGTGTTCTCCCTTGCTTCTGCTGCCACCATCTGTAGAAAGAAAGAGTTTTTAGGTACTTGGTATGCTTCAAATATTCCAAGATGGTTACCAAAACACAAAGTTTAGAATGCTTTGCTGAATATACTGTCTCGCCAAACTGAATAGCCAACCAAAAACAGAAAGGCTAACATCAATTAAGAAAAAAAAAAGATCTTTTAAATTACTCAAATCCAAACATAAAATCTATTGACAACAGCCCATACTTATGGTCACAAGCACAAATACACCTTACATAGCCTTGATGTCTTATTGACGTGTTGGGAGAAATTGGAATAAAGTCAAAATCCCACGTCTCCAGGAATCTTCAAGAGAGGAAGGTCACAGAGGGGAGAGCAGTGAGTAGAAGTTAAGTGTGCGTAACTGGCAGGTTTTGACCCCACCCTGAGTCAAGATGTGGCTGGCAGTTTCTGATTTTAATAGACCGACTGAAAAGCTACAAGAAGCCAGTGCCTGTGGTGAGGAGGAGCTAACAATTTTAATATTACACAGCAAAATTAGCATTCTGGGGAAGGATAAAGGACTTTCCACCTATGTCAAAAGATAATTTCAATAAGGGAAGCAGAAATACATTTTTTTCCCTGTGGTTTTGAATATGAGTCAAGGTTAAGAACTGATTGACCTCCTGCACTTAGCTTAGAAGTTGGCCTCTGTCACCTTCTTTGTGCATACAAAAGAGGTAATAATGACACCAGTGACCATGACAGTATGAAAAACAAACTGAAGAGCTAAAAAATTCAGACTTGGATAAAAGATTTTGTAAGTAGAGTTTCCAGATTTTATAAGACTCTAACTTGTTTCTGCTTGAAAAGTAGAATTTCTTTTGTAGTTAGAAATAAAAATAAAAACACTTTATCAAATATGAGACATAAATTCAGGGAAGACAGGTAACACTTGATAGTATCAGATCAATGTCCTCCTCATGAACAAGTAAGAAAATGATGACTTTTTAACACTGAGAAATATTATTTTTGTATTATTTTGGCATTAAATCTCTCTCAAGCACATTAAGCAAAACAGCCAAATTCTTATAAGGGACTGTCCCATGTAAAGTATGTCAAGATAGAGTTTTGTACACAGCCAGTCAAATCTGCTTTTATTTCAAGGAATTAAATAAGCAATATCCTTTCTTTCATTACACATGTTAACAAAAATTCTTATGTGCAGAGCATGAAAAAGATTTGGAGAGATTCTGGTCTATGGTATAACAAAAAAATTAAAGGCCAGGCATGGTGGTACATACCTGTAATACCAGCTCCGTGGGAGGCAGAGACTGGAAGGACTGCAGGTCAAGCTTGGCCCAGGAAAACGTTGACATGACCCTAACTCAACCAACAAGCCAAGTATGGTGGAACAGCCTCCAGCTACATGGCAGGCTTAGGTAGAAGGGTCATGGTCTAAGGCTAGCCCAGGACAAAAACTGAAGACTCTAACCAAAAATTAACTAGAGCAAAAAAGGGATGGGGGTGTGGCTCAAATGACAGAGCACCTGCTTGGCCAGTGCAAGGTCCTGAGTCCAAACCTGACTACAGCAAAAAAAAAAAAAAAAAGAAAGAAAGAAAACTGCACAGCAAGTCCTTACTATCATAGTAACTTAGATCTAAGAATGAATAAATTAAAACTATCCTAAAAAGTCAAGGAAAAAGGAGAAAGAGATAGAGTGGTTTTATTTGTAATTATGAGAGAAATTAAAATAAATGAAGGTTGTGACCACCCCAGTTCTCTGCCTGTCCCTCTAACAGAGGAACTCAGGGCCATCTGAAGAAGGACATGCCACATCAGAAACTGAAGAACTGTTTCTTTGCTGGGCTTAGTGACTGCAGACTTTGTTCCCCGGTGTTGTAGCTATAAGATCCTCTACTAGGAAGAGATGAAATGTACCAGCCCCAAGAACAATCCTTGGAGGGGATGCCTACCACTCCCCGTGCACACATACTGCTGGTTCATTCCCACCCTTCAAATGTGTGTTTCTGTGCTCCAAACGATGGTAAAAAATTAATAATTTTCTCACTCCTTTCTCCAAATGAATTTTTCTCTCTTTGCTGGCCCAAAATATTTCGTCTTAGAGTTGATACCCTTCTAATCCCTTTCAATGGAGATCAGAATTTTCAATATTCAACTTTATGCCTGAAAGTCTCAAAAATTACCCCAGCCTCATGTTTTGTTCTTGGGTTGAAATTCATTCATTCAAACTAATTTGGCTGCTTGTTAGGATCAACCAGGAATCTTATTTTTCATAATTATATATGAGTGACGGGGAGATTGTGCATCATAAATTAATTTGCACAGTTAGATTTCATGTTTAAGAAGAGAGCAAAAGGGCAGCATTTGGACTGTAAATAAAGGGAAGGCTGAAAGAAAACTAAGCTGTTTATGAGAATGACAGTCGACTGGAATATCTTGAATCCCACTCAGAAATTCCACTCAGGATGCAGGTGGCCACGAACAAGAAAATACCAGAGCTCAAATTTCTATAAACTTTAATCTGATGTTGGTCCAAAGGCTAAATTTAAATCCTAAGAAAAACAGCAATTAAGGGTTGAGGGGGATCATCTCAGAGGAAATGTCTTGAAGGAAGGAAGAAATGAGGACTAGAAACAAAAGCAGAATCAGGCATGGTGGTACATGCCTGTAATCCCAACTACCCAGGAGGCACAGGCGGGAGGATGGCAAGTTCCAGGCCTGTCTCAAAAGCAAACTAAGGACTGGGCATGGTGGCACACACTTACAGTTCCAGCTATTCTGTAAGGTGAGATTAGAAACATTGCAACTTGAGGCATCCCAGGCCAAAAGGTTAGTAAGAAAGACCCCAGCTCAACCAACAAGCCAGGTAGGGAGGTATGTGCCTCTGGTCCTCGCTATGTGGGAAACACAGGCAAGAGGATCACATCCAGGCTGGCCAGGGCAAAAATATCTGAAAAATAACTAAAGCAAAAATGGCTGGGGACATGGTTCAAGAGGTAGAGCACCTGTGTAGCAAGTGCAAGACCCTGAGTTTAAAACCAGGACCACTAGATAGATGAGAGATAGATAGACAGACAGACAGAGAGATGATAGATAGATAGATAGATAGATAGATAGATAGATAGATAGATAGGCAGATAGATGAGATAGATAGACAGATAGATGATAGATGATAGACAGACAGATGGATGATAGATAGATGATAGATAGACAGACAGATGATAGATGAGAGCTAGATAGACAGATAGATAGATGATAGATAGACAGATGAGAGATAGATAGACAGATAGATGATAGATAGATGATAGACAGACAGATAGATGATTGATAGATGATAGCTGATAGATAGATAGATAGATAGATAGATAGATAGATAGATAGATGAGAGATAAAAACAAAAGGATTGGGGGGTATAACTTCAGTGACAGAGCACTTGCCTAGCAGGTGAGCATGTGTGAAGCCCTGAGTTCAATTCCCAGTACCAAAGAGAAAAAAAGTAATAAAACTTTGACAGTGAAAAAGAAAATAATATGGAACCACTACAAGAGCCACACTACAAGAGCCACAGATCCGGAAGGGATCAGACGCCCTCAAGAGATTTCACCTCAGCCGGGCTGACTGAGGCAGATCAGACAATGACAGGGGTAGGGAAGGCCACCCGTGTCTGTTCCCATCTGGGGTTTATGGTCACATGCTGGTGGTGAGGTGGCACTGGGCGGGCAGAGGCTCTCCTATGCCCCATAAGTATAATGAAATATTATTCTGCATTGCAGGTGTTCCAGAATAAACACCATCCCTGGAAAAGCTGGACTAAGGCCTCCAGAATCCTGAGAATAGAAGTTTTTTTTTTTTAATCTAACAAGTAGAAAATTAATTTCATAGATTTTACTCTGCCTTAAAATTTTGATGTTTAGAAGGAAAGAATCACCTATGATAACCTTTCTAGATTCCTCCAAATTCACCACTTACAGCAACTAGTTGGTCTACTGGCCGTTGGCCCCTTCTTGGTATAGGACAGATAGGATGTGTTTGTGACATCTGGACACTCCAGTAATCTGTGCCTTTCACACCCCAATGGATGTTGTAAACATTAAGAACAACAAAGATGGGGCAACAAGCCACCGGAGCAGGTGCCTACCAAACTCCAGGATGTACTGATGGGCTTCATCCACGTAGCGAATGAGCTGCTGGAGGAAACTATAGGCAAAACGCTTCTCGATGGAGGGCGTGTCCAGCTCCAGGTCCTTGAACCCTCTGTAATGGCAAAAGTCAACTGTGGACAGTGCAGACCACGTCTCTTACATGGCAAAGTTGTGTAAAAAGAAAAACACATACATGCAGATTTTCACATTACCTAACGGTCTTGGAGCTCAAGGCAAAATCAAATTTAACTTGAAAGGAGCACTTTGCATCTCATATAAAGGTGGAGGAGAGAACCCCATTACTGTGGAATAAAATGTTGCCTTTGCGAAAGCAGGGTGTGATTTGTAATTGAATTGAATTAATTTATTCTTTGCCTAGGGATTTTGTCAAATGATGGATAGCAACTTAATACAGCAAAAGGGCCTCAGCTATGCAGCAAGCAGTTACGGGCCCTAACGTGTGTATTTTGAACACAGTAGCTCTAAGCTTGAACAGACCTGTGGCTTCATTTTCAGCTTTCAAATACCTGATGGGGTATTTGAACACGTTCTTCCGAAAAGAAGGTGGAGGAGGCAAACTTTTACCTAGATACTAGATATCCGTTGATCTGCAGAAACTTGAGGATATCCTGCGCCTTTTCCCTGTCCTTGGCTTTCTCTTTGGCGGTCAGTGTGTCATAGGGCACGAGCAGGGGATGGTTCCCACCTCCTAAGAGAATGGCAAAACAGGGACACACCATAGTAATTTGAACACAATCCGAGGTGACAGTCCCACTTAGGTGACAGCATGTCACAACAGAACTTTCGATGTGTTTAAACAACACACAGAGCACAAGAGACTCAGGCAGGCCTCTTCCTCCTCCAGTGCCTTTCGTGTCCTGGTTAATTCAGGAAAACCACTCCAGGAAAGACTGGGCACCTGCCTTGTACTGGACATTTAAACGTGAACATACAATGACTTGGAATAGCCAGCACAATAACATCCCTGTCACCAAGGAGGCAGAAATGGACACTTTCTTTTCTCTGCTCTAAGGAATTCTGAATGTGGGGAGTGGAGACAGACCAAACCCACATAAGGATCTAGTAAAATTACAGGACAAGTTTTAGGGTTTATGTTTCATTTTCTGCTTCCCAGAGGCAAAATGTACCTTAGATAAGGAATTTTTATTATAGCTCCCAGATCAGAGAGCACTTTATGCTAATATTATTTATAAATACACAAAAACTATATGTAGATATGCTAAGTTAAAAAGTTGATCCATCACAATTATGTAATATTTGACTGGTTACAAAATATTTGGCCAGTAACTCCTAGCAAGAATCGATATCTGACCTGTGAGAATTACTAAAGCATTCTGCTCTTTGAGATTTAAAAACTTTATAGCATTTAAGTTAAAAATAGCTAATAGAGAAAAACATTTATAAATTTTTAATTTTTAAATTTTTTTGTAAAATTATAAGATACTGTTAATCTCAGATAAAAAGATCTGATAATAGAGAGTGCTATTAAAATAGTAACAAACAGAATAGCTTGGTGTATTGTCAAAACTTAAATGTCATAAAACATATATAAGTGCTATATTATTGTGTGGGATGCGAAATTATCCTGAAATACAACGGCTAAGGGATTTTGAGAAAGAAAAACAGAAAATGAGTATTTTGTTTGAATTATGATAACATTATCTATCCAATTCATTTCCACAGTAACTGACCCAGAACTACTAACACAATCACAAATGTTGAATTTGACTTCCTAGTAAACAAGCCAGCTGAAGTACAAAGCTGTTGCTCTGATTTTTAAGAGCTGGCTTTGTGTGAGCGTGCCACCTGCAGAAATGCAGTCGCCCACCCAGTTTTACAACCATCAGGTGACGCTCTGTAGTTACAGTGCCAAGAAAAGCACAGCATAGCAAGGAGCCAGCAGCAGAAAACAGCTGTCAGAAGATAATGCTGTGAGACATCCTGTGAACAGCAAGAGGACATAGGCATGTGACTTGTGTCAGGATAAAAGATGTGATTTAGCAGGATACAGATGTGAAAAAAATTTCATTGAGTAATCAATAAGCACCTATTTCAAACTCCATTATTACATTCAGTTCTAGGGAATTGTGAGTTAATTTGGAGGAGGTGGGGAGAGGGAGAAAAGGAGAGAGGAAGGGGAAGAGGGGGAAACCAAGGAGAGAGAGAGACAATATGAATGAATAAATGAATGAATATGAATAAGGTCTATAATTTAAAACCCCCAAGAACTCAAAGTATCTCTGACTCTGAAACCCTTCTTAGCTTCTCAGACCACTGCTGAACTAGAATTAGAACTAGCTAAAGGGCAGACACATATTCTGAAGTCAGCCTGGCAGATCAACAGCTTAAGGTCTTTGCTGTGCCTCTTAACAGCAGTGTGACTGGGACTACCGCTGGCTCTTCCAGCCCTCTTCCTTCCCTCTGATAACTTGGGTGCAGGTGTTTTGTGTAGAGGAACCAGCTGAGTAGGGGTAAATGGATATTCAGAAAGCCCTTCATGCTGCCTCAAACATACTAGCCCTGGCTCAAGAATGTGTTTATATGGAAGGGCAAAGATTCCCTCATCTGTCTTCAGCTTCCACAGTTGTCTTGGCTACATGACAAATTACCACAGCACAAATACTTAACATGGCAGTAGAGAAAGAACAGAAAGGAAAGCCAGCTCTTGACATTTTTTCACTAATTTGGGAGCACTGATAATAGTTTGGGGACTTTCACTCCTTATTTCTAACTTATTTCCTCCCTCCCTCCCTCCCTTCCTTCCTTCCTTTCTTCCTTCCCTCCCTTCCCTCCCTCTTTTCCTCCCTCCTTTCCTTCCTTCCTTTCCTCCCTCTCTTTCTTTCTTTCCCTACTTCCTTCCTTCCTCCCTTCCTAGCTGCAGTGGTGGAGATTGAGCCAGGCACCTTGCGCATGGTAGGCAAGCACTCCAGCACCAAGTTATAATCCAGGTATCACTCCTTTGTTTCTATTCATGAGGCAAGTTCTCCTCATGGTGCCTGACTTCCTCCTAACCCCTCCAAAATTCCTCAAGTGCACTGTGAGAGAACCGAAGATCCAATGACCAAAGCAAGCAAAATAGGAATTTTCCTGCAGATTTTTCTAAAGCAGATTCATCTTCTGCAAACAGATTCAGGGATGATAAGACAGCAGAATAGCTGAAAATGAAATGGTGCAGTTTTGCCATGGATTTTCTGAGTATCTCTGACTTTGACGCATATACACAGTTCATAATACATGCATAAACTGTGCCAAAGAAATAACCATGGAAGAGACCATCAGTGTTGGATGCACTAAATTGAAAATGTTGGTGCTAATAAAATTTGCAAGTTTTATGTTTAGAAAAGGAGAAAAGGACAAGGACAAGCATATGAGAGAAACGTAAGCAGACCAGATGGAAGAAAAGAGACAAAGGTAGCAAATAAAAAGGGGTGAGGGGGAAAGAGATTCAAGTTGAGAGATTTGAGTTGGAGTAAGGACCGGGGTGAGGGGAGCGGTCCAAGTGTCTGGTACTTGGATATCAGTCAAAGTATACACATGGATATGCCAAAATGGCTGGAAGAAAACCGTCACAATTCTGAGACACAAGGAAACACACAAGCTGTCAAGAAATTCTGGAATTTCCCCCTTGCATCTGATGCAGGCACATTTGACACTTTCTAATAAAATGAAGGCCTTATGCGTACTTGTGCTAAAAAGACTAATTATTTCACCCACATCACACACTCCCACAGTTAAGCTCTGAGTGCTTTTGAGTGGAGGCTTTTAGACAACCTCACCTTTGGATTCCAGCTCGAGTTTCTTCTTCTTCGCCCATATGTTGTGGTAGTTCTCAGCCATCATTTCCGCCATTGCCTAAAACATACCAAGTACTTAGGAGCTAACTTACGCTTCAGTGAGTGGGGAAGGGTGAATCTGCTTTCTAATATGCAGTCAAAGCATGCCTTAAGTAAATGAAACAGAGCATTAGCACCGAACCACTTTAAAAAGATAATCAAGTGCAACTCTCATATTGGAATTTGAATTCCACAGAATTTTACTGATTTATGAAAATCCACAGTCAGCAAGCAGAAGAGGGAACTTTGATAGGCGTGCTCACTGCTATTCAAAATGTTTAAATGCATACATGTACACACAGATATGTGTGTATGTATATATATTCATATGCACACATATACATATATGTGCACATTTTCTTAATTCAGTAATGGAACTTCAAAATAACTCTGGATTTAAGCATAAAATATTCTTATTTATAATTTCTTATTTTAATTTCCAAAGCTTTAAAGGACAATGCAAACCTTATTAAGCAATGAATGCAAAACAATGTTAGCTGGAGAGTCTAAATATTTTACTTCCAAGTCGTTCTCTGATCAAACTGGGTGAGAGACATTGACCAAGCCACATTACCCTCTCTGTGGCTTTGTGGATTTTGGTAAAATCACCCCTATGGCTCTTTTTACCTTTGATATTTAAGTTTACTATGTTACATCCTTACAGGAACAATGACAAAGAGCAAACCAAACAATTCAACCATGCACAAAATTCATATTTATATCTTTATTTCTCTTGGATATAGTTGTATCATATTGACCTACTAAGTATGATCGAGGATACAAGTTTTATCTCTCACTCAAATCAGCCATTCCAAAGTAGATTCCTTAGTGACAAAGGAGGCTGTGATGGAGCAAGCCAAATACCACCAATTTATTTGGATGGACAATCTAAAAGACACATTCTTTAATGAGTAATTAAGGTGAATCTTGGGCAGAGCCTTGTTAAATGTTTACTCCTCTTATATATAGCTAGCTAGCTACACTGGGCATTTGCAGGGGATCAGTCCTAAGGAAAGCATGTTAAGCATCCTTGCAAAGGTTGAACAGTAGTCTCTCTTGTTCTGCGTATACTTTGTAAGATGCCCAGTGGATGGCTGAAACATGGAACAGGAATCAGTCTTCTATGTCCCATGTGTCCTGCACCCTTGTCATGTAGTGCCAGACTTGATTTGTCCTGTGTTTTGTCTCCTGGGACCTTCACTGCATCTCTTCTCTTGTACTTTGGGGCCATTAGTAAAATAACAGTCCTTTAACAAAAGCATGGCAATACCATGCCAGAGGAACTGATAACCCAGACAGCCACTAAGTCCTTAAGGGAAGGACAGAGGATGGTTCCCGCCCAGGGTGGGACAGAGCAGCATTGCACCACTCAGGATGGAATGTGATTTAAACCTTATGAGTTGGTTCTTTCTGAAACTCTCCACTTAATGTCTCAGACTACAGTTGGATAGGAGTAACTGAACCACCAGGCAGTGAAACTACAGACCAAAGGGGACTCACTGTGTCAACTTTTAAGGTACTAAAAAGCTAGACCACAAAATTGCTATGAACTCTATAGTCCCATTATATGATCACCAGGCTCAAACCATTCATGGTACAAAATACATGCAGGAAACTGTCACGATGCTATGCTTCCTAGAAATAAAACAGACAGTATTTGTTAATAAGTAACTCACGTGTAGGTCTCTGGACAGTGTAACATTGCTCATGTCAATCGCTCGGGGACTGTAACCATGGGCAGCATCAACAGAAACCTAGATTATTTATATTAAAAAAATCAATGCCACATCTCAAACCCTGCAGACCTGCAGAGAGACTTAATTGACACGTTAGTAACATAAGGCAAATACATTTCCAAACACAATGTTTTCTCTGACAAAAGCAGCAAATATCTACGCAAAATGAGTCCAAAGATATATCCAGGGATTAAATTCTATTTGGGTATCTGACAATTACCTATGATTAAACAGTTCATCCTAATATCTTAAGGATGAGAAATCCCCCAAAATTAATAATCATAATTCAACAAGTTGCACAATGAATTCCAAATTCCACCATGTTCCCTTACGCAAAGGATCACTATATTCTTCACTTTCTTACAAATCCTATTTAGATGCAATGAAATTGTCCCTTTCTCAGCCAAACAATAGTGACTCAAAGGAGTATTTACAAATGTCCTGGTGTGTCAAAGGCTAGGCAAAAAAGAACCAGCTTTCTAATTCTGAAAGCAGATCACATGGTATCCATCGGTTGACTAGGAAATCCTGGACGACAGAAGACGTTAGTTTCTAAGTTGCACATTTTAAAAAATGAAATGTATCTCCTTGGCTTAGCTTTCAGAAAGCCTCATTCTCATCCTGTGCACTTACTTATCCTCTCAAAGGCACAGAAACAAGCTGAGGTCCTGCCTATGAATCTGAAGTTTTCTGGGTATATTCCACAGTTGGGTATGTGCTCTCATGGGAAAGGCTCTGAGCCTAAAGAGAAAAGATATAATATAGCACAAATCCATGCTTGTGAAATAAAAGGCCAACGTGCTACAGATAACAATGAGCTCGAGAGAGACATTCAGGTCTCTGGTTAGTTTTGACTGAACCCCAGCTTCTGGGCTTCACCTCACTCAGGACCTCCGACAACACAATGTGTGATACAATCACTAGACTAAGATGAGGTTTAGGTTTGCATAACCCAAGCAAGTGTGAGGTTCAATGTGAAGTGTACTCCTTTCCTACTATCTTTGCTCTAACTCTGAAAATTAGCATTTCTGCTTGTTTAAGCTCCTAAGGAGTTGTCTTTCTGTCTCAATCTCACCATCCTCTGATCCACCTTACACTATTTCATCCAAATTGTATTTCAAAAGACGATTTTGTTATTGTTAAGTGATAAGCCCTATCACTGTACCATAATAATCTGTGGCAGGAGCTAAGACTCATTCATCTCATGTTCCCAGAGCTTGGCACAGGCCAGCTGATACCAAGTTTAGGGTTTTATCAAATGATTCTTGATCTCACAGATATTAAAATATGGCCTATGTGCATCTTAAAACTGATAAAAAAACAGTATTTGGCTCTGTGAATGTCACCAAATAAATTAATAAACTAGAGCTCATCTCAAGACCTTCATTTGTTTTTAAAATGTAGTTTCCTTTCCTCTTAGACATGTTCCCTATATAACTGAAAGTCATATAGTTCTATCTTTAAGTTCTTATGGCGAGTTTAAGAATGGAAGCAAATATTTGTTCCTTCAGGAACAGGTCCCTTTTATGTTTTTTATTACATTTTTCTTCTTCAAATGCATAGAAATCAGAAAACTGGCCAAGTCTTATACAATGTTCTAGAATATGTGCCATCTGGATGTCTATTAAGCACATTGGGTGTATGGTGTCATTTAATCCTGAGGTATCTTTGTTGATTTTTTCATCTGGATGACCTATCTATTGGTGATAGTGGGGTATTGAAGTCTCACACTAATATTGTGATGGGGTCTGTCTATGCTTTGAAATCTAGTAGTGTTTGTTTAATGAACTTGGGCATATATAAGTTAAAAATTATTTCCTGTTTAAAAAAGCCATAAACTTCAACATTAACTCTAAACTTATTAGCACTCATATAAACAACAGCAACTACCAAGTGAGTGGTTGTTCTGAGCAAAAGTCATAGATGACTTCATTCAATCACCTCCAATGCCTCTGAAAGTGGCATTACTTTTTGCCACTTTAAAATGAGAAAAAGAGTACCTTGAGAAATTAACCTAAAAAGTCATACATTACAGTGCACCCTGTAGTAGTAAAGAAGAGACTCAAGTTTTGAAAGTGATTCTAACTCCAAATCACTTATCACAGTCTTTAAAATGGCACCCATGGTCCACTGTCTTGTATGACTGGCCCAAGATCTCTGCAGGCTCTGTGTTGCTCATGGGGCTCCACCTCACCTTCCTCATCCTTGCTCTCCTCACTCACACAAGTCACACTCACACGTCACAGGCGTACACTGTTTGGAACATTGTTCCTCCAAATCTGCAGAAGTCCCTCACCTCTTTCAGGTCTGTATTTAGCAATCTTGCCAAAGATACTGACCTTGAAAACTAACTCCATATTAAAATTGCAACTCACTTCCAAACACATTCCAGCTCTTCCTCTACACCCCCAGTCTACCTTTCCCTCAAAACTCTTATTTCCATAATCCACATCACATTCTAGCAGAGTATACAATTAACTTAATTGTTTCTTCACCATTAGAATGCAAACTCCATAAGAGCACAGATTTTTGTCTATCTTGTTCACTGATCTGAGAAGCTTAGAACAATGCCTGACGTGTAACATATTCTCAAAACACATATGTGGAAGGAAAGAATGAACCAGCCTCTGCCCTCCCAATCCTAGCTTGTATTTATGTATTATGTGGGTAACACTTTCATTCCCATCTCCTTCAGTCCTAGGTTCATTTTCTTAAATGGTTTCTAACTTATACAGCAATACTGAAAAAAGAGAATTCAATAGAAGAAATTGGAGTGTGAGGGTAAAGAAGGGCTTGAAATGTTAGAAATGCCCTTTGTGCTATCTGTAGAGTTCACCAAATGGGAGCAGTCAAATTCTTCTTTAACCTCTTTCTATTACCTTCTCCTCACTCCTAACTCTGCCAGTCTGCATATAATATACTTTCACATATTCTATGAACTTGTTACTGGCATCATTCATGCCCTTAGGTTTGCATCAAATACGCAAATTATAAAACCTTAATTGGTAAGTTTCCTGAAACCAGGATTCGTGTTTTCCTGTGGTCTTCCTGGCACACAAAAGATATTAATAACATCATTCATCCACACAACAATGATAATGACAAAAAATTATGGAGGCCCAATTCTGAAATGCAAGCCAGTCATTCTTTCAGTGGCTCAGAAGCAGCACAACATAGAACACTCACAAGCTTCTTTGAAACTAGATACTCTTATCTGTTGCATTTTGAAGACGAGAAAAGCATAGCATAGAAAGGTTGACCAGTTTGCCTGAGTTCACAGACATGGCTACTTAGTGGTAAAGATGTGTTTTCAACCCCAGCCGGCTGGGCCCATTCAGGCCAAGTTGACCATGGGCTGCTTGTGCCCATGGAGACGGGGCCGGGCTGCTTGTGCCCCATGGAGACGGGGCCGGGCTGCTTGTGCCCCATGGAGACGGGGCCGGGCTGCTTGTGGCCCATGGAGACGGGGCCGGGCTGCTTGTGGCCCATGGAGACGGGGCCGGGCTGCTTGTGCCCCATGGAGACGGGGCCGGGCCCCAATGGAACTGTGCTGAGATCATCAGATTCCAGAATGACACAGACATGTGCCCCTCATCCATCCCTGGGCTACATCAAGATACCTTGTCTTAAAAAAATGACATTCTGTTTTAACATTCCAAATGTTGATTTGTGCTTTAAGAATGTTTGAGTGAAAAAGGGAGCAAGGGTTATAGATAAGTCTGTGGCATCTGCTACATTCTACTCCCCATTTCTGAGATAGTAGGAATAGTCTTTTTTTACTCTTTAGAGGTCATGGTACTTCAAAGTCTGGTCCTGGGATTTAAGTTCAAGTAGTGTAAGTCTAGGGCCTTCCCTCTTCACCTACAAACTATGCCACATGCAGAGACAGCATCGCTGTGTATGAAAACACACAGGACCTAAGAATGGATATCATAATCCACATATGTCACTTTGACGATGACTGAGACAAAGATTCTCAATAGATTCTGATTAACAGAATCTATTGAGAACTCAACGTGACAAAAAAGTGACAGGACAAAGGGAAAGAGGAACTACATACAACATCCACAATTTAAAACTAGAAAACATAATTTTTGCTGTTAATGGAAGTGGGAGATTCTTAATTTTCCTGATAAAACTGAAAATCACCTCCATTGTGTAGAAATTTCATTTATTTGCTATCCACCTTACAGAAAAATAAAAAAGGTCATTTCTTAGTCCACACCGTGTGGTACCCTGCCCACACCACTCCACTAGTCTAATCTTTACCATTCTGTGCTATAGCAAGTTAACTTGACCTTCTCTAGGGCCATTTTTCAGCTTTAGATCAGCCTGATCTCATCTTTGTATTCTTATTGCTTGAATATAGTTTTGCTCAACATTTGTTGAAACAGATTAAAATGGTGCATAGTCCACACCGTGTGGTACCCTGCCCACACCACTCCACTAGTCTAATCTTTACCATTCTGTGCTATAGCAAGTTAACTTGACCTTCTCTAGGGCCATTTTTTCAGTCTTTAGGATCAGCCTGTATCTCATCTTTGTATTCTTATTGCCTTGAATATAGTTTTGCTCAACATTTGTTGAAACAGATTAAAAATGGTGCAGTTAGAAAAGTGAAGGTACGTGAAAAGTAAGTAAGATGTGCTCCTACAGTCTTCATGCATTCATCATTTACCTCAGAGAACGTAGTGAGAGATAGGCCCAAGTCAGAACAGAATTTCTTTAAAAGCATATTTCAAATGGGAAGCATGTGAAGCACATGCTTTTAGCACCCTCATTTTATCAAAAGGATATTTATATTTAAGGATTATATTTAATATAATACAATATTTTGTATAAAATAAATTCACAGCTGTCTGAGGAGGTAGAAGAGGGATGATAACGGGTTTTCCTCCTGGAGAAATGAAAGGGCTACAGGTGAGAAGCTCAAGCATCCTAGTGACTGAATTTTATTGGCTGGTATTTGGCTCCAACCTTGAACCCTAGCTTTTCTAGGTCAGGGCTAAGTCTTCCTCTTGCCACCTTGAACATGAAGCCGTAGGGTGGGCTTGATTCTTGCTACATTGATCAAATTCTTTGATGTGGCCCACCAGCCCTGAATTTGTGTTCTACCTGCATGGTTATGTATCTCCTTCATCAGCTGACAGGTGCTCAGGTGTGCAAGCCCGCCTGCATGGAACATCATGGGGTCTGGATCGGTAACCCCAGACTTTGATCACCCACTGTTCCATAAGAACCAGCACTCATTCTGACTGAAGTGAGCAGAAAGTTCTACTGGTAACCCAACTGTAGAGTTGAGCACACTGTCAGCCATGTATCAGGACATAAGCATTGAGTACCATTGTCTTTACTGGCCAGGAAAAGTAGGACTTGATCCCAAAACACAAGTACTTTATTCACAATTTAATCTCATTTAAAACTAAAGGTAAAGTAACACAGTCCTTTTTTCTATCTTCTAACTTTTGTTAGTCTTCAGAATTTCCAAATTTTTGTTTGGAAACAACCAATAAGTCAATAAAATAAATAAATCATTATTATTATTATTGCTGCTATTGTTGTTATTATTTTGAGACAGTGTTTTGCTATGTTGCCCAGGCTGGCTTCTGGCTTTGGGGCCCACGTAATCCTCCTGCTTCAGTTTCATGAGTAGCTGGTCTACAGATGTGTTACCACATGGGGCTTAAATTTATCTTAAAAGAACAGGGACAGTTCCTTCATCACGTGCCACTCACCTGGCTTGTCTGAGAAATACGGCGAGTCCGGTTGTATAGGGCCATACTGTCCCCCTCCCGGGTTCTCTCAATCCTCCAACCCCAAGCCAGCATGGTTTTTAAGGATTCTTTGATTGGCCAACGATAAATTTCTTTTTCCTACAGGAAGAAAGAATATCAGGGATGTTATGAACCAAACTGAAAAATCAAAATATTTAATGTTTTGTTCTGAAATGGGCTTCCTTCCCTACAAAAAAAATCAACTAGCATTAGTTATTTAAAAATAAAAAGAGACAGCACAAATGCTAAAGAGTGCAGTGTAAGCTGGGATGCAGTCTGACTAAGGCTGCCAAGAGGGGATCTGGCTCATGACACAGCATAGAGGTTGATTCCTTTCCCTCCCAGTTCCTGCTCCAGAAAGGAGAAACACAGAGGGGGAGGCGCAGAGGTCATATGGCCCATGCGTGAAGGCTTTCTACCATCTGAACAGCGAAGTCACTCTTCACAATAAGTGCCATGCTAGAAAGGACTTTTCACTCACTTATCAAGGAACCCATTTTCTCTTGCAGAAGTGAAATACCTGAAAACCCATTATGATAAGCATATTAAACGTTACGTTATCATTCCACATCAAGAAACTCTTAAGTATGATAAGAACATTTTCTAACATTCTTAAAATATGAGGAGGAATAAAAACCAAAAGGGAAAGAAAAATAATGAGAGAGAAGAGAGTAAATAATGAAATACCAACAAAATAAGAACAGAAAGAAAAAGATAAAAGATAAGAAGATGAAGGTCAGGTGCAGTGATGCACACCTATAATCACAGCTTCTTGGGAGCATCGTGGTTTGAGGCCAGTCCAGACAAAAAGTTAGGGAAACTCTATTCTCAATAAACAAGCCAGGAGTGGTCATTCACATCTATAATCCCAGCTACTGAAGAAGTGGAAGAAGAAGTATCATGGTCCAAGGCCAACTCTGAACAAAAAGCACAGGACGAGATCAGAAAAACATAACTAAGCAGAAAAGGACTGGGGGTGTGAGTCAAGACACAGAGTGCCTGCCTAACAACCATGAGTCCCATAGCTCACTCCTCAGCTTTCAAATGAAGAAATAAACAGAAAAGAAGATGAAGAAATGAAAGTGTTGAATAAAGGCAAATTTTATTAGTATAAATGAAGAAAAATTTTTTTTGGTTTATTTACTCATTTATTCATGTCCACATACACTGTTTGGGGCATTTCTCCCCTTCCCTCTCCCCCCACCTCCCCGCCCCATTCCTCTCTCTCTTCTCCTCACATCCCCCTCACTTCCAGGCAGAACCTGGTCTGCCCTCTTCTCCAATTTTGTTGAAGAGTAGACATAAGCAATAATAAGAGAGACAAAGCGTTTTTGCTAGTTGAGATAAAGATGGCTACACAGAGAGATTCCTAGCATTGCTTCCATGCACAAGTGTGTTACAACCCAAACTGATTCGTCTCTACCCGACCTTTTCACTACTTCCCGGTCACCCTCCCATAGTGACCTCTGTCGTCTTAAGGTTTCTGTATTAGTTCCTCTGCAGTGGGCACATCAAAAACTTTCATATTTTGGGTTTCCTGCCTTTCCCTATTCCTCTCTATGCCTTCTTCCCTTAGCATGTGACCCATGTCCAATAATATTACTGTATTTTTTTTGTAGGTCCTAAAGTCTGCTATTGAGGAGAACACATGCTTTTTGGTCTTGACCGATCGGCCTGGTTAACTTCACTTAAGATGATGCTCTCCAGTTCCATCCATTTACTTGCAAATAACAAGAGTTCAATAAATGCAGACAACATGATCCTATACCTTAAAGACCCAAAAAACTCTACTCAGAAGCTTCTAGACATCATCAATAGCTATAGCAAGGTAGCAGGATATAAAATCAACATAGAAAAATCATTAGCATTTCTATACACTAAAATGAACAAACTGAAAAAGAATGTAGAAAACAATTCCATTTACAATAGCCTCAAAAAAAAATCAAATACCTAGGTGTAAACCTAACAAAAGATGTGAAGACCTCTACAAGGAAACTATCACTTCTGAAGAAAGAGATTGAGGAAGACTATAGAAAGTGGAGAGATCTCCCATGCTCATGGATTGGTAGAATCAACATAGTAAAAATGTCGATACTCCCAAAAGTAATCTACATGTTTAATGCAATTCCCATCAAAATTCCAATGACATTCATTAAAGAGATTGAAAAATCTACTGTGAAATTTATATGGAAACACAAGAGGCCACGAATAGCCAAGGCAATACTCAGTCAAAAGAACAATGCTGGAGTATCACAATACCTGACTTCAAACTATATTACAAAGCAATAACAATAAAAACAGCATGGTACTGGCACAAAAACAGACATGAAGACCAGTGGAACAGAATAGAGGACCCAGATATGAAGCCACACAACTATAACCAACTTGTCTTTGACAAAGGAGCTAAAAATATACGATGGAGAAATAGCAGCCTCTTCAACAAAAACTGCTGGGAAAACTGGTTAGCAGTCTGCAAAAAACTGAAACTAGATCCATGTATATCACCCTATACCAAGATTAACTCAAAATGGATCAAGGATCTTAATATCAGACCCAAACTCTAAGTTGATACAGGAAAGAGTAGGAAATACTCTGGAGTTAGTAGGTATAGGTAAGAACTTTCTCAATGAAACCCCAGCAGCACAGCAACTAAGAGATAGCATAGATAAATGGGACCTCATAAAACTAAAAAGCTTCTGTTCATCAAAAGAAATGGTCTCTAAACTGAAGAGAACACCCACAGAGTGGGAGAAAATATTTGCCAGCTACACATCAGACAAAGGACTGATAACCAGAATATATAGGGAACTTAAAAAACTAAATTCTCCCAAAACTAATGAACCAATAAAGAAATGGGCAAGTGAACTAAACAGAACTTTCTCAAAAGAAGAAATTCAAATGGCCAAAAAACACATGAAAAAATGCTCACCATCTCTAGCAATAAAGGAAATGCAAATTAAAACCACACTAAGATTCCACCTCACCCCTGTTAGAATAGCCATCATCAGCAACACCACCAACAACAGGTGTTGGCGAGGATGCGGGGAAAAAGGAACCCTCTTACACTGTTGGTGGGAATGTAAACTAGTACAACCACTCTGGAAAAAAATTTGGAGGCTACTTAAAAAGCTAGACATTGATCTACCATTTGATCCAGCAATACCACTCTTGGGGATATACCCAAAAGACTGTGACACAGGTTACTCCAGAGGCACCTGCACACCCATGTTTATTGCGGCACTATTCACAATAGCCAAGTTATGGAAACAGCCAAGATGCCCCACCACTGACGAATGGATTAAGAAAATGTGGTATCTATACACAATGGAATTTTATGCAGCCATGAAGAAGAACGAAATGTTATCATTCGCTGGTAAATGGATGGAATTGGAGAACATCATTCTGAGTGAGGTTAGCCTGGCCCAAAAGACCAAAAATCGTATGTTCTCCCTCATATGTGGACATTAGATCAAGGGCAAACACAACAAGGGGATTGGACTTGAGCACATGATAAAAGCGAGAGCACACAAGGGAGGGGTGAGGATAGGTAAGACACCTAAAAAAGCTAGCATTTGTTGCCCTTAACGCAGAGAAACTAAAGCAGATACCTTAAAAGCAACTGAGGCCAATAGGAAAAGGGGACCAGGAAACTAGAGAAAAGGTTAGATCAAAAAGAATTAACCTAGAAGGTAACACACACAGGAAATTAATGTGAGTCAACTCCCTGTATTGCTATCCTTATCTCAACCAGCAAAAACCCTTGTTCCTTCCCATTATTGCTTATACAATAATAGGATACAACAAAATTAGAAATAAGGGCAAAATAGTTTCTGCTGGGTATTGAGGGGGTGTGGGGGAGAGAGAGGGGGCGGAGTGGGTGGTAAGGGAGGGGGTGGGGGCAGGGGGGAGAAATGACCCAAGCCTTGTATGCACATATGAATAATAAAAAAAAAAAAATGAAAAAAAATAAAATATCACAAAGTAAATAAATAAATAAATGAAGAAAATATTTTAATAAGAAATTATACAACAAAGAAAAAATTTCCAGACAATTAAAAGTTTACAAACTTAGAAAACAAATCCTTACCTTTTCAGATAATAGTTTATAAGGCTTCATTAACGGCTGAACCTTAGAGAGAGTCTGAATATATTTCTCCATAAATCCATCCATTTGCCAACTAAAAAGAAATACAAACATCAAAAAGTGTTTTACATGCATTCATTTTACAGTTTGTATGTTTTTAAGCATCTGTTAATAAAACAAACCTAAAATGAACCAAGGATTAAGGTTTTCATTTTCATCCAGCATAAGTCCATATAATGAGTTCTATCCTAATTGATATTATATGCAGTCATCATTTGGAGAAAGTCTCTATCCAGAGATAAAGAGAACCTTGTCTTCCCAAAACAGACCGAGGTCTGTGATTATTGCAAGAAAAAATTCCCCTAGAAGGAGGCCGAGAAATGCAAAGCCCTGGGGTTATTTATCCCGACATGTCTTGGGGTCCCTCCCACCTATGATCCATGTCTATAAAATGTTTATGTTAAACAAAATTGTGTGAGCATGCAACTCAGGAGCTTCCTAGAGTGCTTTTCTGCCTATTACTACATCCATCTGCCTCTCCGCATATTCTTCCCACATTATTTTACCCAACTGGATATATTGCTGTTTCCCTATGTCATTCTGTCTGCCTCTGGATCTTTGTAACTAGACTAGAATAGCTCAGGGCCGGGGAGTAGGGACTGACTGGCTAGAGCACAGGGTGAAACTTATCATGTGAAATCTAGCACGGCCGACACTGAGTTACTGTATGACATCGCACTCTTTTGAAACACTTACTGTTTGGTTTTCATTTCCCCAAATCTGCATGTGTGCATTTCAAACTTCTTGAACCCATTTCTCTAACAAACCAATTTTCACCACCCTCTTTCAAATTAAACTAAGCTCAACTTAAACGTGAGTGTGCAGGTAAGATGCTTCCTTTAGAAAATCTCAGGGCAAGTGGGAATAATCTCAGAGACTAAGTGCCTTAGTTTTCTCGCTTGAATTGTTCTTAAAAACAAAAGAAACCATCTCATCTGGCTGATTCAATCAATTCTTAGAGAACTGCAGAACAGAAGGGCAAACAATTATTAAAGCTTATTAAGAATGTTCAAGATTTTTCATCTAATATAAAGCTACAAACAAAAGCAAAGTTCACTTAAAAAGTGAATTCTGAACTAGGGTCACTACCTCCTCCTGAAGCTCCTGGTGATTCTTACTTTTTACCCCATGAATAATACATTTAGAAGCTCTATTCATGATTTAATTAATCAATCTTTTGAAGTCTTAATACTGTGTTTTTTATGGACATGTTCCTACTCATACGTGCGTCATCCTTGCACTATGACAGAACTAGCTAATTGTATTAGGAAATTGTAATTAAATATTCTTTCCTAATTTATACAAAGCTCCCCCATTAAAAGAGAAAGTTGCTATGAGCAGCTATATGTAAGCAGTGGCCTCCTTACGTTAGAAGTTGATACTCTGATCGTTACCTTGTCCATTGACCATTTGTCATGGGAGTGTTCTGCGTATTTGTTAATGAAGTACTCCAACTTCTCTGGAATTATAATACTATAAAAAAAAAGAAAAAAGCTTAATCTTTACACAATTTATAGGAAATTATATTAATAATTTACTCACAGCTTATGAATGCTTAGATCCCATTCAATGTATAACTGTTAAAAAATAATTTTAACAAAATATTACTTCTTCATATTTAAGATCAATATAAAAGTCAAGCGGATAATGTTCTATCTGCTTTTAAATTGACAAGTCTTTTATTGTGTGCTAATATAAAAGATTTAATATGATAAAATGTACATAATATTAATTAAAATATATTCGAAGATGAGGACAACAGGTTATACATAAAAGAAAATAAACCCTAAGTCAAGACATGGTTAAATTCAACAAGCTTAGAGACACACTTCTCTCCCACATTCTTTCTGTGAAGTGCTTCTCTCTTTTTGTCTTGTCTCTTCTCCAACAACTATAAATGGACAAAAGACCACTGAAATTGGACCTGTGACACTTTTAAATTAATGACATATGTCTAGTGATGTGTTAGTAATTTCAAATATTAACGGTCTATAGATAACATAATAAATGTTACTGACATTGGCTAAAGGGAAAAGTAAGTAACCAACTCATTTCTTAACTCCTTTTAGGTTTAAATAAATATTTAATCCCTTGAAGAGATGTCAAGCATATGTAGTAGATGACTAAGTCTTATGGCAAATGTAAGAATTGGGGATATCAAATAGATCTATGAGCAGAAAATTAAATGTACATATAATTCCCTTCGTTCATGAACATAATTTGTTAAAGCAGTTAACTTTCAGAACATAAGTCTTAAAAAAAAACTGGGAAAATGAGATGGTTTTCTGTTCTTTTCCAGTAGTAATCAGATAGGAAGTGGCATACACATATTTAAGATGCAATACATAAAAAGCACGTTTATGTAGAAGGTATTGATAGCACCATATAAACCTACACCTGTTAGGAAGTTCCCCTAGAGGCAAGCCTGAGTACATTAATATACATGTCAAAGACTTGTTATTAATTGGATTTAATTAACACTGGAACCATGACATTGCTCTGATATCATTTGAAAATACTGGATTACACTGTATGTTAGCAAACCACACACACACTTACCCAGATAGGCATGTGAACCTGGGATGTTTTGGTTACTTACTTTGGAAGAAATACAAAGGACGGATCACGTAAGATAATACTGAGGGGTAGACTCTTTTCTCACAGGACTGTTATCAAGTACCCGACATGTAATTTTAGGCATTATCAGATTAATGGTGTGCCTTTTGGGTTGAATTCTAATCCGGTTAGGAGACTGAACCAACTTGAGGCTCTTCTGGAGCCTCAAAGTTGAATTTCAAGTAAATTCAGAAACAGCGGATATTAACCATCACCTGACTCCTTGCTAACCGACCTTACTGAGTCACCATGATTTCAGTAAAATAATGTAGCATCAAGAGGCAAATTTCCTTTCAAGTGGGAACCATGGCCCTACTTACATCAGTAAAAGAAAAAAATGCTGAGACTTTGAACAGCTGAAGTATCCTAACTGCACAACACTTCTGCAACTAAGAACGCCTAAGAAGTCTCAGAATTAAGGTTGTCAAGCTGCATTCTAACTCCATGTTTCTTTTTCCACAACAATTTCCACTTGCTGTTCCTTCAATCTCAACGCCTTATAATGCTGACCCTCACCCAAACACTGGGTCTGGCTGAGATGTAGTGAGGGATGAAGTAATTCCCAGTCATGCATAAAAACAGCACTGCATTGCATGCTGGGATCATCCTAAGGTAAAGATGCTACACAGAGGTTGGTTGTATAATTGATAACTAACAATGTAGCTAGTGTAGGCTTTCTTAATTCTCATTGTGATAGATCTCACTGTGTGGTTATGTACAGAGACTCCTTATGTGTTTATGAGTATCCTAAAGGGTCCATCTCATCTATTTCTGATATTACCATAATAATTATAATTATTATTATTCCTATCATCTGGTAAACTAAAGGAACTCCTATGAAAAGGATACCAATTCAAAGGGGGCATGTATTAGAGAAAGTTCACTTCAGTACCTTCTTTAATTTCAGACTTCACACACCATTTACAATAAAAACTGCTGCAATAGAAAAGTCCGTACTTTGAGGTATCTACAGGTTGTGGGTTAAAGTTCCCTTCAGAATCCATGGAAGACTGTTTCTCCATCATACTGACATAGTTTGACTCCATGTAGTCTGGAGGCAAAGCTCCCGCAACTGCACTCAGGCAAGGCAGTGCCAGTTTGAAAAGTTCTTGTTCATATTTCTGCAAAGAAAAAAAGGAGAACCAAAGGGAAAAAAAATCACCATATGTCTCTACAGAAAAAGCTGTCGGCATGGCCACTGTGCATTTTTCCTGGGCTAACCTCACTGCTTAGAGATTCTTTCTCTAGTAATTGGAAAAAGCATTCTGGAGTCCAGCACACACAAGAGATGTTATAGCTAGGTTTAGCAAAGTCCAGCTTAGAGACAATAACATCTTTGCTTTTCAAAAGTGCATTTTTCCACTTTTGAAAAGAAATAAGCTTGAATATTCTAAATTTATAATATGTCTTTATGGCGCCTGTAATCCCAGTAACTCAGGAGGAGGAAGTAGGATGATCTTGGTCCAAGGCCAACCCAAGGAAAAGCTTGGAGACCCTATCTGAAAAACAAATTAAAAGCAAAAAGGACTGGAGTATGGCTCAAGTGGTAGAGCACTTGCCTAACAAGCCTGAGGTTCTGAGTTCAGTCCCCCATACTATTCCTCACCAAATATCTTTACAATACAGACATGATTTCAGTCAGTGAAGGCTCTCTCCCTTACAGTTACTCATAGGTTATTCCTGTACCACATTATAATGACTATCCAGGAAAGATATTAAAAGGATCACATTCCAAAGAGTGAGAATTTTAACTGAACTGTGTTGCATCACAAAGACAGGAAAAATAAAATTCCATATTGGGAAAAAGTTCTCCAGGATATACATATAATAAAAAAACTTCTGGGAAAAGGCATTTGTACATTAATGACATAATTATTTAAATTGGTAGTTGTAGAATTTTTTTAAAAATCAAATATAATTATTTAAATGGTCTCACTTTAAACAACTAACATTGTAAATGCATCTAAAAATACTTACACATTATTTTAAAAGGACTGTCAGATTACCTAAGGAAATTCAGTAAGAAAAGCACCAAAATCAAGCTCCCAGATAAACTTTCTCCTATCACACAGAAAACCTGTGGCTGCACTACTGCAAAGCTCTAACTCTCTCTACCAGAATTCAAGTAGATTTTGATAGTTTAAGCCTTCCAAATACTTTGTTCTCATTTTCTCTGAAATTACTGTCCTCTAGTCACCTGAAGATACATGAACTATCCATTATAAATAGAATGACAAGGGAGGGCCACAAACACAAAGTAGACTGAGCACAGGTTCCAGTAGACCACTGGACTGTTCCAATATTATAGGGTCTTATATTCAATATTCTTAGATTTTATAAAGTTTCTTCAGACCTTCTAAGACTAACCAAGTATCTAGGGAGAGTTTGAGTCCAAAATAAGCCCAACTGCACTAAAAACTTATCAACCATGTGCTGAATTGCCTGAAAGGCTGAGCTATTTTCCTTTTTTTTTTTTTTCATTTTTCTTTTATTATTCATATGTGCATACAAGGCTTGGTTCATTTCTCCCCCCTGCCCCCACCCCCTCCCTTACCACCCACTCCACCCCCTCCCACTCCCCCCCTCAATACCCAGCAGAAACTATTTTGCCCTTATCTCTAATTTTGTTGTAGAGGGAGTATAAGCAATAATAGGAAGGAACAAGGGTTTTTGCTGGTTGAGATAAGGATAGCTATACAGGGCATTGACTCACATTGATTTCCTGTGCGTGGGTGTTACCTTCTAGGTTAATTCTTTTTGATCTAACCTTTTCTCTAGTTCCTGGAAGGCTGAGCTATTTTCAATTCAGAAACAGCATTATGATCACAGAGAAAGAGCTACCACGATGATCTTGAAGATTCGATACAAAGCCCATTTCACAATCATAGTTACATTGAGAAAAACAATGAAGCTACACAAAGTCTTGACTAGTAAAGGTTGTACTCCACTACAAATATTATCTTCCCAAGAACATGCAGCTTTTGTTATTTTATCGACACAGATGAATCCGTAAAACACCAAATTACCTTTTGGGACAAGGCATCAAAAATGCCCCAGAACAACTTTCTCGATAAGTGCAGCTCTTCTTCCGAGGCAGCCCCAAAGTTGCCCCACCCCCCAGGCAGGCAGTAGTATTTCCAACACCTTTCATAGTGGTTTGTCAGCAGCTGTGTGGGAAGCAATGACAAAAGTCATGAGGTTAAGGCACCTGTTCCATTTGCATTTCCCCTCCTAGGACACTCTAAGGCTAAACCAAGACCAACTGCAATGAACCTCCTCCAACTCACATGGGATCCTTTGGAAAACGCACTTACTTGCATAATACATCTCTTTAAACTTAACACTGATTGGAATACAAGAACCAAATGTTCAGCCTTACAAATGACGTCCCAAACAGCATTCTTTATGAGGTTGTTTAGATAACCGTGTTTCCCACAGTTTTACTTTCTTTACTAGCATTTACTCACAACTGTGTGAATTGTTGTCTCTGGGAATCCATGCATAAAATGAAGGGACTGATATTGGGATGACCCAGAGACACAATAAGGGAAGCATATGTCTGTGACTGTTTCTGTTCCCTTTCTTCTTCCTCAACTACCACACTGGATGATTTGCCTCTAAACTTACTTCTATAGCAAACTACCAAACCTACGCTACTTGGGTCATTTTCCTACTCTGCATTTCTTTGTTGGCTAGAGATGGGTTTCTGGGTTTACACCTATGTGAGCGATAAGGATAGAATTTTCCATTATTTGGTAGCTTTCTAGAAAATTTATTCTCAATCGATAGTTGCCAAGTTCATAAAATAATCTGTATGAGTCAGCTACAAATATTTGGACTCTCTTTTTCTACATCTGAAGAGGAAATACACTTACAAAGATTACTGTGATTAAGACTACTATGAAATATTTCTTCTTGTTTGGCTTCCCTTTTAATTATAAATGGTATATGCACACACGCAACTTAGGAATCTCAAATGATGAAAAACTGAGGTTTAATTTCCTTGGGGTAACATACAATGTAAAAGACTTATTACAAAAGCACAAGAAAGTGATACTACAGTTTTTTCTGGCATCTTTTCATTCATTTGTCCTGAGAAATTTTTCAGGACAGGACCTCCTTTTATGATGCAAATTGTAAAAATGAGAATTTTTTTAGCAAGGATACAATTTACCTTTCCTAATTCATTATTTTATCTAGATCTATTAAACTCATTGCCATAGAAAAAAGGTTATTTTTGCTATTCATCCAGGGATATTTTGTGTAACACCTTGAAAAAAAAAAGATTCACGTATATTCTGAACTTTTCTTGTACAATGCTGTTAGTGGCTGGCCATGGGGGAGAAAGGGTACCTACTAGATAGTACTGCAATGTGGTCACCTGAAAAGGTTCGTTTCTTTACCATATAATTTGCGTGCACAGCCCATACCATCCTGAGTCTGTATTAGAACAGGAAATTTTTGGAAAGTGGCTGGACAGAGTCTTGATTATTCATGAACTGAATACTATCTACCATCTGACAAGCTGCAATTGTTTATACACAGAAGTTATCTTTGCACTACATGAAATGCTTTTTTGAACCTGGCATGTGATTACCAACTTGAAAAACCTACTCATTATTTCTTGAAGTGGTTAATAATATTTGAGGCCAGGACTATGACCATGCTTGTCAGCCCAAGAATGTCTTCATTCATCTATTTTTTGTGGTTTGTTTTTATCCATTTATTTCCACACAAGTCAATGGTAGGGATTCTATGATTTTTATTGCTTATTTATTTCAAGTTGATGTGCTCATTTGTATCAATTACCTGGCCATTTCAATAATTGAGAGAAATTTCCCGTATCAATTATTATACACACTAAATCTAAGAGATGTCCATATGATAACAAGAAATAGAGGAAATGGTGATCAAATAATTACAAATATTGCTTGTACTTACCTTGAGAGGCATTTTTGCATGTTCATTCAATAATGGGACATCAAATACTAGCCTTCTGAGCAAGTGCTGCATCATCGAAGGTCTCAATTGGCTGTTGGGACAAAACAAATTATAGTAACAAAGAGAAGTGTGTCTTAAATAAGTAGACTGTATAAGACAAGAGACTGCGCCTCTACCTCTCTTTAGATGGTATCAATAATCAAGCATTTCTAATTAGAAGATTAGCCAATAGACAGATACCACATAAAGGCGTTGCAGTCAAACTAGGACCACATACATGACAGTGGTCCCATAAGATTAAAAAGGGACTGATCACCAAGTGATGTCATGGCTGGTGTGATGTCAGAGCATGACACAACACTCGCCTGTGTGTGGTGATGCTGGTGTACACAAGTCTATAGCACTGCCAGTCATAAAACAGTATAGCGTGTACAATTATGCACAGTACATAACAGCTGATGATGATGAAAATCTATGGTCCTGGTTTATGTATTTACTCTATGATACATTTTATCATTAGTTTAGAGTGCACTGCTTCTACTTATAGCAACAACCAAAAGTTACTGCAATATGGATGTGTAGAAATATCACACTGCAATCCCTTTGTACAACTAACACAGTAACAAAAAACCTACATATAAAAATGTTGCTGTAACCTAGCAGATGTTACACTGACAGCAGCAGCACCAATATCATGGGGCTTTTGGTTATTTGGTTGGTTGGTTTTTGTGGTACTGGAGATGGAATCCAAAGCCTTGTCCATAGTAGGCAAGTGCTCTACCACTGAGCACGACCCCCAGCTCTGCCAAGTCTCTGGCTGTACCATGAAACCACATTGAGTGATTGGCTGATAACACGTAAGTTTGTGCAGGTGTATCCTATGATCTTCAGCCAAGAACAAAATCTTCCAACATCGTGTTTCTTATGCCTACATATAGGCATTAGATAATACATGCCTAGATCTAATCTCGAATCAAGTTCCATTTCCCAACTTATCTCTGTCCTCCCATTGCTCTGTGAGATGCCTCTTCTGCTCCTTCCCTTCCCAACCACTCTCAACTGCAACCCACCTTTTCCTGAGAACTTCTTCCACTAACTCTCATAACTGCCTCTCCCCTAACAGCTGTGGCTGACTAGAAGCAGAAAGAAGAGTGTGTGTAGAAACAGGAGAAAGAGTCTTTGACAGGATAGGAAGCAAAGAAAACTAACACACAGTGAACATCACTGTGGCAGGCAACACCAGGTGTTTGATCATCATACAAACTGTGAGATAGGCACTTTGACGCTGTTTTACAGAACCTAAGGTCACGAGGCTGTAGACCTACTCCTGATTCCTCCTGCACAATCCAATCCCAGCTCCCTCTGGCTTCTCATCCCATCCTCTCCACCAGGCATGAAACCCGCCTTTACCACGGGCTGCCAGAATGCACGTCCTCATCTCCAGGAGCTCTTGTCCAATCAGCAAAGAAGCCATCCCCCTGGCTAGGGGCTGGGAAACTCACTTTCATGCTTGGATTTTCAGCAGGGGGAGATATCGAACTAGTTTTCATAGGCAGATAGTTGAATATGTCTATCCACAGGAAGTGGCTATCCAGGCTGCAGGAACCATCAGCCTCACCATGGCCACACAGAAGTAATGCTTTCACATTACACTCTAGTCTTTTCATGTTTAATAAGGTCCTTTGTTCTTTCCTCTTCTGGAAGAGGAGTGAAAACTATCACACGCAGGCAAAGGGGGAGAAACTATTAATCTTACCCCATCGTGGCCAGGGATCTAACACATTCATCTCCCCCAATATGTAGGAGAGCATTTTCCTTTTTTTGGTGGTGGTGGTGGTACTAGGGTTTGAACTTAGGCTTTATACTTGCTAGGCAGACCATTCTTTGCTTGAGCCGTAACTCTAGACTTTTTTACTCTGGTTATTTTTGATATAGGGTTTCACTTTCTGCCCAGGCTGGTCTAGACAGTGAACCTCCCTAACTCAACCTCCGGCATAGCTGGGATGACAGGTGCACACCACCATTCCCAGCTATTGGTTGAGATGGAAGCTTCTTATCTTTGTGCTTGGGTTAGCCTTGAACCACAATCTGATCTCTGCCCACCCCCCACCAAGTAGTTAGGATTTACAGGCACGAGCCACTTAGTGCCTGTAACAGCATTCTAAACCTGGACAGTATTCAAAGCCTGGTCATTAACCATATCCAACAGCCAGAGGCCCATAGAAGGCTTGGAGGAATATCCTGAAGTTGGCTTGAAGAAGACTCAGGACTCAATGCATGGGACTACTTAAAATGAACAAATTTTTTGGTACAGAAATCACCTCAAAGGTCATAAATATTCACCAATGGCTGCATAATGAATCCTCTTTCTTAAAGAAGAAAGTTGTGTTGGAGCGAGTTGCCTACTTACCCACAAATAGAGAGTAAGCACACTTCTATGGAATCCCGCTGAGCCTTGGTGAGCGAGCAGCCCTTAGAAAGTCTGTACACGGTGTGAAGAAGGGAGTCAATGAGAGAGGCATGGTGCTCTGTGCCAGCGAAAAGCGGGGCACATCTTGTCAACAAAGGCAAGACGGCTGTGCAAAGGTACCGATTGAGGGCCAAGGCCATGTCTGTAGCACTCAGAGCAGCCTGCAAAGGAATCAGAGGGTACACAGCCGTTTGTGTTGGCAGAAGACAGCTTTCAAAGGACTCGACACACTGACGCATCTCCCTATCTAGAAAAAGAGCATGAAAAATAGAAATGCACTCCTTAGACACAGCTGTGAATGCAGTTCATATGCTCAATCGCTGCTAAAAACAACCGTCAATTGTTCATAAGCAGGTGGAGATGATATCGCGTCCAAAAGCACAAGATGGCCAGGTTCTATCATAAAATATCCTTGATGGACCCACGTCAGAGGAAGGTTCCAATGGTATTCAAGATGGGAGCTCTTCCTTTGATGGCGGGGAGACAGCAGGAGTACATTTGCATAATGGATCACATATTCACAAATTCTTTCTGAATCTGGTTTCCTGACATTATTCAGATTTCTGCTATGCCCATCAGCATCACGTCAGTTGTATTACTGTGCTGTCATTTGTACTATTCTCGATTTCATGTGAACACACAACAAAGCAAAAGAAAACCTCTGGTTCATTTTTATGATTCCACAGTAATGCATTTCATGAAAGGGCTATTGTCAACTGAGATTTCCCTTGAGATTAAAAGGACCCATTTGATTGATAAGACAAATAAGTAAATAAAAGCAGGTATTACTACAATGGTATTTGGAACATTGGCTTATTCCTCAGTGTTTCTCAGAGCAGCACACTTACATCAGTAAGGGCAGACCCTCTCTGTGGGCCACCTGATACACAGGAAAGACTCTTCACAATCTGTACGTTAGCAAATGAACACACCAGGAGGACACTGTAACTGGCATGAATCACCTTATTAATTGCTTTCATGAGAAGCATAACTATTCAGGCCAATATAGAGGTTGACACTGAACAGAAGCTAACTGGAGCCACTGTGACCTCCCAAATCACGGTTAGACAAACCTCATATTGACCTCCATAGACCTCATCAGAATTCCTACCACTCTCTTAAGGGTCACCACCTCATGACTCAGTGAATTCCTTGAGAATATGGTCTATTTTACTTTGTATTTATCCACTGCTTGCCTTAAAATAGGATAGGTTTGCAATAGATGTTTGCTGGCAATATGTGGGTAGATGACAATCACAAGTGGAGGAAGGCCACTGTCACATCATACCGTGTCTAGAGAAGCAGCAGCCCGGAGATCTGGCAGAAAGCCAACCTCGAGAAGATGGAGGAGGAAATCTTGCACCTCAATCCCATAGACCCTGTCAAGGAACAAAACCATGGCTGCCTTGTGATCTGGGCAAAACCCCGCAGACATGTCAGGCTCCACCACATTCCCATCTACAAGAGAGAAGGTGACATGTTGGTGTCAATGCTGGGCCAAGTGTGGATTGAGTAGACATGGCTTCTTTCCAGCCACCTCACTTTTTAAATCAAGTTATCAGTGAAATGGTTCCCTGTTCTACTACCCTGGGCAAGTGTGCACATTGGGTGAGGAAACAGGGCAGTGCGATTAAAATCCAAGGTCATCCACTTGCTAACTGCAGACTTGTTAAAGACGTAGCATTAAGTTACAGAGGAAACAAGGCAGCATGAAATCGACCATGCAAAACATGGAGTGAATGCCATGACAGGTTAAAATGTGAGGTGGGGATCTCCACCCTGGCCGAGGCCCGCCGACTTCAGACATTGAGAAAGCCCAGGAGGCCCTCTGTGATGATGACCTTGACACACATCTTCCTGGTCATGGCTTAGAATAATTGCAAAATGACAAATCAACACTACGAGACCAGTATAGCTTTCCTACTAAGTATGTTTCATTTATCATAACAGCATTAAGAACATATTTGAGTCACTCCATTTTCCCTGTCACTAGTCAATACTTAATGCCTATATTGATCAGTGAATATTTTATAACAACTCCATAAGGTCACAGGTTTAGGACACTGCTTAAGGAATTATGGGATGATGTGCCAATTTTAACTACAGGGAGAATTGATTTGCTTCCTATTTGACCATACAATAACTATGTCAAGCTGGTGCTCATAACACACAGTAATATTCTATTAAAACAAATCACAGGATTTTTAGTATGGGGGCAATGTTGAAGAAAGAGAATAACCCAGGAAAAGAAAGTAGTAATCATCTTGAATAAATAAAATAACTTTTCTGTTTTACACTTGAGATCAATAAATGAATTTTCCTTTTGGATCATGAAAACCAACCAATAATGTTTTAAAGGAAATTAAAGGGTAATACCAATAGCTCCCATTCCTTATTATTATAAAAATCACAACATATAACTAGTGTTCTCCCTGCCTTATAAGACTAGCAATTCCACTGTTGTGCTACTGTCCTATACTAAGATCATTACAGACCTGGTCACACACAATTTCCATAAGCCAAGTATGAAATCGTATTCCAATCTTCATTTAACAGGTCATGAAAACTGATGTGTAGGGACATTAAGTAACCTACCCAAGGCCAAACACCTAGTAATGGGCCAGGTTATATTTTCAATAACTAAAATTTTGCTTAAAATCTTTGCCAGTTATTCATCTGACAAGGGATTAATATCCAGAGCTCAAAAACTGAACATCAAAAAATGAATAATCCAGTTATAAAGTAAGCAAATGAAGTAAGCTTCTTCAAAAGAAAAAGTACAACAAACACACGAAGATGTGTTCAATATCCTTAGCTGTAAGGGAAATGCAAATAAAAACGACACTGAGACTGAATCTCACCCTGGTCAGAATGGCTGTCATCAAGAAAACAAACAACAAATACTGGTGAGGCGGGGAAGAACACCCCTAACACTGTTGGTGGGAATGTTAACTAGCACAGCCATGGTGAAAATCAGTATGGAGGTTTCTCAAAATCTAAAACTAGAACCATCATATGATCCTGCTGTACCATCACTGGGCATATCGCCAAGGGAATATAAGTCAGCGTGCAATAGAAATGTCCGCACACCCAAGTTTATAACAGCACTATTCACAATAGCCAACCTACCGAATCAGACTAGGTGCCTATCAACAGATGAATGAAAAAAGAAAATGTGATATATACATATATAAATACACAGTCTCTGTTTGCATTTGCCAAAAAAAAAAAAAAAAAGGAAAAGAAAAAGACTCAGCAATTTACTAATGATTAGTGGACTGAATTTTAGGAGTCATTGTGATGGTGATGGTGTACAATAAATCTTTGTAACTCTTGATGTAAATGATATACTGTATTTTTATGAAGAAATACATCATAAAACAATATGTTTGGAGTGCAAGTAAGCAGAAGGGGAAGAGAGTGAGTTGAAAAGTCATGAAGTTCGATGACAGACATCTGCACGACACAAGTGGACATGGAAGCTTGGGGGCTACTCTGAAAGTGACCCCTGGGCACTCTCACATGTGCTCAAGACCTTGTCATTACTAACACTACCACTGAGCTTCCCACATCTTCAGTTCCTCATCCACATGTCACCATTCTTATCCCTGTCCTCATGGTGTCAGTTTGGGAGCTCACAACTATAAGAAGGAACAATCTTTTCCGTAGGAAAATGAATGTGAGTTAAAAGAAAAGTGTAAAGAAGGCAAGTAAGGATGACCCAGAGATACAAAGGAAGACATGGCCCCAGGGAGGCAGACAAAGCCTCCTTGGTTTGTGAGGTGAGCACACAGGAGGCTCACTTCCTCTTTGTCATATGGCTGAGAGCAGGTGAGCTACCTACAGGTATGCAGTGATCCCCTCACTCTACACCCAAGCTATTAACATCCTGCCTTCTCTGGACACAATTAAAGGAAGACAAAGATTATAGCATGAGCTCCCTTTATAATCATGTTTTTGTCCTTCAAATTAGCTCAGATAAAAATGAATTATATATAAATATCTAGAACACTGAAAACTAAATGATGTAGACACTTAAAAGCAAAAACGAATTATACTTCGTGATCCAATATCTTCTAGTTGCCACCAGTAATCCCTTCAATATTTTCAAATTTTTCTCCTTTGTCTTGAAAAGAACTCTTCTTCCAGCACACAAGAGATTTTTAAACCTCAAAGTCAGAAGCTATGACTATAACTTTGAAAAGAAATAATCACAAAAGAACGATACTGAAGACTATTAAAAAGTGTGAATTAAGCCGAGCACCAGTGGCTCACACCTGTTATCCTAAACTACTCAGAAGGTAGAGAGTAAGAGGATTGAAGTTCAAAGCCAACCCAGGCAAACAGTTCAAGAGACCCTGCAGGCCCTGAGTTCGAACCCCAGTACTGTAAAACAAAAAAGGAAAAAAGAAAAAAGAAGTGTGAGTTATGGGACTGAGTTCTAGAAAAACAGAGGATGGGGATCACAGAACAGAGCCAGGGATATGAGACAAGACAGTGGTGGTGTCTGAGATGTTTGTGTAAAAGAATGAAAATATTATTGTAAAGACAGTTGTTGAAAACCAATGAGAATGAAAAATATTTAATAAACTAATATGCTTTATGGTTCTTTACTTTTTTAAAAGAGACCTAAGAGGTGTAGTAGCCGTGCTGCAAGGAACAGGGAGACGGGGTGTTGAATATTAATCGCAGTATTTAGAATGCAGTGTTATGGCGTCCTACTGAAGCACACAGAACAGAAGCTGGCCTTACCTTTGGCTATTGTTGGCATCTGAAAAGCGATGCTGATTACTCCCACCAAGTCTCCCAACGGGATGAGGGATCTCAAAATAGACCTGATTCTGATGGCTTCTCCCTTACCAGCATGAATCAACTAAGTGGAAAGAAGGATAAAGGAAGATTAGAATGCAGTTGTGAAGTCACTGTTATAATTCTGTCTAGGAATCTGAACTTTGGGAAGCCAAGTCTAAAATAATTTTGTTGAATATTCATATAAAGTTAGACCACTCTCAGAAACTGCTTCTCAGGAGGAGTGAAATAATCACTGGCCCACAGCTTTCACAGACATTAGCATACTCCAAATTAAATACTAACTAGGACAGCTGATTTACCCATCATCCTCTTTGGGGTGTTAAAAGGTACTGAAAATCTGATGCCTACGAATGCTTATCCCCCTCAACTCACATATAAATTCCTACCCACAATGTGAGCAGTAACACGAAGGAACCATCATTACCTATAATCACTGAAAATATCCTAGTATTTATAACTTAGCCTTGCCTTGTGAGGAGAAATTAATTGTATATCCATCCATATTCCACCCTGGTTTTCCCCCAGGCTGGGTTTACAATGGGAGGGAGTGGTGAACATTGTTCCCTAACAGTCCCTTTGGACTGCCACCAGCTGATGAAGTTCTCATAAGGACAGTGGATCAGGATCCAGTCAAGAATGTCAGTGAGTTTCTACAACAGCCCAGAGGTTCTCAGAGCCAGGATGGTGGCTGTTTCCTTCACCATAGGGCATAATTTCTGACACAGAGGATGCCTCAGCTAATGGATGCAAAGATGAACTAATTCCAGAAGTGCCAAGGTGAGTTTTTATGAATCTACTTAGGCTTTCCCACCCTTAACACAGACCCAACAATTGAACGAAAAAGCTTATGCTTCTTTGCACAATGTCTTTCTTAGTTCTTCCAATCTTTTCACTGAGATGAGAAAAAGCACAAATATGTGACTATAAGGTTTTCATCTGCAATCACCTCCAGCACACAGATATTCCATCACCTGTTCCCACTTACTAAACCAAGATATCTCAGCAGCAGCAGAGTCTGGGTTGTTACAGAAACCACACTCTAGATTTTCAGATCTCTCTATCCTGTAAGTCCTCTCTGCTCACAACAAAAGAGGACGTCAAACAAACATTACCTATGATTCTTGAAAGAAAGAAACCAAACCAAAACAAACATAGATACCAAGGGTGGGGGAAGGACGTGTTCTAAAAGTTCTTCTGGCCTCATGCTCATCCCAGTTTAAAGGTACACTTTCGGGTCTTAACCCTTCCACCCCAGCACTAGCCAAGGTGTTTCAAGATCTGGGCTGTTTTCCACTCACAGGTCATGAAAATAGCTTTATAGGAGCTGGCTAGCATTTTTAAAGCACAAATAATGGAATGAAACAGAATTAATGAGAATAAAATAAAGCAGAAAACACCTGATTGTATTACAGAATAAAAATATTATTCCATGAGGTTTTAATTTCAGTTTGGTCAAAAAGTTTCAGAAAACCCTAATCTACAGGATTTTTATTTACCCTCTCCCCTCCCTAAACCAGCGGGAAGGCACACAGAGCTAAATGCTGTACAAAAGAAATCAACCCTTGGTGGAAGCAGTTGTTTTCTATAAGAGGAGAGGGGAAAACCGTGCAGAGAAAAAGACATTCTTTTCTTCCTAAAATGCGGGGAGACTGTATGAGTTTTAGAGATACATGAGTGACTAGGTATTCTATTAATGACTCACACTGAAATCTGATTACTAATTTTTACAACTGACAGGACATTGACAACTAAACACTGGTTCAGCAATTAGGCTGCAGCTATTACTCGTAATGGAGCATGAAGTCACCCGGATGGACGCTGCCAAGCTCTGTAAACACAGACAGATAAATAGCGACCGCTGCTCCCAAGGCACTCACATGCATCTCAGGGGCACAGCGACCAAGGAGGTCAATCAAAGCTGCATAGAAGGTCATGATGGCATTCCCCATGTGGATGGTGTCATCTTCCTCCTCTTCTGTATCACTTCCGTGGATTTTTTTTCAAAAGAAACAGAAAGCAAATGTGATAATTGGTATTTCATGCTTGTGATGCATCTCTCAGAGAAAAGGGAATGCTAAGGTATTGCGTTGGTGTTTTCTTCTGGTACTCTGCACGTATATTTTAAATTTACAGACTGATATTTTTAAAAGAAAATAATGATTAGTTGATGACCAGAGTTGAGATTCTATTACCAAGAAAGCATCAGTGGGAAAATGAGGAATTGCTAGTTTGACCAATTCTACTCACTTCTAGTGGCAGACAGTGTATTAACAAAAAAAGATAACTCATGGGAAGACTATTTTGAAGTAAGTTTAAGACTTATTTTTATAGACAGCACACATGTAGAGAGAAGGGGACAAAGACATCACATATGGTGATACGTTAAGGCTCGCAGCACAATGCTGTATCCAGAAAAAAGAAACATTTGAGATGTAGTTTATTCACTCACTTACCTAGATCAACTAACCTACCTCTACCGCATTTCTCACAAACAGTCCAAATTACCCCCTCCCTACCTCCCTGAGAAATTTGTAAATATTCCATCATATTGCTGAAGAGAGGCAAATCTGGATGACTCTGGAGGCGTCTGACCTTCATCCTTGGTGACTTGGTAGAGGACAGCCTCAGCTGGACTCAGTCTGCAGTGACAGCAACAACCCTTGGCTGACAACTCCCAGTATGCAATGCTGGTCCCTGGGCCTTTGCATGTACACCTACTAGAGTGATCCTGGACCAGGGATCTCTGGATTTTCTGCTATGAGAGAGACTAGGGGCTTGCTAGTTTTTCTATGGTTAACTGCTAACTGAGTGCAGGATGTGTGTTGGGGATGTTTATTCTTGCTTGTGGAGTTAGCCCAGTCTGGAAAATTAGCTGTAGTGCAGACAGAAAATCCATGGTTAGTCTCTCTGTGGAAGGGTAAGGTTTGCAGGACTCTGTATACACTACTGTTACTTTGTTTGAAAATCTGTCTCCAGTAAGCCCACTATTTGATCTTTACCAGTGTCATTAGCAGTGGGGGTACATGACCCATGAGAGGAATTTCACCTCACAGATGACAAACTATGAAGGCACAGACACACAACACACCTGAGCTGGCTTAGGTCCATGCTGGACATAAGTGTTAACAACTCTACTGTGGAGAGATGGAAGACAATGGCTGCCAGCTGCCTGTCTCCAGGGACTGAGCACGCTACTCCCCAGAATGGCATCTTCTTTTCTGAACTTTATCACCATACCCATCTGGTCAAGTTCCCCATTTTCTTGCTAAAGGACTCTTTCTCACTCTCTCTGATAACATCATAAGAACTCATTCTAACCATCTTCCACTGGACCCTAGTCCAATTCCAAAGGCTCACCTCCCATGATATACAAGAACACACTTTGCCTACAAGATTCATCTCCTCTCATAACCTAAACTTTGCCAGCTAAACCCACACCATCTTCCCAGGCTTTCTTTCTTTCCATTCAACCTATTCCAAATGCAAATTCCATCCATTCTATTTTCATTCCAGGAATGGTGACATATGCCTGTAATCCCAGTACTCAGGAGACTGAGACAGGAGGATCACAAGTTTGAGGTTAGCCTGGGCTACAAAGTGAGTTCTAGGCCAGTGAGTTCTGGGCTATATAGCAAGGCCCTGTTTCAAAAAAACAAACAACAGCAAAAGACACTCTACTTTCATGGGGAGAGATATTCAGTTTCAGACACTCTGTTGCAATTAACAAAATGTCAAATGTATTTTATAAACATTAGTCAGTAGTATAACTTGTTATGAGGGAATCTAAATTGGACCTACAGTGTTCTACTGGATCCACTAGTGGGGGAGGGGCCGTCTCGGGAAGGATCCTCAGCTATTTTTATAGCTTCTTCCATGACTGCGAGAAGTCCATTCCCACCTTCCCCTCTCAGAGCGGGACCAAGCACTCAGGCCTCCTGATGAGTAATCGCACCACCACGTTTGCATTTTCTTCCACACTCTCCCCTACAGTCAAGAGGGGAACATGAACAAGAATGGATTATATGGAAGTTCTGAGCAAGTAAATGTTATCACAATCATCTCTTATTTAAAGAAACAGGTAAAACTCAAGAACTTAATTGTAGAGCCAAAGTTCAACCCAAGTTACTAACTTCATGTTTGCAAAGCATAGGAAGTTTCTTTGCTTAATATTTTCAAGGCAAAAAAACCCATTATGGATGCCTAAACCATTCACTGTCATTAACTTGTTATAAGAAAAGATGTCATCATGCTAATTATTCTAACCCAATTATAAAAAATACATAAGAATTTAGGATTTTAAGTTAAATAATGGAAGGACTATCCATATAAATATCGTATAGTAAATTATTGTTGTGAAAAACCCTACTAATTATAAAACATGCAATTTCTTTACTCATATTTGCATCCTTCATGAAAATGCTGGGATGAGTTCTTATTTTCACACAGTTTTGTTAATGACCAAAAAAAGGACCTCAAGCAGTCAAGTCCTACCATTACAGAAGACAGCAAATCTGAGAAAGTCAAGATATCTCTCTCCTTCGACGGGATTCCACCCAATGTCTGGGTAACCCTTGGATACCAGCATCTGGCAACTCTGCAGTCCACAACCAGCCAGGTAGCGAACTACCTACAAACAAAAGGACAGGCAAAGTGTTATCCTTTGGATACTGCAGAAAGAGGGAATAGCAAGTGCAAAGGCACTGAGATGGGGGCACCCCTGGCATGTTCCAGCTACACCAAGGAGACCAGTGTGGCTGCAGCAAAGAGAGTGGGCAGAAGAGCTGTAAGACAGGAAATCAGACTGATAAGTGGGATCCAAAGGTGAAAGAGCTCTATCTTCAGTTTTACTCCGAGAGACACGGGAAGTCTTCAGAGGGTTCCGGGAAGAGAAATTATGTGGTCCTTTTAAGAGGATCACTTAGTCTGCAAATGTAAGAACAGTCTCTAGGAGTTCAGGGGAAGGACCAGGTGACTGCTGGGATGATACTGACAACCACGTCACAGGGAAGATTCTCTCCAAGCAGCAGGTCAACAACTGTGGCTAAGAACATCTAGAGAGCATGGCCTTGTATAACACTGATGCCTTGCTCTGAAGTATGCAATGCCGATGTGATATAAAACGTACGTGTGATATGTGAAAAGAACCTTTGAAAAAATGAAAACCATACAGTTAAAGCAAAAATGACAGCACTTGTCATGAAAAAGCCAAAACATCCAGGATACAGTAAGTTGATTTCTGCTTCATAGAAAATCCTATGATCAGAGGAGATACCATATTTCAAATATCTTCTAACATCTAACTATAATATGAATATATAATATATAGTATTCTATACATTATATATATAACATACTGTAGCAACATACTATAATTCTAATAAAATTACAACACAGTTGTAATTACCCCAAGAAAGAGCTGTGAACAAGTACAATCCACAGGATACACAGGGCAGGAGTGCATCTTACCTTCTCCAGATCTGGCTCCCTCAAGGCCAAGGCAAGTTCATTATTATCCATCACCGAGGCTGCGGCCACATCCAGTGGGGTGGACCCTCTCATAGCTGGTGAGGCTAATTAAAGAAGATGAAATGAATTCTGGGATGTGCTGTAACTATGAATCCCACATAAAAATATGTGGTATATTTTATTTTAGATTTTAATTTAGTTTTGTCTTTGGTGGTGCTCAGGGATTCATGCTTGCTAGGCAGGCTTCTACCACCTGAGCCATGCCCCCAGCCATTTTTGCTCTGGTTATTTTGGAGACAGGGTCTTGCTTTTCCCCCAGACAGGTCTGGATAGCAATCTTCCTATTTTAGACTTTCTGCCTTGGCTGGCCACACGGTCATGCCCAGCTTTTCTCCCTTGAGATGGTGTCTCACAAACTTTTTTTGCCCAGGTTGGCCTCCCAACCTCAAGCCCCCATGTAGCTTGGAATAACAGGCAACTCCAACGCCTCCTGGAATGGACTGAGATGGAGTATCACAAACTTTTTGCCTGGGGTTGGCCTCAACTGCAATCCTCCCAATCTTAGCCTCCCAAGTAGCTAGGATTACAGGTGTGAGCTGCTGGCGTGTGGCCTACATTTTAATTTCTAAATGCCATACACACTACAGTAACCTAAATCCATTCAAAGTTTAATTCAAAAAATATATTTTTGACAAGTATGTGTATTTATTGTAAACAACATGATTTGAAATGCGTAGGTATTGTAGAATGACTCCATTGGGGTAATTAGCATGCATTACTTCAGGTACCAATTTTTGTGGTGAGAACACTTAAAATTTGTTTTCTTAGTGATTAGTGATTCTGTGATCTGTTTGTGGACATTGAGGTTGATTCTCTTTTCTGGCTATTGTGATTAACGCTTATTATGGGGGACAGATATCTCTTCAACATAATTGATTTCACTTCCTTTGGCTACTCCAAGAAGTGAAACTCTTGGGTCAACTGGTAGCTCTGTTTTTAACTTTTTGCAGAATGCCCATACTGTGTTCCATATTGCTGTGCCAACTCAGATTTCCAGCAACAGTGTGCAAGTGTTCCCTTTTCCCTACACCCTTGTCAACACTTAGTATTATCTTTCATTTTCATTATTTGGCTTTCTAATGGGTGTGAGAGTGAGAGCTCATTGTGATTTTAATTTGCATTTTCCTGATGATTACTGATATTGAGGGTCTTTTCATATACCTGTTCACCAGCTGTGTGTCTTCTTTTGAGACATGTCTATTTGGGTCCTTTGTTCATTTAACACGAAGTTCAATTTTATCTTAAAGATTAAATTAGGGCTGGTAGAGTGACTCAAGTGGTAGAGTGCCTGCCTAGCAAGCCTGAAGCCCTGAGTTCAAGCCACAGTACTGCCAAGGGAGAAAAAAAAAGATTAAATTAAAGCCACACATTTACTTACCAAGACCAACACTGCTGTTTTCCAGTAAATAACTGAGATGATCAAACATAGCTTTTTGATTCTGCCTACTTATACGACAGAAGTAACAGAGAAACCGGCAACAGTTGGCCACCATCTTGGGAAAGGTGATTTCCTAAATGAAGAGAATCAGTTACTGAAGCAAGTGATCTTCATGAAATTTAGTTCAGAAGTCACAGTCTCAGTAACCCTGTCAATCTCGTAAACCCAAGCTGCCAAACCTCAGGTACAGCAGAGCTTCAACACACAGACTATATCACTCACCTAGTCCTTGAACATCAAGCCAGGTGCTAACTCAGAAACCTCATTACCATCAACAGGTTGGATCCAGAATTAATCAATAGCCCTAAATTCAAAGGTGGTATGAGCTTGGTTTAGGAATCAGACAGACCCATCTGGGATTTCTGAGTACTACTATTAGCTGTGCATCCCTGGCAAATTTGTTAATCTTTTGTGATTCTGTTCTGTAAAACTAGGATGCTATGAGTGCTACTACTTTAGGTAAGAAAGGAGAGGATACACTGAGAATTTCTGACCAATACACAGCTCAGTAGTTGGAACTACACAACAGGGTGCTGTTATCAGCATTATTATTGAGGGGTTTACAAGCTCCCTAGTTTGTACACAACTTGCCTGCTGAGCCCCAACCCCCAACAAAAAGGCCTGCCTGGTGGGCTCCCCTGAACTCACCCCAATGCGCCTTCCTTAATAGAATATATTGGGAATATTTTTATGTCTCTCTACCAGTTATGGGAAATTCAGACTTATTTCCATATTGTAAAAAATACACTTACATTTTAAAATATGGAAATGTATTTTGCATATGAGAGGCTATAAAATTATATTGATTTATCTGAAGCTACTTACTTCATTCTGCCCACTTGATTTTCAAGAACTTTGTTTTAAGTTGTAGTCACTTAAAAGCTCTCTTTAAGGTCTTACAACAAATTAATTGTAGATTATCATTGTCAATCCTGCTTTAGTTCAGAAATTTAGGGACTATAACTGTGGCCTGAGTCCTGAGGAATAACTAAATACGAAGGACATGCCTGTGTCATGAATTTGTGGTGGGATCTGATTTATAATTTAAAAGTTTAAGGTAAATTAGGATAACATTAACTTTTGAAGTTTCTAAAGATCCCCTAAATGAGAATTTAGGAAACAAAAAATTACACAGCATAAAAAACTCTGTCAACATCAAAGAAAAATCCAACTCTTAATCTAAAAGGTTTGTGGGGTTTTTTTTTGGGGGGGGGTTCTTTTAAACAAATGGTATTCTTTAAAATCAGTTCTCCAAAGTGGCATTAAGGGATTTTTATTCTCATGGTCCTCTGTGACCCAGGTAGTCTAGGAGGTTATACTAAATAACACCCCAGGAATCAAAGGCTTTGCTGTACCTTGGACTCCCCACCTCCAAGGACATTCACCATGACCTCCATCACCGTCTCATGCATCCCAAGTGCTCTCATGAGGTTAGGGTGTTGGTAAAACACTTTATTATTCATGATGTCCCTAGAAAGGACAGGGGAAAGAGCGGCAAAAGCTGAAATCAGAACAAAGTTTAAGCAAATATTTGTCTGAGATTCTGACAAGTGTTCTAGGAAGAACTGTGTGCATGGAAAAGTAGGAGTGAGCCTAGTCGAGCCACAGTGCCAATGAGCTCAGTTGGCTTTTCCTCAAAAACATTCAGTCTGATACAGGAGTGTCTGTTCTTTTCTATGACAAGAAATACACTAAACGTGTAGAATCTAGTTATAGAAAATGTACTGTGGACACTAATTTTATGGATAGCCAACAATGTATTCAATTGTTTTGTACAAAAACAACAGTCAATATTAGACCGTGTTATAGAAAATTCCTATGTAAATTCCTGACAAAGGCATCTTCTCTTCACATGGATGCCACTTGGTATAGTACCTTACACAGCACTGCAATCAGTAGCTGTGTGTGTAATTGCAAGAGTCTTGTTTTCCATTAACATTTTCACTCTGGTAAAATATCTGAAATGATGCCTACTTTGCAAGAAAAACTGAATATGCACGAGGTACTCAGTTCAAGTAACCAATTCCTTAGGATGGTCATTCAAGGCTGGGGGTGTGGATCAAGTGGTAGAGCCCCTGCCCTAGCAAGCATGAAGCCCTGAGTTCAAACCCAGTGCAGCCAAAAAAAAACCCAGACATTTGATTTTTTTTTAAAAGATGCTATCTAAACTGATTCATATGACTACTGTACTAAGTATTAATGTAACCTATGTATCTATGTTAATTTTACTCAAAGAACCAACTCAACTTTATTACTTTTTTATTCTATTTTATTCATGTAGCAGTGACCTTCATTGGCTCCTTTTCGCCTTATAATTTATTTAATCACATCAGGTTTTTCCTGTATCTTTGTCTTTTCATCACTTTTTAACACTGCATTCCAGAGCTCTACACCTTTGGGCACTCTTCTTAGGAATATTATGTAGCTTAATCGCATACTTATTTTTTTGCTACTATTTTTATTTCATCTTAACTTTTACATTCCCAACTTTAGGTCTTTCAATGATGACTGTAAGTAAATATTATTTGTTTTGTTCTCACTCCTGAATATGAGGCATAGACTTGAACCCCAAATCTATATGAAACATACGCATATAACGTTGAATCTTTTTACCAAGGCCCAACAGATAAGAGAAACTTCCTCACTATTCCCAGCAGGTGAGCTCCTCCAGCACAGATTTTAATTTGTTTTTATTACCCTGTGTCTTTAAATATAATTGTACATTTCTGAAGAATTGGGGTCATGTCTTACTCCTGGTGACATGCCATGCTACATCAACATCTCGTGATACAATTAGAGTCATCATTTGCTGCTCACCAACTTTCTTAAAACATAACCCTAATACAAGGATCAGAAAACGCAGACAGTACATTTGTACTCACACACCTAAGGCGTATGAATGATAGAGAAACTAGGAAGATGAAGGGTTGTCACAGTGAAATAGTTTACCCTAATCCACGGATCATAAGCTTCTCTTCTTCTCTGCCCATCCTCACACTCAGCAAGGAACGAATCTGGCCAAGGGAGGCCAGCAGATTGATGGTGTCCTCCACGGAGACACCATTAATGGTGTAGGTCTTCGGCAGAGCCCGGACTAGGCCCCCAATGCCATCGTACTGCCGGTGCAACAGCACGAACATGGCCCTCACCAACTCCGGGTCTTCAATGACAGACTCCTGCGTCCACCGGACCATGGTCTCGGAGATCAGCAGCTGGAGACTGGCTGCAGAGCATTATGGGTAAGTTTTTAAGGGACAATATGAAGAGAAGACACATCAGCTGGTCATTTCATCTCTATCGATACCAGAATTGTGAAGGTTAGGATTCTTCAAATTTCTTTGAAGAAAATTAACTTTAATTAACCATTATTTATATTTCAATCAAGATCAGTTATGGGCAAGCAAGGATAAAAACACAAAAACATTTTAGTAATCATTCTTGTAATTTTATAATTCAGTAAGCCATTTCAAAGTTGTAACCACTTTTTCAAAATCATTGTTATCATCCCAGAAGTAACTGAAAAGTATGACAGTTAATATGAGGTGACCTAACTTTTACTTTTATTTGCTTTGTCCCATTATTCTTCTCCCAGAAGATCTGACATCAGTATCCTTGAAAGGTTGGTCATGTATAATTGAGATGGTATTTGTTTTTCTAGCTATCTCCTTGATTAATCCATCTGCAATAGTGGCCACAGAATTACGATTTTATTTAAATTTGGATCCTGTCACTTAAAATGTCTTCAAAAGCATTTGATTATGAAGCAGACTAGAGTGAAAAATTATTTCATACATACAAGATTACTTGCAGTATAACATACAACACAGCTCATTTAAAAGCAGTAGAAATTTCCACATCTATTAAAATAAATATTAGAATTGTGATTGACTCATATATAGTGAGGTACCTATCATTAACACACTGGCTGACTTTCCAAAGGAGCTGTTTATCTTTGCACCTAGACATTATTTAAGAAAAAACAACCAATGTTATCCGAACACAAAATTCAAACAATGTACTAATATACTTCTATATAGCTCAAAACCTCACTGTTTTAACAGTTTATGATCATAAGTCTGAAATAATAAATGAGATTCATAAGAAAGTTGGAATACTGATTTTGAAGGTGACCTATGTCAAATTTGATTGTGAAAGAAATTTATATATAATTGCATGAACAAAGGTTTTCCATTGTGAGTTACTGCGTTGTTCTTTTTTTTAAAAAAAATAAGATTTTAGTGAGTTTATTTGTTCACTCTTTCAGAAAAAAAGCCTTAATTAAACCAGCCCTACTTCTTAAAATCACCGGAGTCTTGGAAGTGAGGTAATGTGTTAGTTGAGCCCCTCAGACTTGCTCTGTGACCCCTTCAGGATGAGTGTGCCGTGCCCATGACTCTCAGTCCAAAATGGGTATGTTTGGTTTTAAGGACTACCAGTCATTGTTCTTGTTAAATAGGATATGGATGAATTAGAAATGCCTAACACTAGGAAATATTCCAGAACCAAAATACAGTTATACACATTATCTACTTAACTTTTAAAAGGTTTAATTTGATGTGCTAATAATCTGAAAATCAGTTGCATGTGTGATATTTACATATGAACGGTAAATAACTCCCTCTATACTTTGATAGCCTCTGATTAAACTAAATCATTTGCTCTCCAGGGAGCCTATACACCTTTACAATGCTGCCACCACTCAACCTGGTTCTACAGCTAGAGCTCCCATACTGCCTGCCATGTACTTCTGGGAGCTACAGGTGTCCGCTGAAGAATCTGACTCTTGGAAGATATGAACTCTGACTTGTTACCTCTCTGGCTCATCTAGTGTAATATTCATTCACAGGATGGCTAAATGTCCTCAGCCAGCTGGCTATAAGATGTAAGATGCTTACAGGACTTCGTGGCATCACTTGCCACTGGTTTATCTGCCTGCTTCTTCTTCAGGTAGGTCACCTTTTCTACCAGGGACAGCAGACGTCCTCTGATTGTTAAATCACAGTTTCCATCCAAAGATCCATCTTCATCCAGCTCAATTCCTACCACGAAAAATGCAGAGGAAACAGAAAAGGAAAACATTTGAAAAACTGTATCTGTGGAAATGATTTTCAAGTTCCGCAACTTTTCCATTCACAGCTTCGAGCAGTATCAAAACATTAGACAGCATGTGGTTAAGCAAGCTTTTCACAAGCACCCGAATGAAATCCACTCGAGCCTTTTTCTCTTTTCCCCCTGCTCCTGTGGGCTCAGAGCTACTGAAAACCACCACAAAATACAATCTCAGCCAACACCAAAGACACCCTCAGGAGTGAAGCTCAATTCTTCTCGTTGGGCAGACTCTTTTCACATTATTGACTTTGGCTGTCCAGACCCAGGACATATCTAGCCTCCTGTCTTCCCTCCAAAAATGTCGACTGTATTTTGATAACTTGCAAGATAAAAGAAAGCACAGGGGCAATTAGGTACCCTACGCCTAGGAATGCTTATTATCTGTAGCAATAATCCTATTGTTTTAGTGTATTCCCTTTATTGATGATAGATATCAATAAATGTATAATTTCCAGGCATATATTTGGTAAATTTGCATCCATAAAATGAACTAACATGCAAGGTGGTATTTTTTATCCTCTTCTAAAATACGAAAAGCATAATCTTACTGGTACTTTTTCTTTCAAGGAATGACTAATTCACTTTCTTTCTTTGAGTCACAAACCTTATCCACATCATTTCATAGAAGAATAAAGAACTACACGCCCAGGACATCTAATAAATTCCATGTTAAAGTTCTCAGAATAGGGGAGAGCTCCTTCACTAGATCTGGATCGCTGATATAAAGCAGTGTAGATTTGTTAGGTACTCACTATTTCGAAAGTCACATGCTGGGTATCTGAGAACAATCGTAAAAGGTCCTCCTTGAGCTGGTTTAAATATAATTGTTTGTGATCAAATTTATTTCCTCTTGAAATATAGCTTTACTGAGGTACACTATAGACAGAACTGCAGGTGTTTAACAAATACAATTGGGTAAGGTTGACATATACATCACTCATGAAATCATCTTTACCATCCAGGGGACAGACATGAGCCATCACCTCTAAGCTCCTTTGAGCTTCCTTTGTTGTTTGTTTGTTTGTTTGATGCTGTTGCTGTTGTGAAAACATTTAACGTAGGTCTACCCTCTGAACAAAGTTGGCTGTATGCAGCACAGTACTGGTAGTGACAGGTACATGCTGTACAGCACATCCCAAGGACATCCTCACCGCTCTGCCAAGAGCACTTGCCTGTAGATCCCCATGCTTCCTGCCCGTTCCCTGCCACTGAGGGGAGGGATGTCAGTTTCTTGGGCTCAGTCTTCCTGCCTCTATGATTTTTCTGCCCCCACCCCTCACTTGCCACACAGAGACAGTTAATCATTTTGCCATAGTAAATACAATATGAACCTTCAACAAACCTGTTGCCATATCGCTCACAATGTTTGTACCAGAATACGTGGATTTAGAAATGCACGTATTTTAGTAAAATGTGCATTTAGTAAAATTCGTCAATCAAGATGTTCCTACCACAATGTGTCATCAAATCTTCATGGAACTCCAGCAGCTGGTCACGAATTTCTTCAGGACATGGACACTCACTTTTGTCATCCTTAAAATTGAGAAGCATATTAATCTGGCAGAAGAAGAGCAGGAAAGAAGGAGAAAAGAAGGAAGAATTCAGGAAGGACAGAGCAAAGGTAACAAACGCTCAAAATCAATTCTTTTTTTCGGTGGTATTGGGGCTCGATCTCAGGGCTTCACACTCTCAAGGAAAGCACTCCTTCTCTTTAACCACACCTCTAGACCCTTTTGCACTGGTAATTTGGAGATAGGATCTCACTTTTTGCCCAGGCCAACCTGGGTCACAATCCTCCTATTTTAAGCTTCTCGCTGTAGCTGGGATGACACACACACAAACCACTACATTCAGCTTTTTTCTGTTGAGATGGGGTCCTGCAATCTTTTCTACTCAGGCTGAACTTCCTGATCTTAGCCTCCCAAGCAGGTAGTATTACAGGTGTAAGCCACCAGCACAGGGCTCTGATTCAGGCATGTGCCCTTGGTTTTATTATACCATAAAGGAGACATGGATTTGGAGGTGAGTAATGAGACAAAGAACCACAAACAGACTGTTAAGTCTTCCAGGAAGACATTTGTTTCTTCTATGAGGATATCAAACAGAACTCATCTTCAGGAAGTCTTAAGAGCCCAGGTTTTAATCAGTGAGGGCAGTGCCAGGACAGCCAAAGAAGACCCATCTGTGGTTGGCTGCTGTGCTTATTTGCACGATGTCAGGCTCTGGCATTCTGACTTGCTCTGAGAATCTACGGTATAATAATAAACCCATGTTTGTTTAAACTAACCAAGTAGATTCTTTTGGTAAAACCAGAACTATTGTCTGAAACAATCTGGCTAGTTTAAACAGAACAGGAAATAAACACCCATTTATAATTTACAATTTTGCAATAGCTCGCAAATGAGCTGAAATCAAAAGTGAAAAGGAAAGACTTTCCTATCACTCTTGTACCTGTTCTTGAGGCGGTGACCTGAACTCCTTGGTTTTCCTGGCTGTGAGCGCAGCTGACATGTTCAAGGCTTGCATAACTTCATTGTATCGGAAACGCTGATTGTCTTGGAGCTTAGCTACAAAGTCATCTGAAAAGGCTACAATGGCTTCTATCCGGTGTCGGACCTGGCAGTCACAGAGGTATTGCAGCAAGAGGCACATCTAAGAAGGCAATTAAAAAAATTAATCCTGGATCTTTTACTTTTAAATGTGCTTAGTTATACATTCTTCACCCTTAAAACAGAATCTTAATTTTGTGTAGATAGCAATGTGCTCAGTCTAAATCACAATGGCAAAAATGTGTCCTTCTACTGGACCCTTACCTACCCAACCTCCTTTGCAGCCACAGGGATCATGGCCAACTGATACATAGGGGGGGTTGGAGAGAGGCCTTCTGGGAAATAATTCCATCATTAGTAACAGACTAGAATGACTTTCTTTCAAAATACATGCAACTGGGTTACGTCTTAATTGTTGCAGAAGGAATGAGGTGACATGCCTCAGGATGAAAACCACAGGCTGGATCACAGGGCAGAGGACAGCACTGAGCACTGGCATGAACCCCAGAGCTACACACTGGGCATGTCCGTTAAGCAAGGGGTGGCACTCACTTACTAAATGATTAGTATTTGCCTAGGGTAAGCAAGGGGATTTTAACTGATACAGAGTGTAGGTAGAAACACGCCTATGAGAGAACACCAGGCCAGGTTAGGAAAAATTTATGTACACATAGTACTACCTGTGACATAACCACAAGATGGTGTTGCAGAGGATGTTAAAACTCTGCTGGTCACAGTCTGCAACGTAACCATTTCTGTCAACTCTCTTAGAGCATTTGCTGTCATTCTCTACAGCTGCCCCATCCTCTTTCCCCATCTCCATTTCAAGACCCAGCATAAGCACCAGCCCCTCAGGGCAGGACAAGTGCAAGCCACCTGACAAGCCCTACTCTGGACCAGCCTCTCTGTCCCCCTTGTTTCCCTCACAGCAGCCACCCTGGTGTCTCCTGCCATGGAGCCATGTGTGAGGTCACCCTGCCTGCTCCATCTTCCTTGCCCAGTGGAAATCTTACTTCTCCATCCGACCTCAGTTTAAAAGTCACCATTCCTGAGGGAACCTTCCCTCCCACTTTCTAACAGTAATCCAAAGGTTCTTCCATAACCCATTCTTTTGCTGCAGAGAATTTAATGCAGTTTAGCAAAAAGACATTTTTAAAGAAATGCTGAGCATTTCCCCCAGGGAACATGGGCTTCCAGAAGGCAGGCTCACATCTCCTTCCTTCTCTCTGCACCAAGTATACAGCTGGGATCAATGCTGACAGGGAATGAGTGAAAAGCCTGCCCATGATGTAAAAGCTGAAATGACTCTGAAGAACTGAAGACACAAAGACCTTCCCGCAGCTCGAGAGCACAAAGCCAGGCCATGCGTCCCATTCCTTAGAAACACACTGGGGGAGCAAGACCTTGTTTTGTAAGAATGAGCAAGTGTCCTAAGGTGGGCAAGAGAGGAGGTGGTGGCAAGGGGCACCTAGTGCCTCTGTTTCAGGCATCCCAACATAATGTGGGTGAGCTCTATCTGCAGACATGAGAGGGAAGAATCAAGGAGGTGGAGAATGAACAGGAGGGAGATGATCGGGAGGTAAGTTCATTTTATGAAGAACTACAGAGAGAGAGAGGGATGAGGGGGGAGAGGGGGAGACAGGTAGAAAGGGAGGGAGGGAGGAAGAGACAGAGAGAGGGAGAGAGAGAAAGAAAGAGGGGGGAGAGCAAGAGACAGGTAGACAGGAAGAGAGAGATGGGGGGAGGGCAAGAGGGGGAGAAAGGTAGAAAGGGAGTGGGGAGAGCAAAAGAAGGGGGAGAGTGCGAGACAGGTAGACAGGGAGAGAGAGGGGCAGAGAGGGGGGAGGGGGGAGGCAGGTAGAAAGGGAAGGAGGGAGGGAGAGACAGAGAGAGAGGGAGAGAGAGAAAGGAAGAGGGGGGACAGCAAGAGACAGGTAGACAGGGAGAGAGAGATAGGGGAGGGGAAGAGGGGGAGAAAGGTAGAAAGGGAAGGGAAGAAAGAAAAAGAAAGGGGTGAGAGTGAGAGACAAGTAGAAAGGGAGAGAGAGGCAGAGAGAGGGGAAGGGAGAGAAGGAAAGAGGGGGGAGAGTAAGAGACAAGTAGAAAGGGAGAGAGGCAGGTATAAAGGGAGAAAGAGAGAGGTAGAAAGGGAGAAAGAAAGAGGAGGGAAGAGAGAGAGGAGAGGGATAGACAGATAGAAAGGAAGAGATTGGGGGGACAGAGAGAGAGAGGAGAGAGACAGAGAGAGGGGAGGGGAGTGGTAGAGACAGGTAGAAAAGGAGACAGGTAGGCAGAAAGGGAGAGAGAGGAGAGAGAGGAGAACAGACAGGTAGAAAGGGAGAGATTGGGGGGGACAGAGAGATAGAAGAGAGAGACAGAGAGGGGGGAGGGGAGGGAGAGTGGGAGAGACAGGTAGAAAGAGAGGAGGTGGAAAGGGAGCAAGAGAGGAGAGAGAGGAGAACAGAGAGGTAGAAAGGGAGAGATTGGGGGAACAGAGAGAGAGAAGAGAGGGGGGAGGGGAGGGAGAGAAGAGAGAGAGGCAAATTGGAACACTTGAACACAGAAATCTAAATTGACTTTTCGGATTACCTGCAGTTTAACCGGCTCGGGTAGTTTCATCTGGAGCAGGCCCTCCTTGGGCCTCTCGCTGGCTTCTTCTTCACCTGCTCCTTCCAGCCTGGAGTCCTCCGCACTGAGCCCGTTCTCCATGTCGCCCTCCTCCTCTGGAGAGGCGGCCTCCTTGAACACTCTGGGCTCGATCAGCTGCAGGATGAGCTTCAAGTCCTCGTTGTGGAAGACGCCCATGATAAGCAGGGTATAGAAGAGCTTGATGAGAGGCACGAAGAGGAACTCGGTGGTCCCCCCGACAGGGTCCCGCGCGTGCAGACTGCCCTCCTTAACCGCCTCGGTCAGCATCTGGATGGTCTTGGCCTTCAGGATGTCCAGGGGGAACTCGGGGCTGTACTGGTAACACTCGTTGCTGATGCTCACAAAGCTGGGCGAGGAGAACTGCATCCGAGGCCGGAGGGAGGTGCTGAGGCCGATGCCGGGGAGGCCATGCTTCTTGTTCTCATCCGGGAAGAGGGTGATGCTTTTGGTCTCCTCCGTCATGGGCACGATGAACTCGTTGTTCATCATGAGCCTGGCGGTGGCATAGGAGCTGAGATGGATGTCGATCAGCAGGTCGTAGTAGCCAGCACGCAGCAGGCCAGGCATGTACTTGCTCTCGATGGCGTACAGCAGCTGAGGCTCGTCCACGTGGCTGCACAGAGCGTGGGCCACGCGGTGGTTCCCCAGGGCGCAGACGGCTGAGTAGAGCCGCAGGGTGTGATAGTGAAACTTGAGCAACTCCTCCTGCTCTGTCAACTCTAAGATGTCAACAGACCTGTGGATGGGAACAAGGGAGTCGCAGCGAGATCAGAAATGGGCCATGAAAAGAAATACTGAATCAGAAGAGAAATCTGTGCGCACCAGAAACTTCAAAAAGTTATGGGAACAGACACTGTCTTCTCTTAGTTTTCTATGACATGGCTGCATAGAGTTTGTAAATCCCTTCTGGGTGTTTTACAAATTTTCTTCTGCACGGAATTTGAAAATTGAAAATTTTCCAACCCCAAATACATCTAGGACTTCCTTCAGCCTCCGGGGTACCTCTTTTTGACATGTGGATTTCAATCTGAACTTGGGACACCTCCTTTAGAACACTCTTAGAAATCCAAAATCTCCTTTTATAACTGGATAACCTGGCTTGGGTCTGAGGAGCCAGAAAACTTTGCTTTTGCTGTGGGTATTACATGGTTCCCACATCTTTGCCCTATGATTAGGCTGTCAGCCTGACCGCACACAGAAGTAAGTGAAGAGCACAAATTCCACTGGCGTAAGTTACCGCCTCATGCACCCCTGGCAAAACCCAACACCTCCTGCCATCTGCTTCCCTCCCCCAGGCACGAGCAGCTCACACTATATAATCTACCTATTTAAAATACATAATTTAGGGGGTTTTATGTATTAGCGGAGTTGCACAATCATAACCAGAAACTAAGCAAGCATAGGACACTTTCACCATCCCAACAGACAACCCAGAACCATTAGCCGTCACCCCTCAGTTTCACCTCTAGCCCTAAGTAACCACTAACCCACTTTCTGTGTGTAAAGACTTGCGTGTTGTGGACTTTTCATGCAAATGGAGTCCTACAGTGCATTTTGACTAGCTTCTTCAGCTTAGTAAAATGTTTCAAGGTTCTGTTTTGTAGCATGTATCAGTACTTTATTGTTCTCAAATAATATATGCATATGCTGCATTTTAGTTATCTATTCATCAGGAGATAGACATGTGTGCTCTTCCCTCTTACTGATTATTGTAAATAATGCTTTCATGAACGTTATTTGGTTTTTGGTGGCACTGAGGTTTGAACTCAGGGCCTTGTGCTTGCTAGGCAGGCACTCTACCAATTGAGCCACACCTCTAGCATTCAACAACATTCTTGTACAAGTTTTTGTGTGGACCTATTTTCATTTCTCTTCACTATGTACCTGGAAGTAAAATCTAGGTCACGTAGTAACTCCACTTGTATTTTTGTGAGGCCATGACAGTTTCTCAAAGCACAGGTTAAAAGGTAAAGGTTTTAAAGTCAAGTAAAAATGCCAAGCACATAAAGACACAGAAATGAACAAAGCTCCTAAAATCATTTTAAAATTACAGACTTTAAAAGACTACAGATATGTTTGTCTCTTCATGGTCAATAGCATGTTTTTACCTGGTTTGTGACTAAGTATTTTTATGGTACTTTGGTAGGCAAATCCAAAACTTCTGAGACTGAGCTCTTTATTCCAAGGCTGTTGAAATGAAATCTCTGCAATTTAATTGGCAATCCCAAGAAGAAAATGAAAGTCATAATCAAAGCCACCTTTGAGTATGATTGCACCTTATCTTACTATTGCCATTGCCCAGAGTGCAATGATTTGTTTCCTTCCCTGAAGGGGCTTGATCTCAGCTCCACACACCTAGAAAATGAAACGTTGAACTTGGTGGGCCCTCTGATTCCCTCTCTATCATCTCTCAGTTCTGTTGCATTGCTCTGCTAAGTTATCAGCCACATTGCATGTGTGCCTTATGAAACGCATTAGCTATTGTCACCTTAAAATAACACAAGATGGAATGAAAAGCCATACACTATTACGTGTCATCTTCATCCACGGTTTAATTTTTGATTAAGAAATAGACTTAAACCTGGAATATGCAAAGTAACAACTCCTTTGCCAACCACTGCCTTTCACCCTCATTTTGTTCCTCCAGCACCACCCCTGAACCCTCAGTCAGAACTCTGATTCCAAGTGTCCCAAACCAACAGTGATGGACACACAGGGCTGACCTGTTCTCCTCGGGGATGTGAAGTGACATGAACTGCAGAGGGTCCAAACATTGCACCAGCCATCCTTGGCGTTCACTTATCCGAGAGACATCTACCTTCAAAAACTGGTTGGGCATCCGACTCCACAGGACGTGTGATAAGAACTGCACGTGCAGACGTGGTGGGCACTGGGGCACAGGGTTTTTGTGCTCACTCTTGAACAGTCCCGCAGAGAGAGGCATCACATTCTTGGGGACAGGGAAGCAGAAAAAAAAAAATACATTTGTAATGTCCCTTAGGGTATCTAAAGCAATGACCACAAGTCTGCACAGGAAAGAGCTAGTGGGAGCAAGATACACCAGGAGGCAAGTGATGGCAATACAAGACATAACAGAAAGAGTTGAAAGCTCCTGAAAGAACAAGAGGAGAAATTAGGGGAAGAAAACAGCAGATGATTTAGGGCAATAGGTTTGGGATGTGTCTTTCTGGTATATATGAGATTTGTGGTCATCAATCCTGCCTGTTTCTTTACCTGGCTGGGCCCTCAGGGAAACCGGCAGACCTTTAAGATTTTCAGTAGCAAATTTCTTGACCTACATGCCACATATGCTTGGCTCTCTCTCATCTTATGTCCCCTGCCACCCTTGCTGTCCTTAACCACTTCCTCTAACCAGCTATATATATACCAGCTCAAAAGATAAACCCAGCTATCAAAGAAAATCAGTTAATTTGGCATTAAGAACACAATTTATGTCCCCTCCATCTCCAACAAGCATCTTCAGCCAGCCTTAGTTCCTCTGGCCTCAGGGAAAGAAAAGTCTCCACTGTGCTCAAAGCTTATCCATTCTCTTATGATGCAGATGTCGTCTTTGCTCTCCTCTGGGACAAAAGGAAGACACTATGTCACATGTATGACCTTCACTCTCCTCCTCCAAGAGCCTTCTGGTGCATTCTCTAGGCTTCCTTGGCCTCAAGCTTTCTATTCCCTTTTATGAATGGGGAAAAACAATGCTTACTCACTGAGAACACATTGATGAACAAAGCTAACATAATTCCTGGCCTTGTGTAGCTCCCATTTTCCTTGGAAGTATAAAAAGAAAACAAAATCAAGGAGTAAATTAAATAGTGTATCAGAAGAGCTATGGGGGGGTAGGCAGAGTTGAAGAATGAGAATACAGGGTGGCAATTTTAAGTGACTATTGATCAAGATGGGCATCAATGGAAGGTGGCATAAAAAGAAAGACCAACAGCAAAGGGCCTCGTGGATGGCAGGGAGGAAATTTCGACACAGAGGACACAGTTGGTGAAGAAGACCGAGGCAGAGCCAGGGACTGGCATGGCTGCAGTGTGCAGAAGGTGGGAGAGCAGCAGGAGAGGAAGTCAAGAGAGGTGATGGGATGTCGGGCTTTTTAGGGCCTAGACATCTGGTTTTCACCCTCAAGGGACATGGGCTTCAACAGCTCTAAGCAGTGGGATGATCTGATCTGCTTTAGTTGTCAAGCAGTGAGAATCGCTCAGATTGTAGAGTGAGGAGCAAGTGGACAAGGGTGAGTTAAAACCCACGGGGAGGCTTCTGGAGTCACATGGATGAGAAACGAGGTGACAGTGATCACAGAGATGACCAGCAAGAGGTCAGTGAGGGAGGTCACAGGTGGAGGATCCATTTGGGACAGACCTGGGTGTGGGATATAAAGGAGGAAATGTGGTTTGGGGGCCTGAGTAACTAGCTCTGACACTGACATGGGGAAAACGGCAGGTCAGGCAGATTGGAGAGGGAAGGGGACCAGCAGTCCACTCTGAACATAGTCAGTTGGCACTCTCAACTGGACAGCCAGATGGAAAGGCCATATAGACCAGAAGGAGCTGAGAAACTACCTCTTCTTATGCTGTTTTTGGAATATAGATCTACACACAGGTGAGTGTGTGTATGTGTGTATGTATAACACATGTATATGTACTATGGATGTGTGTACACATACACATGACAGACATATAGCTATGTCACCTAAATACTTCCTGTGCAGTGATAATATATATACTTAGGTGACAGGTAGGCATGGATGTGGCACCTAAACTTGCTGCTCCCTTTCCCCCATGATTCACCTTTTCTTATGGCTTCTTCCACCATCTCTCTAAAGTTCTTCCAGCAGGGTCACCTGAGCCCTTCTAGTTGACACATCGCTGGCTTCCCTTAGTCTCTGGCCATCTGTGGCACCTGCAGTCTGTGAGTGGACACTTGGCTTCTGATCCCTCCTCACATGCTGCCTGCAGCTCCCCTGGGATCCTGGTGGCTGTGTCCTCAGTGTCTCTCATGGGTTCTCTCTCAACTGACTCAACCAGGCTCTCTGCTCACTCTTCCTCTCCCACTCTAGTTGCCCTCAGACAATTCATCCACCCTCAGATATGAGTGACACTTGATTTCTGGATGACTAAAATCTTAATTTCCAACACAGCTCTCCTTTTCTTCAGGACAAGTGTAGCTACACATGAATTATGCATATGCATTTTATATAATATATATAAATTTACTGAGCAAATGCTATGTGTAATGGGTGGATTGAGATTTTCAGTTATGTTATTTTTTTGATGGTACTCAGGTTTGAACTCAGGGCTGTGAGTTTTCTAGATAGACTTTCCATCATTTGAGCCATGTGCCCAGCCTTGTCTTGCTCTTAGTTATTTTCCAGATACAGTCTCATACTTTTTGCCCAGGGTCAGCCTTGGACAGGGACGCTCCTACCTGTGCCTCTCACATAGCTAGGATTACACAGGAACATACCACCACACCCAGTTGTGTCTTGGGATCGGAGTCTTGCTAACATTTTGCCTGGGCTGGTCTTGAACTGTGACCCTTCTGATCTTTGCCTCCCAAGTAGCTGGGATTATAGATATGCACCACTATACTTGGCCAGATTTTCAGTTATAGTATTTGAACTCCAAAAAAGAGATACTATGAACTCTATTTTACAAAGACAAAAACTATGCTCATATATATTAAGAAGCATATCCAAGGTCACTGAGCCAGTCTGAAAATGCTATCTACCGTGATCACCCTGACATGTCCCTGGTCCTTCAACTTCACAACTACAAAATTAAGTTGCTCTGAATTTCAAGAAGCTCTTGTAGCTGTGGCATTAGCACTCCAGTCAGAATGACCATTGTCAAGAAAACAACACCAACAATGGCTGGCAAAGATTGGGGGAGAAAAAGAACCCCCACTCACTGCAGGTGGGAATGTAAATTAGTGCAGCCTCTATGAAAAGCAGTGCAGAGGTTCCACAAAACACTAAAAACAGACCTACTGTATGATCCTACTGTATCACTCCTGGGTATAACTCCAAAGAAATCAAAGTCAGCATACAAGAGAGGAACCTACACACCTACCGTGTGTATTGCAGCACTATTCACAACAGCCAAGCAATGGAATCAGCCAAGTGACCACCAATGGATGAGTGGATAAAGAAATCGTGTGTGTGTGTGTGTGTGTGTGTGTGTGTGTGTGTGTAATGCAGTATTATCCTTCCTTAAAAATGGATGAACTGAAATCATTTGCAGGGAAATAGATAGAGCTTGACACCACCATGCTACGTGAAATAAGCCAGACTGAGCAAGACAAGTATCATGTGTTCTCTCTCACATGCAGAATCTAGACCTAAAAGCAAACAGACAGAAAGACAGACAGACAAAAAAGACATGAGTGAATCAGGGGGACTATTTGTGGGGAGGACCAGTGGGATGGGGTGGAGAGGAACCAGAGAGGGTAATGGGGGCAAATATGATCCAAGTGTACTGTATTTAGGGATGAAAGGTCATTATAAGGTCTGTTATTTTGTAAAATTAAAAATTCTAACTCATTAAAAACTTAAATTAATCCTTGCTTCCAGTACCTGAATCTAATTAACGGACATGTCCTATTAATCCAATTCATTGTCAGATCCTGACTTTCTTCCCTCTTTCCCATCACCATCACCCACAGCATCAGGCCATCAGCACCGCTTGTACCGCCTGCTCTGATTGCCCATCTCCACATCGCTACATATTTTTCCAAAAGCAGTTTCATTACATTCAATGCCCTTCTTCAAATATTTAAGAACTGCCCCCATCTATGTGCTAAACGCTAGCTTCTAAGCACCAATCTGGCTTTGGCTACATCCTGGGAGGCATCCTCTGTCAAGGTCACATGAAATTATTTACCCCTCGACATTCCCACTCTTACTTCTTCTTTCTCCTTCCCTATGACAAGAACAACTCCCCCTAATAAATGCACCTCAAGAACCCCAACTGAGCAGGTCTTCTTTCAGATCACCCTGCTCTAAGTTTCAGATCCCCCTTCTCTCCCCCACACCCATCTTAGTTGTTCTCCATTTGTGTTTCCAGAGCCCTTCACAAGTGCCACTATTCTAAGTGTCATGGTTTCAAGTCTTTACAACTATCTACCAGCTCACTTGTGAGTTCGATGATTACTATGCTGTGTGTAGACTGGCAGTTTTATTCTGTGTAAGCCTAGTTTTATTGAATAACATATATAAAATAATTAGAGACTATATAAAGATAATCAGAGAAAATGACATGAAAGAATCTCAAACATGACAACATTCCTTTAAAGAATGGCACTGACCCATGTCAGTGTAAATAAAACACCAAATCCACTAAGAGGTGCATGCCAGGCCCTACAGAAAATAATAGAAACCCAATACAAGGAATGAGTCTTCCTCACCTTTATTCTTCCCAACTCAAACTGGAAAACATTGGGACTTGTAGCTTGCGCAAACACTGCAGGAAACAATTTTGTACTTGGCTCCACCTTAAATAAAGGAATGCATTTAGTCATGTTAGTAAACAAAGAAACAATATTTTCATTATAGCAACTAAGGAACACTTTACACAAGGAGACCAGAGACTTTTCTTTCCTCGTCTTCTAATACTTAGGTGGAGAAATGACCGAAGGGGTGCACATCACTGGGGAAGTGAGTGCTTCACTCCAAAAGGTTTTGGCACGGTGGATACTGAACAGAAGCAAGCATTAACTCATTTCTGCTTCTACTTTCTCGCCTTCATTTTGGTCTTACAGGAAGCGCTCCCCTTTGTGGGGAGGAAAGGCTTTATTCCAAGAACCCTGAGGCCATCCGGGCGGACAGGTACCTGGTAGTATGTGCTGAGCTCCTTGCCGTTGGCAATGAACGTGAGCAGCCCGCTAGCAGCATCCACCACGCAGCCGATCTCCAGCCCGTTGTTGTTGCGTCCTTGCCCGGGGCTCATGCTCTCGCCTGCACTCACCATATAGCAGTTGCTGCGTTTGATACTAAATCGCAAAAAACAACAGATTTTTATCTTTGCACGAGCACAGGGAGGAGAGAGAGCGTGTGTCTTGCAAACTAAGCCTAAATGTGCTGCGCAAGCGACAAGCTCATGCTGCGATGGAGAGGTGCGCGATGGCCGAGTCTGGCGGAGCAAACACATCTCCTCTGACTGCAGGGACGTTCTGGATCGGGTCTGACACGTCTCCAAATTTCACACCTCATGGAGCCCGGAGCCCGGAGCCCGGCCAATGGGCTGGAACCAAGTAAGAACTGTCCTGCACCTTCTCTCCAAAAAAACTCAAACCAAACTGGACCTTTATCTGAGGTTCAAAAAAGTTCAACTGCGTAATCATCATCTGAATTTGAATTTCCAAATCGCTTTTGTTTTCACCACTTGTCTGGGATGAGAAACGTTCATTTGCAAACAGTATCAAAGTCCTTAGGCAAATTATCTATGAGGTATCAGCCATACAGTGTATTTAAATTTTGGCTACATTTTAATTAAATGGTGCTCCTTTGTGGACAATTTTTGATGATCTTTGATGAGAGACAGTTATCTGGAATATGCACAAAATCAGTGATGCTAACAAAACTCCACCTGATTCTCACCTTTACCAAAACCTTTCTGAAAGATGGAAACAAAGCTAAGGACTTTCAGCTTCCTCTCCTTCTCTTCTCTCTACACCCTTCGCTCGCACTGGGCTGTGCTGCAGACAATTAACAAGACCAGCAAAGAAAGGCCAAAAAGCAGACAAGCAGGAGGAAAGAACAGAAATTCTGTTTGGAATGCTCAAAGGCAGGCTGGTTTGTTCGCACTAGGCACATACGACTCAAGGTCTTTACTTCTATTTCCTGCACCCAAAATGTCTGTCTGTTACCCCGTACCTACTCTGAGGATTTTGGTTTTTTTATTTTGTTGCCAGCTCTGAAAACTGAATGCACCCCCTAGAATATCCTAGACACACAGGTTTGGGGTCCCATCAGCTCAAAGCGCTCGTCCTGGGAGACCACTGCTAGGTTCCTGTCTCAAGTGCTAAGTCCATCCCTGTTACAACCTAAGAGCAGAACAGAAGGTTTCCCAGTCACCAAAAAGGATGGTGCAGGTAGAGAAGGAAAAGCAACATTCTGGAGGACTCATTCTGAGATCTGTCACAGCAGATCAGAGGATGCATTGGCACAAAAGATAGAAGCAAATGGTCAGATCTTCCCTTGTCTTATTCTGCAAGGAAGATAGCCTTCTTCACTTTTTTGAAGGTTTGGTTTGAGTTTGGTTTGTTTTACAAATGGAAAAGGATGGCACAGAAAGTGTAAGTGACTTACCCAAAGCCACACAGCGAGTCAATGGCAAAGCTGAGGAAAGAACCCACTACTCCTCAGTCCAAGTTCAAAGGTGTCCACCTGGTCTAAACTACCAGCCCGCTCTGTCTTCACACTACTGTCCCCACCACAGCCAGCTCCCGAGATTCTACATTCACCCATCTCTCATTCCCAAAAACAAAGGCTAAGTATTGGTCACTCGAGTCATTAGTCATGTCACCTGATCAATACGTGATTAATACACGTTTTCTGCTCTGCACACACTTAGATTCCTTGCTGGTTTGCAGGAGTGACAAAAAAGGACATTGACATCAATGGCTTCATTTTATTGTTCTATAAATGAAAATATCCAAGAAACACAAGTACCTAGATTTAACCAATATTTTTTTTCCAGAGGTCATTCCTGTAAGAAACTGAGGATAAACCAACCTTTCATGCACTTTTCCTTTTTCATCTCCTAGAGTAACGGTCACTGTCCGGACCCTGTCCAAGTCAAAGCCTGTGTCATACTGATGGAAATCGGATGTGATCCAGCCCACCCAGACATTTGCAGGTTCTTGACCAGGGAAGATTCTCACTGAGTAATAGTACTGTCGAGAGAGCGAAACCAGGTGTTGACAAAGTCAAGCAAAACCTTGATCTGCAACATCAACTGTTGTCTGAGCCTGTATATTATCCAATGATGTATTTCTTCATTTAAAATTATTTGGCTGAATTAAAATGTTATCAGTACAAGTGACTGATGAGAAGTAAATATTTTACTCCAGAAGTCCTGAATTAAATCAGAATAAACATGCTAAATGATTTTGATGAGTTACATGTATGCATGTATGTATGAAGTACATGTAACAGGATACACAATAAAAGCACCAATCCATCAAGCAGGTACACTTTAAATTCTTCCAGCTTGTGCACATACACTAATCTAAACTAGAGTTTTTATGCCTGCCACCAACATCTTTGCAAAGACTTAGCCTCTCCTATCTCTGACAGATAACATTTTGACACCTTAAAATCACTTTGAAATATTTCAGATCTAAGATGGGAACATCAAACTCAAACACGGGATGACTCTATAACAGATACAAGTATATATATTTTTCCATTTGGCATTTCAGGAAAACTAGTTTTGAAAACTTAAAATGGCAGAGAGTAAAACTTGACCTCTTCCATGGTGTGATAAATAATCATCTTAGAGACACTTCACTGAGATGAAATAAGTTCCATGCACTTGGGAAATTAATATGTAATCAACAAACAGGATGGCAGAATCTTCATTATAGGTGCCACTAAGGATATTTTCCCTAAGAGAGCTCTCTTATTACATAATTGACATCACAGTAGAAACTTCTTTTATAATATTTTTCATCCCAAAAATACATTTAAAAGTATAAACAACTGGTTATATTAAGATTGTTGCTCAGTTGAGTGTGCTGGCACAAGCCTGTAATCCCCAGCACTAAGGCACTAGGAAGGCTAAGGCAAGAGGACAGAGAGAACAAGGCTAGCTTAGGCTGCATGGTGAGACCATGTCTCCAAAGTGGGGGGAATTCTAATGAACCAAAGTACACTATGTGAAGTGGAAACCACAATAATCAACAGCAAGCACATCTGTGGCCTCGTACCGTGGACGTCTGCATCAGGCAGTCATAGTCGTCCCGATCGTCTGCCAGGACATCTTCCGTGAGCCTTGCGGAATGGCTTGTGCTGTAATCTGGCTTTGTTCTTCTAAGTAGAAATCTGAAATATGGCAGAGGATCAGGACTGACGAGCATAAAGTGATGGAGTGCTCTTCAACCTGCGCAGTTTTGCCCCCTAAGTAACATGTGAGAAGATACACAGGCATTTTGGGCTGTCACACTAGGGGGATGGAGTACTGGCCCCTGTGGATGGAGGCCAGGGATGCTGTGCAACAGCCTTCAGTGTCCAGCACGGTGCCCTACAACAACAAATGGTTTGACGGCTCTTGACCTCAGTCCACAGTGCTGAGTGTTTCTCGGTGAAACCCTGACTTGGTGTAAGAAAGGCTGCTACTATTCACAATAGCCAAGTTATGGAAACAGCCAAGATGCCCCACCACTGACGAATAGATTAAGAAAATGTGGTATCTATACACAATGGAATTTTATGCAGCCATGAAGAAGAACGAAATGTTATCATTCACTGGTAAATGGATGGAATTGGAGAACATCATTCTGAGTGAGGTTAGCCTGGCCCAAAAGACCAAAAATCATATGTTCTCCCTCATATGTGGACATGAGATCAAGGGCAAACACAACAAGGGGATTGGACTATGAGCACATGATAAAAGCGAGAGCACACAAGGGAGGGGTGAGGATAGGTAAGACACCTAAAAAACTAGCTAGCATTTGTTGCCCTTAATGCAGAGAAACTAAAGCAGATACCTTAAAGCAACTGAGGCCAATAGGAAAAGGGGACCAGGAACTAGAGAAAAGGTTAGATCAAAAAGAATTAACCTAGAAGGTAACACACACGCACAGGAAATCAATGTGAGTCAACTCCCTGTATAGCTATCCTTATCTCAACCAGCAAAAACCCTTGTTCCTTCCTATTATTGCTTATACTCTCTCTTCAACAAAATTAGAAATAAGGGCAAAATAGTTTCTGCTGGGTATTGAGGGTGTGGGGGGGGAGAGGGAGGGGGCGGAGTGGGTGGTAAGGGAGGGGGTGGGGGTAGGGGGGAGAAATGACCCAAGCATTGTATGCACATATCAATAATAAAACAATTAAAAAAAAGATGCATATTCACATTTGAAAGAATGCATTCTGGCTACAAAAGAAAACACAACAAATTGTCATAAACTGTTATGTTTCCAGTTTCTTAAATGTGTGATAATCTAATTAACTTAAGTAAAAGGTACTAAGATGATTTCAACTGATGATAAAACATTGATGCCTGCAAACATGAATAAATGTCTTTCAGCCATGAAAAAAAAAAAAAAGAAAGGCTGCTAAAATAACGTGCCTTCCTGACCGTAAAAATAATATTTACAGGCGACACTTCTTTTAAGTTTCAACCGAGAATGGAAATGGGGAATCTTAAGGAGTGACTCTTGGGATAGACTACAACTGTGCTAACAAATTAGAAGATCATTAGGTTGCTTTATCAGCTCCTGTAAAATCTTTTGCAGAGAGAGAGAGAGAGAGAGAGAGAGAAAATATGAAAAAGACCAACAATAACAATGAGGAGGAGGAATCTAGGGAACCTGTTTACTATAATTCCTCCCACACGATAACTACACATTTAAAATCACATTGCATCTGCTAATAACCTTTGTTTCAGGCGAGAGGGCTTTTCCTGAGCGTAATCTTTGTGGTTATTAAACTCTGGCTTTGTGGCTTCTTTGTCTTTGTCAATGCGGTCAGGCACCAGATGACCATGAGCTGTCTTCATCAGAACCTCAAAGTCGGAATCTGCATCGTAATCCTCCAAGTCACTCTTGGGCCCAAAGAGACCAGCGCCCGGTAGCCCTCCAGGCACTGTCTTGGAGAAGACCTCTGCGCACTCAATGGGCATGCTCAGACGGTAAAACATGATGTCACTGCTGCTGTTCTGAGAACCAAAGGACTTCTGAGTGACCTTCAGGCATGGGGAGCTGTCTATGGTGCCGTCTATTCTGGTCACCTAGCAAACGAAGCAAAAGTTCACACTTTAATCACCTCTGTTGATTATCTGCTCCTAAATATGACTAATGCATGTTCCAGAAGCTCAAATATGACCCTCCCCCCAACCCCCCACACACACAGGAGCATTTTGTCAGAGGTGAGTATGGAGCACTGTGTTATGGACATATAGTTAGCCCTACCTACCTGGCATTCTGCACATGTGATTCAACCAATCACCCTGGGAACACATGCAAAACATGTGTTTGTATTGAATAGGACTAGATTTTTTTCTTGTCATTATTCCCTAAATAATATATAGTGTAACAACTATTTGCATAGTGCCTCAATTGCATTGGAAAGGAGAGGTAGCATAGAGATGGGATGCAAGAACAGGTTCTAAACAAATGCTGTGTCATTTTGTGTAAGGGACTTGAGCATCTGTGGATTCTGGCACCCATGGCAGGCCTGGAGTCAATTCCTTGTGGAGAACTTCAGGACAACTGTATCCACAGAGTTCTGCTCCTAACTCTAAAAACGGTTTGGGAAATTCATGTCACAGTTGTACACATTCAGATTCAGCCAGCATTGCATTCACCTGTATAAAAAGTGTGATGGCTTATCACGGTTGTCATCCTGACTGGATTGAGAGATGCCTAAGGTTGAGTGAAGCTCCCCTCCGCATGGGTCTGGGGCTATTTCCAGGGACTGTTAGATCATGAAGGCTCTGAGCTAAGGAATGGTTTAATCCATTGATGAATTCAAAATCTGAACAGAGTATTGGGAAGTCTTTGTTGCAGATTCTGCTGCTATAAACACACCACCATCACCATCCTGAGTAAGTAACAGTAATTGTCCAAACAGGAACAAAAGCTACTCTACTCCTGGTTTTGGAAAGGGTCTGGGTTTTAAAGAAAAGCAAACCTCAATATGTTCGTGATTTGATGGGACCTGGAGGAACTGAGGAAGCCTCTTGCTCAGCCACATGGTGATGTCTCTGTTTGTATTAACGGCAAATGGCTCATAGCCCTCTTGTAAGCCACAAATAGTGAAGTATTTCAGGGTGCTGACATCCTTTCCGAAATTCATCCTGCCCACCTGTGCCACGCCAAGACTACATACAGGTATGAATCCTGGGAAGAAGAAAGAAATCACAATATTCAGTGTAGTCAGTAGGAGATCCTGCATATTGGTCCAGGACTCTGAGAAATCTATCACCCTAGGATGATGACGGTACTGTGATGTAGAGAACCCAGTATTTGATCTTGATCTCACAGCTTATTAATTGTGGGCCCCTTCTATTATCTAGGTTATTCTACAAAATGAGACCACTAAGCCAGCCATATCTGGTCCTCTATGCATCTTACAGTGTCCCCCAGAAAGACCCCACTTGACAGGCCCTTGCCTTCAATCTCTTGTGAAGGACAGTGAGAAAGACTTAAGTGCTGAAGGAGTAGTTTCCTTTGGCTTGCTGTTAAAACAGTGAAAGACCTTCATATGTGGAAACACCAGACACAGCCTACGTGAAGACTTCCTCATTCGTGACTCAAGGAAAGAAACATTTAAGTGGTTTCCATACACTGAGAGCCACATTGGTTCTTTGAAGAGAACTTTGCCTCTTTTATTTCTGGGGTAAATTCAGGCTAAGCATGGAAAAATATACATGTATATGTATAGATACAATATATTTCTATATAATTATGTATTACACATATAAAGTTAGATATACATATATGTGTGCATTTACACAACAGCAACGATCAATGGGGCAAAAACAAATAAAATGTTTCATAAGTTAGTCTAATGTATGGCTAAGTCAACAAATGTTCCCACTACCGAATAAGGAGGGGAAATTATGTTAACTCTGTTAGTTGTTTCTTCGAGTTCTTTAGAATCAATTGTCCAGAGGGTGAGATGATATTTGTCAGGGGAGGGTGTTTATGTAATCTATATTTCTTTCTATAATATTTTAGACTAATGTTCAAGCAGTGAGAACAATGAATGGTGTTGGCATACAGATTACAAATTAAGGAACATAATTGGGTCCTCTAATTTGTAGATCAAAAATGTAGTGGATCCTAAGGATACATTAATGGTTTTCAGGAGAATTGCAGTTAACTCTATCATTATCATTTATACTTCTTCTCCTGATGAAATTAGGGGCAGTGACATTACATAACCCCCTCAAGTATCAGAAGACAATAAAAATTACACATAACAGTTCACAATGACAGCCCCCAGTGTGTTCCCATCAGTATGCACTCCGAGGAACAGCTGTGTATCCGTGCCACCAAGAAGGATGCACAAGCAGGTCCAGCTGGGCTCCACCAAGTGTGAATGGTGAGTTTCTGGTTAAAACTAAAGAAGCTGCCTCTGTGCCAGCTTGTGAAGGAAAGCTGCCATAAATACACATCGCCCAAGCAATCAAAGGAAAGGACCTGATAAACACAACAGCTCTGAGACACTTGCACTGCACAGAGTGACAAAGATACCCAAGCACTTAACATGTCTAAGGGGCAAAGACAGAAAGAACTCATCAGGTACTGAGCATTTTCCCATTCCTGGCCACTGGCTTTGCAGGAGTTTCTAGACTGTAAGTGAAGTTAGCAGAACTGCACATAGTAGACCGTTGGGTGTTTGCTGTCCTCATCTTTGAATTCTTCTGCACTTTCATTTTAAAAATTAAGTGATGAGTGACACACACAAAGATTTATGTTCCAAACTTCTCCCTGTAGCTATGCTCTCAATTCTAGAATATTGTTTTAATAATAAAGGTTTTTCATATGGTAATCCATCATTTAGCTTTTGAGAGTCTTCAAAGGGTCAGCAACATTTAGGAAAACATTCACAGCAAACACTACTTGAACAAACATTCAACATATGGTCTATACTTTTAGAAAGGAAAAATGCCAGAAGGATTTTTATCAAGAAGTTGCACAGTGGTAGGATTTTTGACACTTTTTGTTCTCTCTTCTTTATGCCTTTCAACAAATTTCCTTCAATGAATGTGTATTTCATTATGAAAGTAAAGGATCACTTCCATTAAAAAATGTTTCATTTAATAAAACAGGATATAACAACATCCTTTTCATAAAGGAACCTGGAAGAGTGACATGGATGGAAATGGCCCAGACAGGGCGTTCTTCAAGCGCTAACAACAGGTGCAGGGTGCTGTAAGTCCACTGCCAGAAATCCTGTTATGAAATTCATATAGGATGATTATCCATTAAGAAACTTTCAACCATTTTTTTGGCAGTACTGGGTTTTGAACTCAGAGTCTCATGCTTCCTACTGCTTGAGCTCCCCCAGCCCTTTTTGCTTCTGTTTTTTTTTTAAATAGGGTCTCCCATTTTTGCCCAGGAATGTCCTAACCAAAATCCTCCTATTTACATGTTATGACTAGTTGGTATGCTTGTTGGTTAACATAGGGTCTCTTTTTGCCTTGGCTGGCCTCAAACTACAGTCCTCCTAATCTCTGCCTCCCATGTAGCTGGGATTGCAGGCATGAGCCATCACACCCAGCTCAACAATTCATTTCTTATTCAATAAATATTTATTGAGCAGGTACTACCATGTGCTAAACACTAAAAATAAAAGGTGAGCAGCATACATACCCTGGCTAAAAAGTGCTTACAGTCTAATGAGAGGTGGAGAGACAAGCAAAGGTTTTACCAAAATAGCCCACCACCCACCTAGCAGACAGGCACAAGGAGCAGAGGTAAGGGTGGAGAGACTGCAGTCAGAGACACTGGCAGAAGAAGAGTTACCATCCAACAAGAGGGCAAACAGGGACGGTGGTTGAGGCAGGGGAATGCAAGTTTGAGGCCAGCCTGGGATATATAGCACGACCCTGTCTCAATAAAAAAAGAAAGAAGGCAGACAGGCAGCACTATGAAGAACAGAGTTTAGTGTACAACAGATTTGGATCCAAGTCTGAACCTTTGGCAAGTTACCTACATTCTCTAAGTTTTAATCCCTTCCGTAACAGCTATGCCATAGGGCTGTGGTTTTACAATGAGACCCTGCAGGTATATTGCCTAGTATGGAACATCAATGAACTTAAAGTAGAAAAAAAGAAATGAAAGAAGAAATTAATCTATAATAGGAAAATAGTTACCTATGATATACACACAAGACTAAATACATGCAGGCATGAAAATTCATCTTGAAGGCTCCCAAAATAAGGCTGCAAACCACAATAAAGCTAATAGGAAAATTTAACCAGTAAAACCAGGCACACAGTGAACAGATGCAGTGCACCACTCTTGTACTGTTTGAAGAACCGAGACTTCTCAAAATAAAAAGTGTGTAAAACGAATTTAAAATTCTGTTAAAAGTATTTTTATGCCTTTGGATTATATAGGTTTAAAAGAGGGCTTTTTTTGCTGTTGTTGTTTATATGAAGAACAGAGATTTATTTCTCATAGTTCTGGAGGCTGGAAGGTCTAAGAACAAAGCATCTGCAGGTCTGGTGTCTGGTGAGGGCCTGGTCTTTGCTTCCAACATGGTGTCTTGTTGCTGAGTCCCCAGAGGTGAGGAATTGCTGCTGCATCTTCACATGGCAGAAAGCAAGAGGGCAAGGAGGACCGAACTTGCTCCATTACGTCCTTCTATAATAGCATTAGCCATTCTTGATGGCTGAGCCCTCCTGGCCTAATCACCTTTAAAAAGGCTCCATGTCCCCCAAATTGTTGTGTTGGGGGTTAACTTTCCAACATGTAAACTTGGGAGTCCACGTTCAGACCATAGAATTGTCTGTTGAATTAAGTCTTAGTGGTAACAAGTGTTTTTCTCGTAAGAATTATTTATATACTTGTCTTATTCTTCACCTAAAAGAGGGCTTATTTTTAGAGGATGAAATACATCAATATATCTCTATTTTTTAGGGAGTAGAGATACATATGTACGTGTATGTAAATTTTTAGCCATTTTCATTATACAAACAAATACAGATCATTTTCTCATTAATTTACACTGGTAGATGGCATATTATTGCTTTATTGTTTGGGCTTTTGAAGTCTAAGATGCAGTGCTAAAGTGTAGTAGGTACACAATGAATGCAGCTGCGTTCCAATAAAACTTTACTTACAAAAGCAGGTGGAGGGAAGGCTGGATTTGGACCTCAGGCCTCAGTATGCCAACCCCTGCCCTAGGTTACTATTCCCCATGGTCTTTCTACAGCGTCAGGAGCCTCCACTCAGCAAAAACTCAATGAATATCCACCATGTGCCAGGTACTGGACTGCACACTGAGGTTATGAACAGAATCTAAAAAAAGCCCACGACTGGGGAGCTTACCTTTGACCACAAAAGACATACAGTAATTAGGAAATAGTTATCATGTAATATCAGGGAATAATAAATGCTAACAAGACTGGCACAAATTGTACAAGATAGATTGATAAATGGAGTCATTATTAATCATTACTGCATAGCAAAATCTGATAGCTGGGTTTCAATTCTTTATTACTATGAAGCAGCCATACATACAAATATTCAACACATAAAACAGATTTCCACAAAGTCATGCATGCACCCAGCCTATGTAAAATTTTAGTCCCCCTTCCTGTCCTTTGAACTCTGTCTTCTGTTCCAGTTACCTTAACTGACACCCTAGAACAACAGAGCGTGACAATATCAAAGGGAAGTCTTCCTAGCAGTGACTCTTAAATTAGTGCACATGAACCCAATCGGTTCTTGGGCCTGAGCCAGACCCACCCAATTTGTAAATCTGTTAAAACAGTAGCTACAACTTATGGTGAAGCTGCTTCTTCCAACAAAGGACAGATGGCTTCAGCAGTTTTTAACTTTCTCCAAGACTGAGCCTCCCCTTCCTACTGCACAGGGGTACATGAGGAGCTCACAAGTCCAACCAAGGATGGCATCACAGGACATGGTTGGGGCTGCAGCAAAAGGAAGATTAAATGGATCACCGGCATGCTAGCTTTTCCTAAGGACACATGATTTCAGATTTTAACACTTCTGAAATAACTAAGCAAATGGCCAATATTATAATATATAAAACAGCCAACAGTATACTTACTAAAAATCAGAATTTTGAATCAGAAGAAAAGGAATCATACACTTGCCTGTAGTCTATTATGTGCCAGGTAAATCTCATATGCCCATATATT